GAGAATTCTGGGCTCGTTGTCATCATTCTAGCACAGCATCCAGGCCCAAAGTAGTCACTGTTGGGCAGATTAATAACAAACTAAATGATAAACTACACTAGCCTAGCTTGGGGAGGTGGGGGAAGGAAGCAAGCCATTTTTAGGCTGAAATATGGACATGTGGCGCTATGGCTGCCAATCAGCCAGTAATTCACTGCTCTGTCCTGTAAAAAGCACATTTTGGCAAGCAATATGAATCAGATGATTAAAATATATAATGTGTGGCAGTATCAGACGGTGCAGGCAGGGCTGTATTGCTGACCTGGCTTCCCACTGCGGCATACATACCCTCCAACATTTCTCCAATGAAAATAAGGTAAAGGGACCCCTGACCATTAGGTCCAGTCGTGGACGACTCTGGGGTTGCGGCGCTCATCTCGCTTTATTGGCCAAGGGAGCCGGCGTACAGCTTCTGGGTCATGTGGCCAGCATGACTAAACCGCTTCTGGCAAACCAGAACAGCACACGGAAATGCCTTTTACCTTCCCGCCGGAGTGGTACCTATTTATCTGCTTGCACTTCGACATGCTTTTGAACTGCTAGGTTGGCAGGAGCAGGGACCGAGCAACGGGAGCTCACCCCGTCGCGGGGATTCGAACCGCCGACCTTCTGATTGGCAAGCCCTAGGCTCTGTGGTTTAACCCACAGTGCCACCTGCGTCCAATGAAAACAGGGACGTCCTATTCCATCAACCTCATCATTATATCTAGACCCTGCCACTCTGGGCAGCTTCCAACAGATATAAAAACATAATGAAACTATACAGGGCCACTTTCAGATGTTTTCTAAAAGTTATATTATTAGTTATGTCCTTGGCTCAGGGGTCACACCCTCCAACACTTCTCTGACAAAAATCAGGATGTCCTAAGGAAAAGCGGGACATTCCAGGATCAAATCAGAAACCAAGATGGCTTCTGTATATCTGGGACTGATCCTGGAAAATAGGTGCACTTGGAGGGTCTGTGCATGTCACTGAAGGTTGCTGAGGATGTGGGGAGGAGAAGGCAGTGGGAGTTCTATTTGATGCTGGCACTGAGTCAGGAGCAGCAGATTGGCTCCACTGTCACACCAGCACAATGGCAAGCTCCCTGCTGCCTTGCCCCATCCAGTAACTGGCAGTGATATGTGGCATTAGGAAGGAGGTCAGGTCAGAAGTACAGCCCCACCTATGCCGCTCCACCTGCTGTTGTTGTTGTTTAGTCGTTTAGTCATGTCCGACTCTTCGTGACCCCCTGGACCAGAGCACGCCAGGCACTCCTGTCTTCCACTGCCTCCCACAGTTTGGTCAAACTCATGCTGGTAGCTTCGAGAACACTGTCCAACCATCTTGTCCTCTGTCGTCCCCTTCTCCTTGCGCCCTCAATCTTTCCCAACATCAGGGTCTTTTCCAGGGAGTCTTCTCTTCTGCTACTGCTTGTCAAATATTGTTTGCTCTTGAGCTTATCACTGAACCCGCCAGGCTCCACCAACATACTCTCCAACATGCCGCAGAGGGAAATCAGGGCACATATATTTCGGGCTCACGTTCTTGCAGAAGCCAGAACAGTACAGTCAGAAGCCAGGGTGCCATCTGTAATTCCAGGATGTCCCGCTCTAAGCAGGACAGTTGACAGGTAAGTATCCACAAACCACACATGATTCTGAGCAATGACACTGTCACTCCTCTAGTTCATATTTATCTATAGATCTTATCAATGGGGAACAAACTGTGTAGGGGGTGCAGGGGCCTTGTGCCAGACCTGTGTGGCTGCCCAGAATTTTCCCATGTGTGTTGGCTCTGGCTAACCCACATCCAACCTTCCTGCATTGGGTAGGAAGGTCGAAGGATTATTTTACATGCATTTTTTTCGTGACTGTGCTCGGTTCCCTATCACGGGGAGGACTCTAAGCGCATTCAGCCGAAACTCGCTTCAGACCTCTGCATGTAGGAAAGTCAGGAGGTGGAGTATATATCCCAAGTTCCCCAATTTTCCAGAGACATGCCCAGAATCACGAAAGCCATTCCAGTTTCTGATTTGATCCCGGAATGTCCCTATGTCCTATGCCAGTGCTGCCACGGAGGAGGATGAGCCAGCGCTTGTCCCGAGCAGTGGCGATAGCGAGGGAGCATCTCGATGCCTCCCCAGGGCCACTGCTGTCGGCCTCCTCCCTTGGGCACCTATGGGACCGCCTCTCCTGATATGCCCTGTGGAGGACCTTAAGGTCCACAAATGACAACATTTTGGAGGTCCCAGGTCGCAAGGTGGTTAGATTGGTTGCAACTAGGGCCAGGGCCTTTTCAGTACTGGCCCCGACTTGGTGGAACGCTCTTGTCACAAGAGACTAGGACCCTGTGGGACTTGACATCTTTCCGCAGGGCCTGCAAGACAGAGCTGTTCCGCCTGGCCTTTGGTTTGGATTCAGTCTGACCCTTATGTCTTCCCTCCCCTTACGGTTTTGATCTATGGGCTACTTTTAAAATGAGGCTGCATTTTAACTAGTATTTTAAATTGGGGTTGTTGTCCCCCCTCCTATTATGTTTCTATTGTAATTTTACTGGTGTTAGCCGCCCTGAGCCCGGATCTGGCCGGGGATGGCGGGTATAAATAAAATTTATTATTATTTATTATAGCAGCTGCTGGAGAGTGGGCAAGGAGAAGGAGAGACTGCCACCACCGAGTCCTAGCCCCAAGTGACGCGCCAGCTCTGAGGGGCAGGCAGAGGGCAGAGCCACCCTGGGCGGAAAGAAAGGGGGAGCAGAGCACAAGGAGTCAGTGGAAACAGTTGGTCCTGGCAGCTATTAACCACTCTCAATTCCACCCTGATAACTGCTACCTGCCCGGATTTTAAATTGTCTGAATTAATTTTAAGGTGTATTTTAATTAAGTGATGCCTGTTTTTATGCTTATTGTGTTGTTTTTATGATGTTAGCCACTCTGAGCCCGGCCTCAGCCAGGGAGTTCAGGATACAAATAAATAAATTTATTATTATTATTATTATTATTATTATTATTATTATTATTTAAAAAAAACCTTTGTGGGTCCACATCTAATCTTGCCCCTTTCTAAAAATTTGTTCATTGGCATGTGCTTTTCTTTTCTTTGGTAAATCTGCCAAAGAATAAAATAAAATAAGATCAAGATCAAGGGTTTTTCTCAGGATGCTGGAGGGTTTGTGTTAAGTTGTGGGTGAACATATCAGACGACACAGCAATTCTTCAAACAGCTCTTGTTTATTCACAGGCCAGAACAGAACTGAACTGAAGGGTTCAGCCAGCCTGCTTATATAGAGCTCCACTACAATGCAACTGTAACACTTTCTGTAACTATCCAATCCCTGAACGTCACTTTCAATCCCTTATTTGCATATGTGGACCTGAGTGAAAACTATCTACAGTATCCCCCTGCTGGCCCAGGGTGAGAACTTCAGTACATAACAGTTTGTGCTTTGTCCCATTGGTGTACTGGTGGCGGCACTAAGCCTTCTGATAGGAAATGCTCTGTGGGCAGGGGGAGGAAAAATGGGGGGTCAAGGAGAGTCAGCTGGAGGAAGTGAGAAATGTCCCTATTCTCATCTGAGGAATAGGGAAACTGGGGGTGAGGGCAAGTGCACATGGTCTCATGATCCCTGCATAGTTTGTGCCCTCACATGTTCTTTAGACTGCCTGGATAGGACTAGGAAGACAGTTTTAAACTCTGAATGCATTTGTAATTTATGTGCCTTGAAATAATTATAGCAAAATCAGAGTGAGGGTTCCATCAGTAATACAAACAAGGTAATCAAACCAGGCAGAGGGCCTTCTCGGTAGTGGCGCCCACCCTATGGAACACCCTCCCACCAGATGTCAAGGAAATAAACAACTATCCGACTTTTAGAAGACATTTGAAGACAGCTCTGATTAGGGAAGTTTTTAATGTTTGAAGTTTTAATTGTGTTTTTAATGTTCTGTTGAAAGCCGCCCAGAGTGGCTGGGGAAGAAATAAATTATTGTTATTATTATTATTAATCACAGACCAATAAATTTAAAGATTATAATACAAAATTAATATTGTGATACTTATAAAATGGATGACTAAAACCCCCAAGACAATGTGTTATAGTGTAATGCAAATATTTGTAACAACCAATGCATCAATGAAGTTACAAAACAGTACAGGACTAAGTGCCAATAACCAATATGAAAGCTATATATAATGGAGGCACTAAACAGTAAGTGACATAAATAATAAACAATGCAAAGGTTGTATATCAATAAATAAATTTCATGTGTCCCAAGGGTTAAATGGACACTATATATCAGTAGAAATTGGTACTGATATCAGTGAAATGAATAAATGAAGTTAACAAATACCATACATCAGGGGAGTTTATATACAAATTCCAGGCGGTAGTAAAGTCAATATTGATGAAAACTCTGGAATATTTTTTTGTTTTGCTATTTCCTCAGAAACTACTGTAATAGACAGCAACCAAGATTGATTCTTCCCATGACATCACTGGGCACACCTCAATTTAAAAATGAATAAATCAAAACAAATCTACTTGTTAAAAATGGGCAATTGAAAAGTGTGGCACAAATTAATGACTAACAGGAATACATGTAAATACCCTGCCAGCAAATCAGGAATACCTGTAAACAAATAAGGCAATTTCTCTTCTTAAAATAATGTATATTTTGAACTGCTGATTTTATGTATACTTGAGTTATTTTTTTACATCAACCTGTTTTTAACTCCTGATTTTTTTATTGAAAATCTTGGTGTGCATTTCATGCTTTGTGTGAACTGATTATCAGTTTCTAATAAACATTTTTAAAAATAATTTTTAAAAGAGTGGATGTTAAATAAAAACAGTTTTTCACTTCATTCATTTCAAGCTTAAAAACAACCACCACGGTACACAAAAATAGGCGTTTTTATCCAAATTAGCAGGAGTCAGGAGGACAGCCTAAGCTCAGATTTACTTATTTTTTTAATGAAGACGGAGCACTATCTCCACTGGCTGAAAAACTGGGTCTCTCAATAACTTTTTGGCCTTATAGCTTATTACAAGGAACTTGTAATACTTTGAGGTAGCTTTGCAGCTCTTCTGGGGGCTCTCAGGGGAGGGCAGGAAAAGCTGGGGAACGGGGAAGGAAGGTCCTCTTTTGCACACTGGATATAAGGCGAAAGTAAGAGTAATAAGAAAGGTTTGGCTGCTGCTGTGGAAAGAATAATATTTCTGCTGATGAAACTACGGGAGGAGAAAGGGGTCCAGGTTGTGGGCCCAAACCTTCTCAGCAGAACTGAATGAAAAGCATATGAGATATGATTAAGGTAAGGCCAAAAACAAAAAATACATCTGGGATCTGGATAGCGGGAGTTTCAGCGAAAAAGGCAGTAGGTAGGGAAAGATTAAGACAACCCTCCACAAATCACAGTTACTGCTTCTCTACTGCAAATCACTGCCCCCCACTGCAGCTGCTCTTCATAGGCAAAACAGAAGCTGAGATATTATAACAAGATTTCTGTATTACACGTAATTTTTGAACTGGGCAGAAGTTGCCACTTAGCTTCCTTGTTTTCCCATTGAGCGTTCTTGCCTGCACTGCTTTTCTTACCTGAAGAATTAGTTACGCAGACAAGGGATTCGGATAATTCCCATCAAAATTAAGGACCAGTTCCCTCCAGCATGGCCGATGGTCAGAGATGATGTGAGCATTACTGGCATGCATGAAGTACTGCCCTTCCGACGCTGCTCTTTGCTGCTGTTTTACCTGGATGGAGCAACAGCAAGGTCAGGGCCACATGTTGCACCAATGGGAGCAAGGCAGGGTAGGCAAACTAAGGCCCGGGGGCCGGATCCGGCCCAATCGCCTTCTAAATCCAGCCCGCGGATGGTCTGGGAATCAGCGTGTTTTTACATGAGTACAATGCATCCTTTTATTTAAAATGCATCTCTGGGTTATTTGTGGGGCATAGGAATTCGTTCTTTCTTTTTTCCAAAATATAGTCCGGCCCCCCACAAGGTCTGAGGGACAGTGGACTGGCCCCCTGCTGAAAAAGTTTGCTGACCCCTGGAGCAAGGGGTTGGCAGTGATGCAGTCATACTGACTATGAGCTTGCCCAAAACCTGCTCTAGCCCCATCTAGGCATCATCAAAACTTGTGTCAGGAGTGTGGTTCCATGGCACCAAAGAGAGTGCGTCATGTCCTATGCACATGGCTGCTCCGCCATATTTGGTCTGGCCACCATTCTCCTTTAAATGGTGTGCTACTAAGCCTCTCTCAAAATCTGACACCCGCAAGTTAGGAATTGGTTGGTTTCTGTTTACCAAATACAGCCCAAAATATATGTGGGTGGCAGATAGAAAACAAAGCTTATTACAGCCTATTGCTCGGTCAGTAAAACATGAGTCTCTTAAGAGTCGTAGGTTCAAGCCCCATGTTGGGCAAAAAGATTCCTGCATTGCAGGGGGTTGGACTAGATAACCCTTGTGGTCCCTTCCAACTCTGCGATTCTACAGAAAACCCAATAACACATGCAGAGCGAGAGTAAATTTTTCATCAGGACCAGTTTAGGATAGTATGCTGCTATGCCTATCTAAAAATCTGGCACCCCACAGTTAGGAACTGGTTGGTTACCGTTTACCAAACGTAGCAGAATGGGACTCAAAACAGAAGCTTATTACAGAAAACCCAATGCATGTAGAGCCAGATTAATCTCTTCACCAGGACCAGTTTAGGTTGCTGCTACACAAAACCCCTTTAACTCTGCTAAGGTGTGGCTTTTCTTTAACTAGCTGAAAGTGGAATCAAACCGAAGATTTCAAACAGCACTTAATATAGTGTTATATCAATATCCTTGCCAGGGTTCTTCTATAATCTTTGCACTCATAAATACATCCCACTAAGCAAATATGCAGGGACGCGGGTGGCGCTGTGGGTAAAACCTCAGTGCCTAGGACTTGCCGATCGCATGGTCGGCGGTTTGAATCCCCGCGGCGGGGTGAGCTCCCGTCGTTCGGTCCCAGCTCCTGCCCACCTAGCAGTTCAAAAGCACCCTTAAGTGCAAGTAGATAAATAGGTACCGCTTTATAGCGGGAAGGTAAACGGCGTTTCCGTGTGCTGCGCTGGTGCCGGCTCGCCAGAGCAGCTTCGTCACGCTGGCCACATGACCCGGAAGTGTCTGCGGACAGCGCTGGCTCCCGGCCTCTAGAGTGAGATGAGCACACAACCCTAGAGTCTGTCAAGACTGGCCCGTACGGGCAGGGGTACCTTTACCTTTACCTAAGCAAATATGCATTAAAAGTTTCCTGTTTGCAGGTCCTACTGGCCATTTTATTTTTTTCTAACCGATTGAACCTGGAAGGTTGTTTATGAATAACCCCTACATTGCCCTTATGTCAGTTCCTATGAAGCAGGGAGAGCTTTAATTGCTGTGGTATCCTTGTATCCTTCCCATCTGCCTTATATCATTATAAAAATGATTTTAAAAAGAAGACTAGTGATTAAAGCCATGCCTCCCCCATGGGAAGAGAAACTGACACTGAGACAATGAAGAGGGTTTGAATATGTGTATAATTACTAGCTTTATTAGATACAGGTATCTTTTGTTTAAATGTCTGTCAGTGTTTGACAGGCAAAGCACTTAATTCAAACGCAATGTTGTATAGCCATATTGTGCACCCTGAGAATCCCAACATGGAAGTTGTTTCTATGAACATTTGACTATGTCTAAAGTTTATATGTCAGGGAATAAGAGGGAGATTGTGACATAGGGATGGGGAAGTAATTTGGTTCAGTTAACAATTTAATGGAAACCCTTCTCATTCATACATCCCACACACACACACACACACACACACACACACCAAAACACAGAGAGACTTCGAAATTCATACTTCTCCAAATTTTGTGATGGGATCCCCCAACCCAAAAATGTGTACAAAAATCCATATATTGAGGGAGGTTAGTGAAAATAACATATAAGAACATGTCAGTACAAAAATAGGCACATACCAAAACTTTAATATGTTTATATTAGGATAAATGCACGCTAAAATGCTGACAATTTTTTGTGAGAAGTTTTTCTTTAATGGCAACCTGATGTGGATAAGAGGTAAACCAAATTTAAGATTAAAAAAATAGAACCTAAGAGGAATCAAAATTGGCAGATTCATCCATCTCTACATGGGGATGTTGTGATGTTGAAGGCTGCGGGGCTGGTTTCCTGTGTTACTAAGAAGAGATTTGTTAGAACATCATTCTATATATTATACACACACACACACACACACACACACACTTAAACTGCTTGAGAATGTCAGTCCATAGGTTAATTTAAAAAAATATATAATTAACCTATGATCCTTTTCTTTTACTTCTTTATTTTTTCTTTGTTCTTTTCCCCCCTGATATCTTATCTTTCATTTCGCTCCTTTATTGTGAATAGCATTTTATAGAGGTATAAATAACTGTAAATATGAAAAGAGACAAAGTATTTTCTAATTTTTTTCCTTGGTTATATATATTTTCTTTTTCTTTTGTATTTTCTTTTGTTGTAAATGTGTATGTTTTCTAATTTGTACTTAATAAAAATTAATAAATAATAATAATAAACAAAGAAAATGTCAGTCCTTTTCTAGAGAATATTCTGTGAAATCCCCTTCACCATTTCAACACCCATATGTTGTGTGGATAATTTGGGAGGGGGCAATTTTTGTTTAGTTAGTTCTGCTTTCTTTTTAGAAAGTGAAACTCTGCTGTTTTTAATCCTTTTAAATTTTGGGTTCAATGAATACAGTAATACCTTACCTGTGTTATTGTTATGGTTTTCCTGTGCAATATTTTTGAGTATGTTCCCATTCACTGTCCTTGTACTGTTAGTATTACTGTAATTGTTGTTGTTACTACAGTACGTTGTTGTTGTTGTTTTCCACTTCACAGGTAAATTTAATATGCTACGTGCGACCTCTAGACCAGGGATTTTATTTTATTTTATTTTTAATGATATTTATTAAAGTTTCAAAAAATACAAGAAATACAGAATACAGAAAGAAAAAAGAATAAAGTTTTTAAAATATAACAAAAAAAGTAAAAAATAAAAAGAAACATACCAAATAAGACAGTTAAAAAGACATTAATTTTCCATAACCTATCTTCCCTACACTTGTTTCCCCGGACCTCCTCATACCTCCCTTTTTTGTATTCCAGTTCAATTTGTTAGTTCAGCAAATCCTTACCATTAAGCTTTTACCCAATTGCAAACCTTTTTTCATATCTCTTAAAGCATTACAGCTAAAAACCTCTTAGTTTCTATCCAAAGCTAGAAACAAGATCAAAGCATATGTGCTTTGATGGTATGATTTCATCAATTGACAGGAGGCTGAGGAACAAATGTGCTTCTAAAAACTCTGAAAAACAACGATTCAGCCAACATTCTTGAAATCTACCCAGGAATTAATGGGGAAATGTTTTCATGCAATTATCTCCTCCCACATTGTCCCCAGTGTTGTTTTGCTGAATAATTCCACTGATTCATCAGCATATTTAATTGGGAGTTAAGTCTCACCACTGAACTCAAAGGCTTATGAGTAGATAGGCATTAAGACTGCAGTTTTGGGGAGTTTTACCCTATTTTATGTGTAGATTGAACTGCTGTCCAATATAATAAAGGTAAAGGTAAAGGGACCCCTGACCATTAGGTCCAGTTGTGGCCGACTCTGGGGTTGCGGCACTCATCTCGCTTTATTGGCCGAGGGAGCCGGTGTACAGCTTCCAGGTCATGTGGCCAGCATGACTAAGCTGCTTCTGGTGAACCAGAGCAGCGAACAGAAACGCCGTTTACCTTCCCACCAGAGCGGTACCTATTTATCTACTTGCACTTTGACGTGCTTTCGAACTGCTAGGTTGGCAGGAGCAGGGACCGAGCAACGGGAGCTCACCCCATCGCGGGGATTCGAACCGCCGACCTTCTGATCGGCAAGTCCTAGGCTCTGTGGTTTAACCCACAGCGCCACCCGGGTCCCTTGTCCAGTATAATAGTGTACCTCAATAATAGGGCTTGTCCATGCTTCCACTCGCCCTGCCACTTTCACCTGGAAAAACCTGCTGTTTACCACTCAGTCGAAGCAAATGTCCGTTGGGTTTTCCATGGACTGACATTTGCTCCAATTCAGCAGTAAAGAGCAGGTTTTCTTGGGGAAAGCAATGGGAGAAACAGAAAACCACTCAGACCCATGCCTAGAAAGCATGGGATTAGCAGAACACCTCTCAGACCCATGATTTCTAGGCAGGAGACAAGTGTAGATGAGTGACAGACATTTTTTATTTCCCCGATGCTCAAAAAACACCTCAGAACAGGACTTTCTTGGAAGAACACAGTGGCAGCCATTCAGAGTCTCCTCCTGCAAAATAATTTAGCCTCGCCCCACATATAATATATGAATATAATGAAGGCAAAACAGCCAATCTATGAATTGGCATTTTTTAATTTGAGACAGTCCTGGTCTTCCTGAAAGACCTTCTGAAAAGGCCCCATGGCCGTGGCCTGTTGCCTTTCTGTAATACCTGTGAGGTAATAACAACAAAACGTTTCTTCAAAATAGTATGGGTTCTCATTACTGTACTTCCTTTCCTTACAAAGGGAAGTGGGCAAAATCTTTTCCTATATGAAAATTAACAGTTGGTAGGAACATGTTTGGTTGTTTCAGGGGCTAGATGCTGCCATTGGTTGCCAATAGTGTCAGTTTGCATTTCTTAGTGCAGAAAGTATTGATCTGATATGTAGAGATCTTTCCTATTCTACTTAATTCAAGAGGGTTCTGGAAGCTTCTCCGTGTGAAAGAAGGTTACATGGTGTTTGGGTTATTCCTTCAGAGAAGCTGAGCACAGCTGGTTTAAACTGGTTCTGTTATCTCTTTGTGTCAAGGTCATACTGACTAGAATAGTGAGGCCAGAAGGAGCCTGGGTTTCCATCTCTCTCTTTCTCTCTCTTTTCTTTCTGGTGTAGTGTTCCGTATATAGTGTTAAAGTTTAGACTTATTATAAGTTACTGTGAGTTTGTTAAGTCTGCTGCAACTGGATTTCTTATGGACATTGCCATTCCTGAATGCATTGGATTTGTGACCATTATGCCCATTTGCCTTCAGTAGCAGTAAAGCTCTGCTGGATGAAATGCCTCTGGTCTATTTTTTGGGAATCCTGCAACGTGTTTAAGTTTTTACTCTGCTTACTATACATTGGGATATGCTCTGGATAAACATTGAGTAGAATTTCAATGCCCATCTCTTCTCTAGAGTCAAAAGCATTGCCCAGTTTAAAGAAATTTAGACTGTCCTTGAATGTCATGTGACATTTACCTGGGAATCATGGCAACTGCTCTCACTGAGGACACAACTGAGCCGACGCAAAAGGGGGTTTCATGGACGGGGGGCTGCTTCCTACAACTGTTGGCAACAGAAAGGGTCCATTGGCTGCAAACAGGACAACATCAGCAATGTCTAGGCAACACGATGACCATGTACATACGCAATAGACAATCTTTATAGAATTCCTTCAAACCATAACAAGTACAAAATGAAATCTTTAGTCTCAAAGTCTCTGAAAATCTTTAAATGAAGCGAGGTACCAGACTTTGTACGATGAAAGACAAGCTGTGAAGCTTTGTGTATTCAGCAAATACAATGTCCAACACTGAACAGTGATTCCGGATATTGACTACTGATTTGTAGAATTCTTCGTCAGCCTGGTAGGAGGATATAGAATTGCTTCGTAAACCCATCTTACAGTGGTACCCTGGGTTAAGTACTTAATTCGTTCCGGAGGTCCGTACTTAACCTGAAACTGTTCTTAACCTGAAGCACCACTTTAGCTAATGGGGCCTCCCGCTACCGCCGGAGCACGATTTCTGTTCTCATCCTGGAGGGAGGAGGAGGAGGAGGAGATTGGATTTGATATCCCGCCTTTCACTCCCTTTAAGGAGTCTCAAAGCGGGTTAACATTCTCCTTTCCCTTACTCCCCCACAACAAACACTCTGTGAGGTGAGTGGGGCTGAGAGACATCAGAGAAGTATGACCGGCCCAAGGTCACCCAGCAGCTGCATGTGGAGGAGCGGAGACGCAAACCCGGTTCCCCAGATTACGAGACTACCGCTCTTAACCACTACACCACACTGGCTCTGAAGCAAAGTTCTTAACCTGAAGCACTATTTCTGGGTAAGCGGAGTCTGTACCCTGAAGTGCATGTAACCTGAAGCGTATGTAACCCGAGGTACCACTGTATTTCAAATGAATGTATGTAAATGAAAATTTCAAATGCTGTGGAACAGTGCTCATGTAATAATGTAGTCACTGCTCATTTTGTACTTGTTATGGGTTGAAGGAATTCTATAAAGATTGTCTATTCCGTATGTACATTGTCATCATGTTGCCTAGACATTGCTGATGTTCTCTTTGCAACACAGGGTTTTGTTTACTACAAACAGGACAAGGCAGTAGCTGTTGGCTTCTCTCGTCTTACATTTTGTGCTCCGGCTTCCCATTCCTTTTGCTGCAGGTATAATGTGGAAACTGCATGGAGAAGAGTAACCATACTTCATCTGGTGGAACTATGGAATTCCTGCTCCTCGGATTCTCTGACTTGCTCCTGCTGAGGACCTTCCTCTTTTACGTCTTCCTCATGGTGCATGTGGTCACCCTTGCAGGAAATCTCCTCATCCTCCTGGCAGTGGCTGCTGAGCCCTCCCGCCCTCCTATGCTCTTTTTCCTTTGCCAGCTCTCTGCCATCGAGCTCTGTTACACCCTTGTCATTGTTCCCAAGACGTTGGCTGACCTGCCCAGCCCAGGGGCGAGCACCATTTCCTTTGTGGGGTGCGCGACCCAAATGCATTTCTTTGTGGCCCTGGGCGGCGCTGAATGCTTCCTCCTTGCAGCCATGTCGTACGATCGCTACGTGGCCATCTGCCGGCCCCTGCACTACATGACAGTGATGAGCCAGGGAGTCTGCCTTCAGCTTGCTATCGTCTGCTGCCTCGGGGGCTTTGTGGTCTCACTGGGCCTCACCGTGGCTGTCTTCCGCCTGCCTTTCTGCAACTCCCGCCGCATTGACCATTTCTTTTGCGATGTCCCTGCCATGCTCCACCTGGCCTGCACAAAGAGCTACGTCAGTGAGCTACCCCTCCTTGCAGCCTGCGTGATCCTCCTCCTGTTCCCCTTCCTTCTTATCCTCACGTCCTACATGTGCATCTCAATGGCTGTGTTGCGCATCCGGGACTCAGCTGGCCGGGGCAAAGCCTTCTCCACTTGCGCCTCGCACCTGGCCGTCACAGTCTTACACTATGGCTGCGCCACCTTCATGTACGTCCGGCCCAAGTCCAGCTACATGCCAGACCGGGACAAGATGGTGTCTCTTGTCTACACCAACATCACCCCCTTGCTTTACCCTCTGATTTACAGTCTCAGGAACAAAGAAATTAAAGGAGCTGTGAGGAAGCTGCTGCAGAAAATGTTAGCTCAGCCACACTGCAACACCTTCAAGGGCAGGCTTGCGTAATTTGTAGGCCATGCAGCTGTATTGTCAGGAGCTGGAGTCAGGCACAGGTCAGCAATGAAGCAGCCAGTGTCAGTGAAGTTAACTCTTTATTCAAGGAAACCAAAACAGCTCAAGCCTAGCGATTGCTGCAACTCTTCCCAGTAGGTCTTGCTCGGATGAGGCAGTTGCAAGGACAGAAGATCCTCACCTTCCCACCACTTCTACAACTCCACCCCTGGTTCCTTTCCCAGCAACCTGAGGCTCCTTTGTCTTGTCTCTCTTTGCTCCACTCTCTTCATTCCTCTTCAGGTTCTGGGAGACCAGAGGGGAGGGCAGCTGGTCACAGCAGGAGAGAGGGGGGACTCCCTGGCTTCTTCAGCAGCCTGCCTCATCTCTGCCCCTTGGTCCCCCTTCTCACCAGTCTTTGCTTCTGCCTCTCATTCTGGACTGCTCTCTGCCACAGACTCTTCCTGCTCACTAAACCCTGTTCCTTCTTCAACTTCTGACACCTCATCCTCCCAGTCCGCTCCCTCTTCTTCCTCTAATGACTCATTGTCATCCCACCACCAATCCCCTGGAAGCTTCATTGGGGGTTCCCCAGCAGGTGCCTCCCACTACTCTGCATCCAGTGAGTCCAGGATATATATATGCAGCTCAGAAGCCATTAACAGTGATGCTTTCTATATGGTATAAATTGTAAGGAAGGAAGGAAAGTAGACATAAATGGTGCCACTGTCCCTCGTCCCTCCCCCCCTCCAGCCAATACTTGGTGAGCCTCCTGTCTTTGCTGCCTGCCTGGGACTGCAAAAACAAGGGCAGCATCAAATATTTGGTCAGACAATACAAGACTGGTGGATTGAATTCATCTTAAGGTAAAGGTAAAGGGACCCCTGACCATTAGGTCCAGTTGTGGCTGACTCTGGGGTTGCAGTGCTCATCTCGCTTTATTGGCCGAGGGAGCTGGTGTACAGCTTCCGGGTCATGTGGCCAGCATGACTAAGCTGCTTCTGGCGAACCAGAGCAGCGCACGGAAACGCCGTTTACCTTCCCACCGGAGCAGTACCTATTTATCTACTTGCACTGGCATGCTTTTGAACTGCTAGGTTGGCAGGAGCAGGGACCGAGCAACGGGAGCTCACCCCGTCACAGGGATTCGAACCGCTGACCTTCTGATCGGCAAGTCCTAGGCTCTGTGGTTTAACCCACAGCACCACCCGTGTAGGTCACAATATATGCAGGGCCCCTCAAGAGCGCAGTACGCAACAAATGTTTCCTATTAGAATAACTGGAATCCTACAGATGCCTACTTGGAAGTAAGCCCCATTAGGTTCAGTGGAAGTGACTCCCAGATTTGTGGGTATAGGACTGCAGCTTAAGTGGCTGGAGACGGAAGATAGTTTTTTAAGAAAGTTGGAAGCGGCTTAAGATGGGCACCACTTCTCACAGTGTGCATGTTTATTTCTTCTGTCCCATTGTGCCAAATAGGTTTGACAGGTTTGGGAAAGGAGAAACAAAAACCTGCAAGAACTGTTCACCAGAGGGAAAAGTTGGGTGATAGAACACACGGCTATTTGTTCATTCATTCCTTAGTTTATATACTACCCATCAGTGGAGCTCCCAGAATGGTTAACAAAAATAAGAGAAACTAAATAAATATATGTTGGGAAATAAAGAAAAATATCTAAAAAGCTGGGGGGGAGGGGGCGTTTCCCTGGTGCCAAAAATATAACAATGTTGGTGCCAGGAGGGCTTTTCTGGGGAGAGAATTCCACAAATTGGGCACCACCACCGAGAAAGTACCGTCCCAGGTCACCATTCCCCTTATCTCAGCTGATGGGGTTACTTGGAGAAAAGCATCCGAAGATGACCTCATACATAGAAAGATTAATATGGAAACAGGCATTCATTCAGGTACCTGGGCCCCAAGCCATAGAGGGCTTTAAAGGTAAACACAAACACTTTGAATTGTGCCTGGAAATGAGCTGGAGACCAGTGAAGGTCTTTCAAGTACTGGCAAGGCGTGTTCCCACTGACCGGTCACCACCTGGTAGCTGCATTTTGAATGAATTAAACTTTACAAAATACAGTGGTACCTCGGGTTAAGAACTTAATTCGTTCCAGAGGTCCGTTCTTAACCTGAAACTGTTCTTAATCTGAGGTACCACTTTAGCTAATGGGGCCTCCTGCCGCCACTGCACAACAATTTCTGTTCTCATCCTGAAGCAAAGTGCTTAACCCGAGGTACTATTTCTGGGTTAGCGGAGTCTGTAACCTGAAGCGTCTGTAACCCGAGCCCTACACATAACGCATTACAGTTGTCAATTCTAGACATTATCACAGCATGGGTAACTGTTGCTACTAGGAGCCTTCAGCTCTCTGGTAAAACTCTTGTCTTTCTTCAGCTGTTTATTATTAGTAGTAGTAGTAGTAGTAGTAGTGCTTTTTTCCTAAAAAATATGTTTAGGGGTACTCTCATTTAGAGGGAACCTGGGTGGCACTGTGGGTTAAACCACAGAGCCTAGGACTTGCTGATCAGAAGGTCGGTGGTTCAAATCCCCACGATGGGGTGAGCTCCCGTTGCTCGGTCCCTGCTCCTGCCAACCTAGCAGTTCGAAAGCATGTCAAAGTGCAAGTAGATAAATACCGTATTTTTTTGCACCATAACACTCACTTTTTTCCTCCTAGAAAGTAAGGGGAAATGTCTGGGCGTGTTATGGAGCGAATGTCTACCGGTGGCAGGGTGGGCGCCTACGGGTGGCGGGGGGGTGCCTACGGGGGGGGGATCTGCTGCAGTCGTGAGCAGAGGATCCATGGATCCCCTTCCTTCCCCCCTCCTCCGTGGCTCGCTTTAAAACAGCAAAGCAGTCTGGTTGGCTGCTTTAAAGCAACCGTGCTCTTTGTCCCTCCCTCCTCCCTACTCAGCTCACTAAATAGCAGCAAAGCTTTTCAGCTCTCTAAGCCGGGGAGGAGGGAAAGAAGCAGAGCCTGCTTGTTTTAAAGGAGCAAAGCGGGAGAGAAGCGGAGCCTTCTCCCCTTATACCCCTCTCCTGCATTATTAGCAGCATCCTTCTCCACACACCCCACACATTCTCCTTGTCCCTTGAGTGCTTTTCCTTCCCTCCCCACTTAAAACGTGGTTACAAAGCACGGATCCACATGGATCCTCAGTATTTTTGTACTGGGTCACCCCAAATTCATCATCAGATCACATAGCATGTCCATGTCTACAGCCTGCACCAAAAATATCACGGATCCACTGTTGCCTGGGGCTGCAGTGGTGCAAAAACGTGGTTACAAACCACGGATCCACATGGATCCTCAGGAATTTTGCATTGGGCTCCCCAAACTCACCATCAGATCACATGTCTGTGGCCACAGCATGAACCACAAAAATCATAATCCACTGTTTCGTTTAGAATATTTTTTTTCTTGTTTTCCTCCTCTAAAAACTACATGCGTGTTATGGTCAGGTGCGTGTTATAGAGCGAAAAATACGGTAGGTACCGCTCCGGCAGGAAGGTAAACGGTGTTTCCGTGCGCTGCTCTGGTTCGCCAGAAGCAGCTTAGTCATGCTGGCCACATGACCCGGAAGCTGTATGCCGGCTCCCTCGGCCAATAAAGCGAGATGAGCGCCGCAACCCCAGAGTCAACCACGACTGGACCTAATGGTCAGGGGTCCCTTTACCTTTACCTTTTTACTCTCATTTTCCTACTCCTGTTGAAATACCGCCCCTCAATGAGGCCAAACATAGATTCACAAAATGTTTAGGGGTATGCCTACCCCTGTGTCCCCCCAGAAAAAAAGCACTGATGATTATTATTAAAAAATAAATTTATTTCTCACCCACCCTCCCAAAGGAGCCCATGGCAGCAGTATTGCTGGACACAGAAACGCTTAGCTAAATGAAGAATGATCCAGACTGCCTGGAAGCACATTGTGGTCAATCTGTACCAATCACATTCCAAGATAAGAGTCTGAAGCTCTGTTTGATGAGCCAGAACGGGAACCCCCTGAATTTTCTTTTTAAAAAAACCAAAAACCATTTGAATTTCAGCAAAAAGAGAAATTATTTGGCAACTAGCCACCTAGGAGAGATTTCATATGCCTGTGGGTGAACTAACTAGAAACCAGGGCTGGATCTAGACGCATCAAAAACTTGTTTCAGTTAAACGTGTTGCAAACTCTATATGAGAAATTGGGTTAGCAAAAGTGGAACTCCACAGCGCCATCTGGTGTCACAGTGTTAGAATACATAAACAATGCATATAAAGTGCTTTTTCTTTGCTGAATCCCAGTAACAGAATTACGTGGAAGTCTATATAAAACCAGGCATTGGGGTGGGGGAGTGGGGAGGAGTTCTCACTCATTGATGATTTAGTTGTGGGCAGACCTCTCAAAATATGATGCAGCTACTCGCCTAGGAAAAGTAAAAAAAGGAAATGTACATTATCTGGGCTTATTAGCCCAGTAACGTAGACCCCAAAATTGACATACAGAAACAGAAAGAAAACACCTTCAGAAATAAACCCCTAAGGTAATTATCATATGACCTTCAAATATCATAATTTCACACATATAATGCAGAAAAGGGAGTGTTGACTTGTTCTGCATGTGACAATGCTAGCAGAAGGTACAGAGTTTGAATAACCCTCCCGGAATTGCAACACAGCTGGCTATTTTCATGCACGAAGCCCAACCTATTCTGTCCATGCAGATGTGGAAGTTATAGAATCTGCAGGAATCCATTGAAAACAGGAAATGTCAGTAGAAGTCCACAAGGAGGCACACAAAAGCCACTTTTCTGAATACAAATTCTGTTCATTTGCATTTCATTTACTAAAAGTGACAACAGTTTCAGTTTCATTTCTCCAGATTCTTTTCTTTAAGCTTTCCTCCCTTTATCTGACCTGACCTGCCCTCCTTTCAGCTTTAGCTTCATTCAACTTCGTTTTGCTGTTAAGGAGAACTGATTAAGATTGGTAAGTGACGTTGTTTTTATGGGGTGCAGCTGTCATAGTAACAGATGGAGTATGATAGTTAAAATAACACTGAAACAATCAAATGTGCTGTCTTAACTTCTCTAGATAACTGCCTAAAATTAAATTATCACTATTTAATTACAAAAGGCACACACCCTAAGAACTGCAGAAAACTTCAATGAAGGGATAATTATGTGATGCTAAATGGGCAAATATGTAAATTAAAAATGTTTTTAAAACTGCATCAGTGGAACTGCCCTTAATTAAAATGAAACTAGCTCACAGCTTATTAAATCACACAATACAGAAAATCATAATGGAAAGGCGACATGAAAAAATTTGGCAGGCAGAAACCAGAAAGAACCAGACCTAAGATGCCTCTTGTCTCAAACATAGAGTGCTGGACAGGTGATTGGTCTCATTTTGGTTTACAGGACCCCTTTGACACTTCCTTAGAGGAGGGGAACAAACTACCAGTGCCATGGCTGCTAAGACAGAGGCAAAAGAAAGAGGGAGCGTGGGAGAGAGAGGCAGAGAAATGGAGGTGGCAGCAGCTGTGGGGAAGAGGAAAAAGTGGTTGGTTGATGGAAGGGCACAATCTCTGGCTGTGTACACTACCTTTAAAGCACATTTGAAGCACATAATTCCTCTCAAAGACTTCTGGGCACTGTAGTTCGTTATGGGTTGCTGGGAATTGTCACTCTCTGAGGGATAAACTACAGTGCCCATAATTCTTTGAGGAGAAAAAAGTGCCCTGAATGTGCTTTAAAGGGATGGACTGTTCACAGTCTGTGACGTTGTGTCCTCTGCCCAAAAGTGATATTCCTCATAAAGAGTGTTAGCAGAGGATACCTCTTGTAATAAGTTTTATTCCCACAATGCCCTTTGCTTATTTGCAAGCTCTGAGGGCTTTCAAAGCATCTCTTTATTCTCCCAGCTACACCATTAGCTCTGGAATGGTATAAGGAAATGGTTTTTGTGTCTGATGCCATTAGTGTGCTGGTATTTCTGCATTTCTGTAGAGATAAGTTATACTATTCTACCCGCCCTGAGTAATTACCAATTACCTGCCCTGGGACCTGCTGGTGAAGGGAGGGTAAGAAACTTAGTAATAATAATAGTAATAGTAATGATAGTTGCTGTTTTGCCACACATTCGCTCCATTTGTTGGAATCCTTTTGTAGCTCCTCACAAGTTTAAACTCGTTCCGACTCGATCTGTGCAAACATTAACAGTCAAGACAGAGAAAGGGGAAGAGGGCGGTGGTGGTGGGAAACTTGGAAAGCCCCAAAGTCTGCGGTTTGTAAACATATTAGGGCAAAACTAGGTGTAATGCCATTCACACAATCGGCAACTCCGTGAATTATTTTTACAGAGAATACCAGGCATGGAGTGCATTATGGATCAATACCCTGGCAGGGGGCTTGGAGGTGCTTTAGTCCATTACCCCCCCCACCCCCACCCCCCACACACTCATTGCATTCCACCAGATTGGTGGCAATGGAAGTTTTCCTTTCAATCCAGATGGGAACCAGGGTGGACAAACAAAGGCTAGCATCTGCTTAGCCTTCCCCCAGGGTCCTGATCCGGATTGGGGGCCTCACGCATGTTGTTTAGTCAATAATAATTGCTGGTTGCATGAATGGTGGTGACACGTTTAATTTGGCCCTGAACAGCGCATGCTGGAGGCATTAGGCAGACTTAATTAAATTAGACTCTACTAGGTGCAAAACAGATTTCTTGTTGTGTCGAGCGCTGCCGAAACAAAGAAACAGTAATGGAAAGTATAAACAGATTCTAGTGACTTGAATCTGTAGCCAGCGTTAACAGGAACACACAATTCCCTCAGAATAAAAGCGAAACACAGTTTCTCCAGCAAGGCTGGAGACTAGTTTTAGCAAGAGAAAATATGTGGGGAAGACCCACCACTGGACGGAACGAATCATGATGGTGGCAGCCATCTTTGTTCAGGTGTTTGCTGCATCCACACACAAAGCGGTGCGGGAACATGTGGGGAATAATGTTTACTTGAAAAAGGTGCAAAGGGGAAGAGAGCTGAACTTTCCCCTTCTCCCCGCTACCACATCTCCCCATACTTCGCCATCTTGAAGGATTTTTATAATGGCCTTTTTTCACTAATAAATTGCTCTCCATGACTTTTGTTCAGACGAAAAAACTGGAGGGAAACAAAGTACACAAATACTTTGTACACCTTTGGAATCCTTTCATTGTGGCTGGTGGTATTCAACACTGTAAGATAGGACACACAGAGAGAGCAGTGCCAACACACGCTGATAAATGGTAATCATACCACATTTAAGAAAACGTGCCCTTATTCCTGACTTAGGTCCCATCTTCACTATACAGTGGTACCTCGGGTTAAGAACTTAATTCGTTCTGGAGGTCTGTTCTTAACCTGAAACTGTTCTTAACCTGAAGCACCACTTTAGCTAATGGGGCCTCCTGCTGCCACCGCGCCGCCACTGCACGATTTCTGTTTTCATCCTGAAGCAAAGTTCTTAACCCAAGGTAATATTTCTGGGTTAGCGGAGTCTGTAACCTGAAGCATCTGTAACCTGAAGCATATGTAACCCGAGGTACCACTGTACATTTGAAGCAGTATCGCACCCCTTTAAACAGTTACGGCTTTCCCCAAGGAATCCCAGGAACCACAGTTTAAGGATGCTGAGAGTTGTTAGGAGAATATGGTTCTCTTCACAGCTACAATTCCCAGAGCTCCCTGGGAAGAGGGATTGATTGTTAAACCACTCTGGGAATAGGGGGTCTCCTAACAACTTTCAGCGGCCTTAACAAATTGCAGCTCCCAGGATTCTTTGAGAGAAGTCATTGCCGCTTAAAGTTGTGTGATACTGCTTCAAAGTTATTATGCAGATGGGATGTAGATTGCATCCCTGTTAAGAGCACAAAGGAGGCATATTCTTTAGAGAGGAGGAATACCCGGAGAGGCCATTGTCAATGTACAAGTCTTTGGAGCATTATTTGGACACTGAGATGTGGTGCAGTGGAAAGATCCTTTATGTTCTGAAAAATATACGTTTCTCTCTTTTGCAGATCTTTGCCAGCGACTTGCCGGTGTTTGAGAAGAAACATCCCTCAGAAAATGGGTATGATTACATGTTGTACTTTCTAAATGCCTTGATTTTAAAACATTCTGCTTCTGGGGAACTCATGGGTGCTGCAAAGGACTTTGGAGTACAGTGGTACCTCAGGTTTAAGAACTTAATTCGTTCCGGAGGTCCGTTCTTAACCTGAAACTGTACTTAACCTGAAGCACCACTTTAGCTAATGGGGCCTCCCGCTGCTGCCGCGCCGCTGCCGCGCAATTTCTGTTCTCATCCTGAAGCAAAGTTCTTAACCCGAGGTAATATTTCTGGGTTAGGGGAGTCTGTAACCTGAAGCGTATGTAACCTGAAGTGTATGTAACCTGAGGTACCACTGTATGTTCTAAAACAAGATTTGGGAAACTGTGTGGTCCTCTATGATGTTGCTAGACTCTCCTCAGCCTCAGACAGCATGGCTAATGGTCAGGGATGGTGAAAGTTGTAGCCAAGCAACAGCTGAAGGGCTCCAGGTTCTGCAACCATCTTTAATTTACCCAGTCCTTTTACATATGTTTACATATTTTTATTCCCCAAAGGATTCTTAATTCTCAACATGTTTCAAACACCAGTCTTTCTGTTCTGACATTTTAAAAAATGGGCTGTTCTAACTTGCTAAGAATTAGAGACGTACTATCTGTGAAAACAAGGGGTAGTTAACCTGAAGCCTTCCAGATATTGTTGAACTACAGTGGTACCTCGGGTTACATACGCTTCAGGTTACAGACGCTTCAGGTTACAGACTCCGCTAACCCAGAAATAGTACCTCAGGTTAAGAACTTTGCTTCAGGATGAGAACAGAAATCGTGCTCCGGTGGCGCGGTGGCAGCGGGAGGCCCCATTAGCTAAAGTGGTGCTTCAGGTTAAGAACAGTTTCAGGTTAAGAACGGACTTCCAGAACGAATTAAGTTCTTAACCCAAGGTACCACTGTATACTGACTCCTCTCAGATGCAACCAGTGTGGCAAACAGCAAGGGAAGATGGGAGTTGTAGTCCAAAAACATGTGGAGGCCCACAGATTAGGTACCCCTGTATAAGAAAGAAGACAGTATCAATGAATCATATAATTTGTAGAGTTGGAAATATCAGGGATGTTGTGAAGCCACAAACTCTTCTACAAAGCTTTTGAAGGAAAAGCCCTGCAAGAGAGTTAAACTGTGATGAACATGTGGGAACATGCTGGGGCTTCTTCCAGCTAAGTTCACATTTGATATTTCAAACGTATAAATATTTCAAATGAATGAACCTGTGTTTCATTGTCAGTCTGCCCACTCAAATACTAGTTAACTCGGTACTGAATTCCTCAGCCCAGCTGTTGCGAAATTAAGGAATGTGCACATGACCATTGAAATGGTTGGGTGGGAATGCTATTAAACAGGAGGAAGTGAGGTCCTCAAAAGAGTTAAGCATATTCTCCCTGCACTATCACAAATTCCTCTTCAGAGAAAAGTTCCATTCTGCCTAGAAGTGTACTCAAGTTGTATATTAAAGGTAAAGGGACCCCTGACCATTAGGTAATCATACCACGTTTAAGAAAATGTGCCCTTATTCCTGGCTTAGGTCCCATCTGCACTATACAGTGGTAACTCGGGTTAAGAACTTAATTCGTTCTGGAGGTCTGTTCTTAACCTGAAACTGTTCTTAACCTGAAGCACCACTTTAGCTAATAGGGCATCCCGCTGCTGCCGTGCCGCCGCCGTGCGATTTCTGTTCTATCTATGGTGAGCAATTTATGCTCTGTCCCCCTTAAAAAAAGTTCAACAACTTTGGCCTGCCCCCCTAAAAAGCTCTATAACTCTGGTGTCTCCCCACTAAAGAAAGGTCAACAACTCTTGCTGCTTGGCCCCCCCCCCCCCAAAAAAAGCTCAAGAACTCTGGCCTACCCCCCCCAAAGGGTAGATCACTGCCAGTTTTTTTATACTGGGATTAGATTGCAGTCTCTTGGGAGTTGGATGTGCCTGTCCTATATAACTGGGACATAGTTCCAGGGTGAGGTGGGGTGGGGGACATGTTACGCAATGGCCTAAGAAGTTTATTGTTGGGGAAACATTTTAACACATTTACAAATGATAAAAACCATAGAGTAAAACTTGAAGCATGCACTAGGGGGTAATTATATTTCATCCTGAGGGTGTTTTGTTTTGTACAGGATCATGAGAGAGACAAGGCCATTGTACATCAGATCACGAAGAGAAATTACTGCTGGTCAGGAAATGGGTGAAGATGGCATTAAGAGAAAAGGCCTTTTCCTATGCGTTTTATAGCGTACATTGATTTCTTATAATTATACTGTACAACAGGCTGGCTGTTAAACAAAACAAAAAATTAAAGATAGGGAATAGGAAGCCAACGTAGTAGCAGTAGGCACAAGGAAAAGTCAGGCTAATAACCACCAAATCCTCAGCTTAGCATTGCCCTTTGCCTTCATTTCAGGGAAGGGAAACGAATAATATCATCTGTATTTACCTGTTTTTTCAGAGCTGGAAGCGAAAACTAATGACTTGACTATCCTGGTCCACAACCAGGGTTACGACGATGTCACGGTTGCAGTCAGTGCCAGGCCAATATACAAACTGCTGGATGGCAACGTGGTTTTCTTCTGGTTGCAATGGCTTTGGTCCAGCATTGCCACCACAAACGTTGGCCCGAAAGCTAAAAAGAAAGTAAATACGGTGACCAGCTGGAATATGATCACTCACCAGTTGGGAAGCTGGGGGTGGAGACTTTATAACATTACCGTGCGGAGGAAGGTGGATGGATATGTTGCTACATGTACAACTCCACTGGATTGCACTTGGATAGTTGAAGAAAGGGGAATACACCAAGAAGGTGCTGCTGAAAGAAACTACTGCAAATTTGAATCACCTGCCAACAGTGAGGATTAGCTATTTTCCCCCATTCTGCTAGATGAATTATTCTGTGTAATATGGAAGCTTAGCCAAGGCTTTAACAAAATGTTTTTATTCACGTTTAGGTCAACAGATCAGCATAGTATAACCAACAAAGAACATCGCAACATATTGGGTATCACAACCTTCTACAAGAATAAAAGTTACCAACGTCTGTATTGGCTCAGTTCAATAAATCATTCCATAAATTCAGATGAGAGCGTGGTGGTGTTCTTTCACTGTCTTCTATTTTCATGCAATTAATAAATGGTTGGCCAGCCAGGTGTTGTAAAAGGAAAGGGATTTGACTTGCCTTTAGCAGCTCTAACTTGATGAGTCAATTTTTCTGCTAATGCGAGTGACCAGACTGTTACATACCATGTGTCCGAAGTAAGGAAACTTAACAAATACTAAACATCAACATAAATCAAACAAAACTGATTGTCTTACTTGCTTTGTGTTTTGTTTTTAAATCTCGGAGTATAGCAATAATTGTTTGTACCAAATTATTTAACCATAACCTCTTCATCATATTGACAGCTGCCATCAACTTTTTTCTCTCTCCTCTCTGCTCTTTGGTCCCCCAGCTGTATTCGCTACCCAATACACTAGTCTTGCAGCCCCATGAGCCATCTTATTGCATTTATTTATGGCTCTGGAAAAGGACACATCCAGATGTTTAGGACTACAGTTTTCATCATCCCCAGCCAGCCCAGCCACAGAGGAAAAAATGTTTACAAATCCTGCATTAATTCCTGACTTTGTCAATGAGATCACCCCTCTCATAATTCTGTGCTGGGTGAGCACACTGTGCTGTTAACCATAGAAGCATGTCAAGGAGCCCATGTGCTGTGCTAGATATTGGACTGGGAAGAGATAGAGGTGAATTTGAATCCCTGCTCAGCAATGAAGATAACTCGGGGTAGGACTTTTAGTGAGGTTGTCCCTGCTCTGTGGAACAGCATTCCTGTCAAGATATGACAGACACCCACTTTCTGCACTTTCTGGAAATAATTGAAGACATTTTGGTTCCAGGAAAGTGTCTCAGCTGGATTAATAGGTCTCTTCCATGGATGTCTACTAAGCAGTGTTTTAAAACTGACCCGCTGTTATTTTCTGTACTGTTTTTAAACTGATCTTTACCTGTTTTATTGCATTTTGTGCATTGCCTAGAGACATATGTGCAGAAGGCAATAAACAAATTAATAATCATAATAATCGTAACATAGGGAGACGCTGAGCAAGTTAGATGCCCGCAGCTGAATTTACCCCATAGTGTTGTTAAGATAACCTTATTATGCATTCCCTTCTCTGTCCTCTATGAGGGAGAGTCTGATCCCTATACATTCAACTATGTCACCTTGCTCTCATTTAAAAATATATGTATATATGAAATATTTCTTGGTTTACAAAAGTATTGCAATGTCTCTTTTTTCAAGTGGCATTTTCTAAAGATGTTTCATACAACCTTGCTCTCATTTTCATATGGGACCGCCTCTCCCGGTATGCCCCATGGATACCCTCAAGGTCCATAAACAGCAACACCCTAGTGGTCCCGGGCCCTAAGGAAGTTAGATTGGCTTCAACCAGAGCCAGGGCCTTCTCAACACTGGCTCCGGCCTGGTGGAACGCTCTGCCTCATGAGACCCAGGGCCCTGCAGGATCTGATTTCTTTCTGCAGGGCCTGTAAAACAGAGTTGTTCCACCCGGCCTTTGGCTTGGGGGCAGTTTGATTCCCTCCCCCTCTTTCTTTTTTCTTTTTCCTTTCTCCTCCTGTGATGAGGCTGCATTTTAATATTTTAATGTTTCAATATTTTAATGTTGTAATTTAATCTTGTTTTTAAGTTGTATTCATTCAACTTGTTTTTATTATTGCTTGTTAGCTGCCCTGAGCCCGGCCTTGGCTGGGGAGGGCGGGGTATAAATAAAAACTATTATTATTATTAATGCATTGTGGACTATGTCTTGCTGGACTCCCTACTGCAGCACCCTACTTCCAGCCTGAGGCCTCATTCCTTTCAAGGAAATGGCCTAGGAGCCACATCCTAGCGGTGTCGGCGAAGCCAGAGGCAAAACCTGGTGAAATAATGAATGTGAATTTTACCTTTGCACAGTAAGCTAATTTCTGTACGCAACGACACACGCTCTGTCCTTCATCTAGGCAAGCAAGAGACATTATCAGAGTGTAGAGGGTGGGGGGAAACAGCCTTCAGGTGGTCCTGTTCTGAAAACGTGTGCAAACAGTACAGGTGGCACATCTCAGCCCAGTATACGTGAAGGAGCATCTCCACCCCCATTGTTATGTCCTGACGCTGAGGTCCAGCGCCAAGGGCCTTCTGGCGGTTCCCTCACCGTGAGAAGGAAAACTACAGGAACCAGGCAGAGGGCCTTCTTGGTAGTGGCGCCCACCCTGTGGAACGCCCTCCCACCAGATGTCAAAGACACCTGACATTTAGAAGACATCTGAAGGCAGCCCTGTTCAGGGAAGTTTTTTATGTGTGACATTTTAATGTATTTTTAATCTTTGTTGGAAGCTGCCCAGAGTGGCTGGGGAAACCCAGCCAGATGGGCGGGGTACAAATTATCATTATTGCTATTGCTGTTGTTGTTGTCTTTTGAATAACCCTTAGAATCATAGCATTAGAAGGGATCCCCAAGGGTCATCTAACCCAACCCCTTTCAATCTCAGCTAAAGCTTCCATGACAGATGGCTCTCCAATATCTGCTTTAAAACTTCCAAGGAAGGAGAGTCTACAACCTCCCAAGGAAGATCGTTCCACGGTCAAACAGCTCTTACTGCCAGAAAGTTATTCCTGATGTTTATTTGGAATCTCCTTCCGTGTAACTTGAAGCCATTGGTTTGTGGTCTACCCTCCAGAGCAGGAGGAATCTTGCAAAAGAACTAATCCAAGTGGCTTCTTTCAGCTATGAAGTCCACCAGGGCCAGAGCCTTCTTCAGTGATGGCTCCGACCTGGTGGAATGCTCTGTCCCATGAGACCAGGGCCCTGCAGGATTTAACTTCCTTCCGCAGGGACTGTAAGACAGAGCTATTCCGCCTGGCTTTCAATTTGAACTTAGCCTGATCTTTTATGCCCCTTCCTTCCCTCCCCGTCCCCTTTTGATGAAGATTACCTGCTCTGGGATCCCACAGCTAATTCTCCCCTGGTCTCCTCGCTGGCCCAAATAGGACTAACTTAGCCAGCTAGCCCTGGTGATCATCTAATGTTTATTGGATGGATTTCCCCCCTAAATTGATTTTTGAATTCTAAATTTATTGTTATTCACGTTTTATACTGTATTTTATGCTGTTTTTTTGTTGCATCAATGAAGTGTTTTAAATTTGTTGTTCGCTGGAAGGGCGGGGTATAAATAAAAAAATATTATTATTATTTATTAAACACACAAAGCCTAACTTCTGTGGAAGTCACTGGAAGAGGACCAAAAATGTCAGCACCGACCCACCAGGTGGCACCCTGAAGCTATACACAGGGTGTAACTGAGCAAAAGACAGAGGGAGGATCCCAGGGAAAGGTAGCTACCTTTAAGGTGAGTTTATTTGTCTGCCAGATGGGAAGTCCTGGGACAGCCCCTTTCAAGCTAGTAAAGCAAGGGAGTTGATTGGGAGAGAACTGGTTTCACCACTCCTCTGCCTGAGTCTTTCATCATAACTCGGCCAGGCAGGCGGATTTTGCAATGCACGAGCCCCAGTCCGTCAACTGGCTCTAGAGAGAGCCTCGTGCAAAGGGCACCACGCTGTTGCCCAGATGTGTAAGGCCTCTGGAGAAGGAACCGAGAGAGCTGCAGGCTGCCAGAGCTGAGGAGGAGTGCTGCAAAGGGTCAGAAGCGCCTCCACAGGGAATATGGAGCTGAGATTTGCAGTGACGAAGGCAGTTCTCTCCTTTGAGTTCCTTTTCCTGCTCGGGGCTTCTCTTCCTCGCGAGGTACCCAGTAAAGAAGGTAAGGGCACTTTGGGAAAGATGGGCGTGGAGTTTTCGGTTAAACTGGACAAACTCCTTGGAAAGCACCAAGGAGGGAAAGCTTCGTTTTCCAGGCAAAAACTGCAAAAAGAAAACTGCTGGAGCATGTTATAGGGAGTCTTGGGTTAGGAACAGCTTATTAAAAAAAAGTTGCACTGTGTGTTGAGTTCCGGCAGATGAGAAATTAGGAAAGAGCCTCCTCACGCACTTGTGATTTTTAAGTGTGCACCTAAGAATGTAAAGCATGAATGTGGTGGACCTGTGTTCTGTCAGTACAGGTGTGCTTAGTGCTGGGTTGACTGTGGCACCAAGTGGCAAACTTGGAATTACTGCTGCGTTGTGTGTGAAACAGCCTTAGGTGGTAAAGAGATGCTTGAAAAGGCCTTGATTGGCAAGCTCACTTAACCATCTCTGCCCGTCATGAAGCTGATTTTACTTACCTGGAAAGTAGCATTGAAGTGAGGAGTGGCATCCCCAATACGTGAAAAATCTCTCAAAATAACACATGCTTAGTCTTAAGCTCTAGGTTTTTTTGCTTGAAAAAGAGGGTCTTTGTTTTTACTTAGCTTTCCAGGCCCTGGTGTTTTGTTTTGTTTTTAAAAAAACCTTTCTTTTTTTGAAATATAAAAATATATTAGGAGCAGTGAAATGCCCTGATATAAGCAAGCTGTAGGCAAATGATATGACTCCAAGGACTTTATAGAGCCCATTACTTTAGAACCTTAGCGCTAACCTGAATCACATATATATTCCGCTTACACGGAGCAGACACTCTGTAGCTTGTAATTTCTGTGCCTGGAGATGGTTCTCAGTACTATGCCTCTCCCACCCACCCCGGCACAGTACCACAAAAAATAAAAATTATAATCTGGCAGATTACATGCAAGACGTAAAACAAAGCAGTAGTTTTCTATGAACCCATCCCTGTAAGGAGTAAATAATAAACAATGAGGAGGGTCAAGAATGTTTATGGACCTTTAAGGATAACTCTGCTGAAATTCAAAGTTCTCATTAAGCAAGACAGAATGCTTAATGAAACAGACATTAAAAATAAATAAAATTTCTGTCTATTGCTGTCCAAAGGGTATATATCTATTGATTCCCAACCCTAGCCCTCAGCCAGCTGAATGAGCTTCTGTGGCATGGAGTCACTGAGAAGCTTCAATGATTTCCCCCTTCCTGTCTAACCAGCTGCCCTTGCTAAGCCTCCTAGCAAGCTACCATCTGGCATTCCACCAAGCTTTCCTGATTATTCCAACATGAAAAGGGGGAAATACATAATAATGTTTGAATAGTTAGCACTATATAAATCACATGACATTTTTTGGAATTATTTATTTATTTAAAAGATATTTATTGGTTTTTAAAATACAAAATTATAAAACATACCACACAATTTATCACAAATACATTCATTATTGGACTTCCATCAGCATCTCTGTTAATCCTCCATCTTAAACGCTTTTTCTGCATTTCCTAACTTAATATTGCCTTTAGCTCTCATAACATATCATCTCTCCTTCTCCATTTTTACAATATTTCTAATGTTATCCCTCACAGAACTTCTTGAAAACCTACAAACGTCATCTGATCATCACATATACTTTTCAAATAATCCGCAAATTTACTCCAGTCTTCGCTAAATTTCTGGTCGCACCGGTTTCGGATCCTTCCCGTTAGTTTGTCGAGTTCCGCATAATCCATTAATTTCATCCTCCGTTCTTCCATCATCGGTAATTCTTCTTGCTTCCATTTTTGGGCCTTTTTGGAATTTGTTAAAATTTATTTTTATCATTAAAAATTTACATTCAAACATTTTGTGTAATCATTTTGTGATATTCTCTGAATCTCGTGACTTTCCCCCATCACATACATGGGTCCTTAAAACGGAGTTTAAAACTGCATATCAGTATGTTGTCCATAATTTTCATTTTTCCAAATTATCCGTAATCTTCGTTACTTTACAAGTGTTTCTTAGAGTCCAGCTAGGGTTTTAATTTGCTTACAATGGCCTCCTAGGTAAGTTATAAATTTCCCCCATTTTTTAAATGTCCTTTTCTTCTTGATTCCTGAGTCTCCCTGTTAGTTTTGCCGTTTCGGCATAGTCTAGCATTTTGGCTTGCCATTCTTCCCTTGTTAGGATTGACGCTTCTTTCCATCTTTGGGCTAATAATATCTGTGCAGCTCTTGTCGCATACATAAAAAGTCTTTTCTGATCTTTTGGAATTTCGGTACCTGTAATTCCAAATAAAAACGCTTCTGATTTTTTGACAAAAGTTATTTTAAACATGTTTTTTTAAAGTTCATTATATACCATTTCCCAGAATGATTTTGTTATCTTACATGTCCACCACACATGATAAAAGGTACCCTCCTTTTCTTTACACTTCCAGAAGACATTTGAACTTGTCTTGTAAATTTTAGATAATTTAGTAGGAGTCAAATACCACCAGTACATCATTTTCGTATACAGTGATACCTCGGGTTACATACGCTTCAGGTTACAGACTCCTCTAACCCAGAAATAGTGCTTCAGGTTAAGAACTTTGCTTCAGGATGAGAACAGAAATCATGCTCTTTTGGCGCGGCGGCAGCAGGAGGCCCCATTAGCTAAAGTGGTGCTTCAGGTTAAGAACAGTTTCAGGTTAAGAACAGACCTCCAGAACGAATTAAGTACTTAACCCGAGGCACCACTGTAGTTTTCTTTCAGCGTACAAAAATCACATGACCTTTGATGCTTTTTATTCACACATTCCCCCATATAATTTCTATTGAAGTGTTGAAGTTGTAAGAAAAGGAAAATTTGGCATAGGGAAAATGAGAAAGACAGGAGGAGGAGATGATACCAGAAGAAAAGCATTATGCAGCATCAATGCTCTCATGCTTGCTGTACACCTATCCTGACTGAGACCATAGCAGGTTTGATGATGGTACTGTGAATTCTTTGCTAGGGATCCATCCATGCCAAACCACTCTTTACTTCACTTGTCACAGCTATAGTTCCCAGGACATTTAAACCAACTTAAGACTATAAAGGTGAAAGGACCCCTGACCATTAGGTCCAGTCGTGACCGACTCTGGGGTTGCGGCGCTCATCTATCTTTATTGGCCAAGGGAGCCGGCGTACAGCTTCTGGGTCATGTGGCCAGCATGACTAAGCCGCTTCTGGTGAACCAGAGCAGCGCACGGAAACGCCGTTTACCTTCCCGCCAGAGCGGTTCGTATTTATCTACTTGCACTTTGACATGCTTTCGAACTGCTAGGTTGGCAGGAGACTTAAGACTATGGTGTGGTGTAAATATGGCCCAGAGACTTCACAGGTGATTAGTGTGAAGGGAAGTCTTGGTAATAATTGACATTGTTAGTCAAAATGACTGCGATTAAAATCACTCAATCAGAATACTTTAGTTTCACCAGTTTGTCAGCAGACCAAGCAAGTTTACATCATTGTGTCTGTGGCTGACAACATATAATATCGGAACGATCTCTAAACCTGAAATACGGAAATATGGCATAACTAATTGGTGAAATTACTGGGTTAGAATGACATTAGCAAATGGGGAATTTATAAAGTGATAAATATATTTGCTCTGCACACTGCAGGTGCAGAGTTCACAAAACTCATGAGAACTTCGAAGCTGAACGTATATAAGTGCTCTTCAAATATTGATTTCAGTATTTCAACGTCTCATGAAAACCCTGACGGCCTTTACGCCCTTCCTCTTTGGCCTCTAGCTCTGTTTGGCTGGCACCTTCTCCTTATCTAATGCAGTGATACTGTTGAAGTTTTCGAATAACGGGCTCCTTGTATGAATTGCTTAAAGTAGTTGTTTTTATTATAAGATGGGTGCCCTTATCCGAAACCCTTAATCTGCTTTTAAGGTAAAGGGACCCCTGACCGTTAGGTCCAGTCGTGACCGACCCTAGGGTTGCGGCGCTCATCTCGCTTTATTGGCCAAGGGAGCCGGTGTACAGCTTCCGGGTCATGTGGCCAGCATGACTAAGCCGCTTCTGGTGAACCAGAGCTGCGCACGGAAACACCGTTTACCTTCCCACTGGAGTGGTACCTATTTATCTACTTGCACTTTGACGTGCTTTCGAACTGCTAGGTTGGCAGGAGCTGGGACCGAGCAATGGGAGCTCACCCTGTCACGGGGATTCGAACTGCCGACCTTCTGATCGGCAAGCCCTAGGCTCTGTGGTTTAACCCACAGCGCCACCCGCATCCCAAAAATCTGCTTTTAACTAGTATCAAAATGTATTTGGAGCCGATGTTCTGCATTTCCATGGGCAAGTTGCATCAAACCAACCTGTCAAGGTTCATAGCTGTCCAGAACCTGATTACTTTAACCCCCTTACTTGATCCCACTTTACATGTTACACACATGAAGGGAGAAAAGAAGGAATGGCCATAAATGAGCACATTATTACATCACCCTATGCCTCTGCTTCCCCCTTCTTCAAGAAAACTTACTCTGAAGATGCTGCCCAGAATTTTCTTGGAGAAAGAGAAGTGTGAAAGAAGTCTTTTAAATTGAATTTAATCTCCTGTGGGAATGAAGTGATAGGTCTAATTAGTGAATAGCTCGCAGGTCTGGCAAGAAGGACGTCCCTTCACTACATATCCTATTGTTACTGTGCTGGCTGCAGATAACAAGCGTTGCTATTCTTTGTAACCCTTCATTTCCATATAACTTTATGCCAAATACATTTTACTTCTCTCTCTCTTTCTGCAACGCCCACCCCTCTGGATTGATTTAGATTGAGGGTACCAGTGAATAGCACCCAGAAAAGGAACTCTATGTCAGACATGGGGGTTTGCTTGAGTCGGACTCACTGAAGCATTTTTTGAGTGGGTGATTTATTGAGTTGTATTCTGCCTACTTCTGGCAATGAATTCAAAGCAGTGTCGTGCCATTTTAAACAATCACAGCTTTCTCCCCCCAAAAATCCCAGGAGCCGTAGTTTGTTAAGAGTGCTGAGACCCTTATTCCCTTCACAGAGAAACCATTTTCAGAGTTCCCTGGGAAGAGAGAGTGACGGTTAAATCAATATATGAATTGCAGCTCTGTGTGGGGAATGGGGGGGGGGGGTGTTGGTTCTCCTAACAACTCTCAGCGCCCTTAAAAATGCATTTTCCAGAATTCTTGTCAGGAAACCATCACTGTTTAAAGTGGTATGATACTGCTTTGAATGCATAGTGCAGATGGGGGGGGGCAATGTCGCCTACCCTCTCAATTCCAGCAAATATATTATGAACCCCTCTTGTGAGCTGTGCACAGTGTGGCAAGATTTCATTTCATTTCTTCTTGAAATATTTCTTGAAAATGTGAAATAGGTCACATTTTGGAGCAGAGCTTTCACAGGGCAGCTTACCTAAAACAACCACAAATTCCAATCACACGTTTCAATTAAAAAACAACAGCAGCCATTTTAAAGCAATCTAAAGTGACACCTGGGCCAGCAGGACAACGTTCGAGACCAGATCTGGACAATCCAGATTTTTGTTGTATTAGTGGATGTCATAGGAGATTGGGGAAGCTATCAAGTCCCACTGTTTTAATTAGTGCCGATACTTCTCCCCCCAGTTTCTCAAACCTTTTCCTCCTCAGCAAAAGGGTTCCCATTTTTCTCTCACATTCTCAGGGTGTTTTAGAATTTCTTTAAAATATGAGTGGTTGTGGGGTTTTGAGCTTATTTTATCATCGTGAGATGGCCAAGGGTGGTACATGTGCTACCCGTTCCTGTAAACATCTACCCAGAAATTTGCAGCCTCCCCAGCTGACCATGATATTAAAAAGGCCCATGGAAGAAGTTACCTTATGATGTTTTCCCCTGGGCTTTAACTGACACGTGGGCACCTGGGAAGGCTGCAGAGTGCCAGCTGAGAGGATTTCTAGAATGAAAGAAAGGACACTGAGAAACCAAAACACACTCTGTCCACCTCAAAAGTAAGATAAGCACAACAAAAACCCTACCCTGAGAGTTTCACCCCTTCAAATTATTCTCTCCCCTTTGAGAAGTTTCTAATGCCTTTTTCCATCTCATTAATTGATGGAGAATGTTTGTTTGTTTTACCCTGCAGAAGAAATTTTCAGCACGGCAGCTTAAATTATTAAGCACCGAGTTGAAAATGAGTCACTGTGGCCTTAATGGTCATTCTAGCCTCTTATTAGTCTGCAGCACAATACAGAAATCCATTTGAGATGTGTCAGAATGAAGAAAGTGGAACAAACTGTGGGTAATGTAGCAAGAAAAACAACTTGCTCATCTTGGGCATTTCAAAGCGGGTTTCTTGTGTGTTCTTCTTCCATACCTGCAGAAGCATTCTTCTACTCCATGCAAACTTATGAAAGACAAGGATCCTTTAGACATAGACCTCCCCTCTACCCAACATGGATAAATAAACATTATGGGCAGTACAGATCAGATCCTCAGCACATGCCAAAATGCAAGCAGTCATCCAGGGAGAAGAGTAGCAAGGAAAGGGCCTGCTCAGATCCACTCACCCTAGTCATAGCCTACTCAGAGGCCTGTAGGCCCTGCTGAACATCCGTATCAGGGCAATAGGCAATATTGGGCAGAATTGGAAGGTTCAATTTTCAGGTCCTGGTATCTCCAGTTACAAGGATCTCCAGCAGCAGGGCTGGGCCTGAGGCAGCTCATTTGGTAAAGCCTGAGCCTCTTAATCTCAGGGGTGTGGTTCGAGCCCCATGTTGAGCAAAATATTCCTGCATTATAGGGGGGTTAGACTGGATGACTCTGATGGTGCCCATGATGCTATTATCTTGTAGTCTGCAAACATGGAGAACCACCGTCAGTAAGAGTTGTTAAGGAGACTTCCTGTAGTTAAGAAGCAGAGTCTAAATGTTTTATATGAGCAAAAATCTATTCCCGCTGTCCCTACTTTCCTTCACTTTTTGTTCCTGGCCATAGTAAAACACTCCCTTGTGTTGCCCTTCGGAAGCACAGCTTTAAAACGGAGTTGTGAGTTGTCTTCTGGTTTCCGGCACCACCTCTCGGTTGGCTGACTGAAATCAGTGGTAGTTCTAATCCGACGTTGTTGGGAGTCTGGTAAATATTTTGCAGTGGTCTGCACAGAGAAACAGTCTGGTAAGACTTCAAGTTGAAAGGATAAAGAAGACTTAAGGTTTATTACTCACAGCAAACAAGGCCATGCTAAGCACCTGTTTTGCACGTGGCCAAGATGGAGCCAATAGGTTAGCATTACAACCACATGCTAATTCATTCCGTCACTAACCTGGACTAACTTGGCGAAGGAGGAAGGAAGTAGAAGCCTGAACAGAAGTAATCTGCTTTACTAAAAAGTACTTCCTAGAAAAGAGTGTGTGAGGCAAGAACAGATTGCCTTTTTGGCCTATAAACACTGCCCTCTGCCCCGTTCATGTAACTAGTTGCAAGCATTGTTGCTCTACTCCAAGCAAAAGTATCTGGAGGGCATCAGGTTGGGGAAGCCAGCTGTAGAAGTTAAATCTGAGAGTACAGGGTGGATGCATCTTCACTGTAGTGCACATGCACACTGAATGCAAGTGCATCAACATTGAAGCACCTCATAGGCAGAAGCTCTTTTCACACACTTCAGGCGGCGACATTCAGATTAAACTGTTTGTTGTCGTTGTTTAGTTGTTTAGTTGTGTCGGACTCTTCGTGACCCCATGGACCAGAGCACTCCAGGCACTCCTGTCTGCCACTGCCTCCCGCAGTTTGGTCAATCTCATGCTGGTAGCTTCGAGAACACTGTCCAACCATCTCGTCCTCTGTCGTCCCCTTCTCCTTGTGCCCTCCATCTCTCCCAACATCAGGGTCTTTCCCAGGGAGTCTTCTCTTCTCATGAGGTGGCCAAAGTACTGGAGTCTCAGCTTCAGGATCTGTCCTTCCAGTGAGCACTCAGGGCCGATTTCCTTAAGAATGGATAGGTTTGATCTTCTTGCAGTCCATGGGACTCTCAAGAGTCTCCTCCAGCACCATAATTCAAAAGCATCAATTCTTCGGCGATCAGCCTTCTTTATGGTCCAGCTCTCACTTCCATACATCACTCCTGGGAAAACCATAGCTTTAACTATACTAGTATCATATTATAGGACAATGGTGTTTTAAATCAGCGATGGGTGAGCTATTGCAAAGCAGCTGAGAAGAGCCTTTAAGTGATGTTTAACACTTGGAGGCCTCCGGTAGTGATCCTTGCTGTGATAGCACTGGTGCTAAAAGTGCACAAGAGTGTTCCACTTCTTATCTGTTAGATGTTACTACTGTGTGGGTCAGTGATGCTCCAGACTTAAAAGAGCACTTTATTATCACCCTAGGTCTTCATTAGAGGAGTAGATAAGGATTCTTCAGACCCCACAGGTTACTTCATTGGGGATTTTCTCTCATGAGCTTACTACATGCTCTGATTTACAGACTTCACTGATTTGTGGAGATAGTGAAAGCAGGGCTTGGGTGGTAATAAGAAAAAGCACAATATCATCACAGTAACACAGATGTGTGCATGTAATGCTTTTTTAATTAATAGCAACATTTATATACAGGCAGTGACCATTTTAGGCATGATTGTGCATGTGTGCATCACACCAAACCCGGAAGTGGCCCAGAAACGTCACAGAAAGTGACGGTGGTTGAACAGGCTTTTTCAATGGTGTTTCAAATATAGGTGATTTCACTTAAACACGCAGTGCCTTGGAACATGTTGTTGTTTAGTCGTTTAGTCATGTCCGACTCTTCGTGACCCCATGGACCAGAGCACGCCAGGCACTCCTGTCTTCCACTGCCTCCCGCAGTTTGGTCAAACTCATGTTTGTAGCTTCGAGAACACTGTCCAACCATCTCGTCCTCTGTCATCCCCTTCTCCTTGTGCCCTCCATCTTTCCCAACATCAGGGCCTTTTCCAGGGAGTCTTCTCTTCTCATGAGGTGGCCAAAGTACTGGAGTCTCAGCTTCAGGATCTGTCCTTCCAGCGAGCACTCAGGGCTGATTTCCTTCAGAATGGACCTTGGAACATAGCCCCCATGTAAATTGGGAGTTGCCTGTGTTCTTTTTATCTCTGTGAACTGCCCTGAGGGCCATTTGGCTGAAAAGCAGTATAGAAATATGTAAGATAAAAAAAATGAATGTGATTGTGGCATAAATAACAAAAGTATTGTAGCCCCTTCAAGACAAACAAATTTATTGTGGGATAAGCTTTCATGGACTAGTCACTAGAGTAGATGTCATCAGATTCATGAAATGTTACTAACTGGTAGATACACACAGGAAAAAGGAGAGAGATTAAAGGAGAAGGAGAAAGCATTGAAAGCACAATTCAAGATATTAAAAGATCAGGAGTAAATAATGGGCTGATGCACACAAAAGGGCTTAAAAGGAGTTAGAGAATCAACAGAATGAAATTTGAAGGAGGAGTTGGGAAAGAGAAGCAAGAACTAGGAAGCGACAACAACAACAAAAAACCTCTCACAACCAGGGCAGGGAGAGAGGAGAAAGAAGATGAGCTGTAGGGAACGAGGGATGAGGTTTACAGAATAGGAAAGACCTGCACAGTTGGCCTCACCCACATAATTGTGGGGCTTTAGAAGCTGCAGCCGTGCTGTTGGCATGAACCTGTGGGAAAGCAGCTTCCACCGGGAGGCTGTAATGTCTAACGTGTGCCGTAGTCAGCCCAAACCACAGCTTGCAAATCCACTTCTAATCATGGTTCCAAACTGTGGTCTGATGCTGGCTAAGATTAGGGAAAGCACAGGTGCAGCCCTTGACTCTAATTATAGCCCCGAAACGGAAAGCATGCCCATACGAGAGGCGAGGTGGGTGTGGAAGGAGAGTGTGGGGCCCATAAGGTGCTCTAATCCCCTAACCAGTCTTACATTTGCATCACGCCAAAAATAAGATTGCCAACTGGAGGTTGGGATTTTTGTTTAACAGACATTCAGTCTTTCTTATGTGTCATATCAGAACAGTGGTACCTCGGGTTACATACGCTTCAGTTTACAAACTCCGCTAACCCAGAAATAGTGTTTCAGGTTAAGAACTTTGCTTCAGGATGAGAACAGAAATTGTGCTCGGGCGGCACGGCAGCAGCAGGAGGCCACATTAGCTAAAGTGGTGCTTCAGGTTAAGAACAGTTTCAGGTTAAGTACGGACCTCCGGAACGAATTAAGTACTTAACCCGAGGTACCACTGTACATACAGTAGCCCAAAGTGGGGATCCCATAACTGTTGAATAGTTTTATTCAAAAAAGTGACTGCATGTGCATCTTTGACTCCCATGATCCCCTGGCCTGTCATTCCTGTCTCTGGTTAGTTCCCTGAGGCAACACTAATTGATCTTTTGTTCTGGTAATTTGTCCCTGTCACTTTTCATTCTTTTGTTAGGTCAGGCTCCTCTGTGCTGAAGAGATGACTGCTAGTGTCAAGGCACCCCTTTCCCATTCTAATAAACCCCAAATAATGTTACGGCTGTTTTTTGCCACTTTACTTGCCACAGCAGTAGACAAATCATGGTGACTTCTTCTGGGAGTCATTTGTTCATGAGAGGAACTTGAAGTATGAGTCAGTAATTCTCTCAGCTCAGCTGCTGCAAGTTCTGTGATTTAAGATGTACGTTTCAGAAATCAGGTTGGTGTGGCTGAGATCCATTAACTGTTGGCTCAGACATTTTATTGCTTGCAAAATGGATGGAATACAGAAAGGACAAGGGCTCCTCTTCTGTGCTCCCCCCCCCATTTTTTTAAAAAATAAAATTGTGTGGAAAGAGGAAGGGAGACCTTTCAGCCATGTAAAGGAACCAGAGGACAGTGTGAAGTATAGGGATGAGTCCTGTCATGAGCCATAGAGGCCTGGGGTACCACATTTGGCACATGGCCTGAGATTCCCCATTCCTTGTTTACATTGTCCACATCTCACTACCAGTCTCTCTTTAAAATGGATGTGTTTTATTTTGTAGTACAACTTCCAGGTGCCCAGGTGTCCCAAAGACTGGTAAGGTCCAGTCCAGGGGTAGGCAACCTAAGGGCCGTGGGCTGGATGCGGCCCAATCACCTTCTCAGTCCGGCCTGCAGACAGTCCAGGAATCAGCATGTTTTTACATGAGTGGAATGTGTGCTTTTATTTAAAATGCATCTCTGGGTTATTTGTGGGGCATAGGAATTCATTCATTCCCCCCCAAAAAATATAGTCTGGCCCACCACATGGTCTGAGGGATGGTGGACTGGCCCACGGCTGAAAAAGGTTGCTGACCCCTGGCCCAGTCCCTATGTAGGGTGGCAGTTATGCATCCCCAAAGGTGATAATTTGCATCAACAAAAAAAGAGGACATCCATTTGAGCATAAGAATTTAATTTAAGTGTAGTATAGGTGCAAATGTAGGAGTAATTGACAGAATTTAAACAGATGTGCAATACCTCTCTCCACAGTGTGTAAGACACCAGGTGATGTGTGTCTTCCCAGTCTGCTGTGCAGGTGTTGCTATGTGTTGATGGGGAATCTTCAGACCTTTCTTGATCTGCACAGCTCTCAAACAGAGGACACATTCAAACAGAGGACTCTGCCTCCCTTGGAGGTTTCCAAGCAGACGTTGGATGGCCATCCGTCATGGATGCTTTAGTTGAGATTCCTACATTGCAGAGGGTTGGACTAGAGGAATCTTGGGGTCCCTCCCAACTCACAATTCTATGATTCGGTAAAGGAGGACACATGTGCATCCTATACCTGTGACAAGTACAGGAACAACAGGAGATCTTGGTGCTGTATAGCAAGTGGCAGCACAGGATTGGCTCTCTGGGATCGTACGATTCTCAAGGTCACAGAATCACAGACCTGTAGAGTTGGAAGGGATGATGAGGATCATCTGTTCCAACCCCCTGCAATGCAGGAATCTTTCACCCAATGTGGGGCTCAAACCTACAACCCTGAGATTAAGAGTCTCATGCTCTACCAACTGAGCTATCAGGAGGTCCCTTCATACCTTTATGGTTCCACTAGTGACTTTCAATGAAGCTGCCTTTCTTTGGCATAAAGGATAGCCTGTACAGTAAGGGCCTATTACATGGTGACTTGAAATCCAATATTTTGCTGCCTCTCCTTCTAATTTTTGTTTGTTTTCTGATTTTCAGTGAACCTTCTTGACACGAGCATTGCTCAGAATGAGCTGGGTTGGTTGCCACATCCTCAAGAAAACGGGGTGAGTAGCCAGTGCATGTTCAGAAATAGAACTGGAAGCAATCTACCTGTATATTGAAATGCATGGAGGGGTTTTGTGGCGGTGGTAGTGACACCTCTGGCGGTGATAGGTTGCCATTGGCTGAGGTTCTCTGATGTCAGAGAGGGACAATGCAGGTTGAGGTCTATAGAGAATGAGAGGCAGAAGAGGCAGAGGCCTTAGAAAAGATCAGATGAGGTAAGATGGCCCGTTATGCTTTGCCAAAAAAAATTGGCAGACCAAAAAAAAAGACATAAATTTGCATAAACTCTGTGCATGATAATTTATGTGTATATGTATTCATATGTACACACAAATGTAGAAATAACTGGTAGAATTTAAATAGAAATACAAAACATCTTACAATAGTGGGGAAGATGCCAGGTGACTTGGTTGCCTGATCAGTTTGCTGACTATTGATGGGCAACTTCTCATTTTTTTTCCGTTCCTGAGCTTTAAACCAGACTTAGACTGGAATGGACAGCCCTCAAATAGAGGGCACCTTCAAATATAAGACTGACTACAGTAGTACTTTGGGTTACAGACGCTTCAGGTTACAGACTCCGCTAACCCAGAAATAGTACCTCGGGTTAAGAACTTTGCTTCAGGATGAGAACAGAAATTGTGCGGTGGCAGCGCGGCAGCAGCGAGAGGCCCCATTAGCTAAAGTGGTACCTCAGGTTAAGAACAGTTTCAGTTTAAGAACAGACCTCCAGAACGAATTAAGTCCTTAACCTGAGGTACCACTGTACTGACAGCCATTTGGGATCAAGGATTGTCCTCTGTAAAATAGGTTGGGTGGCTACCCTACGTAGGGGTGGGTTGAGAAAGAAAACAAGTCAAAGGAAGCAATGAATTGTGGCTGGGACAGGAGGATTTGAAGGTCTACTGGGGGAGGGGGGAGAGGTGATGAAGAGAAAAGGGTGAGGGTTGACAAAGAAATGGAAGCTGGGAGAAAATGGACAAGAGCTACGGATGTGAGGAAAGCTGAAGGTGACATTTGGACCTGAAATAACCCGTCAAATCTAGGTCTGCAAACCTTCACTTTGTAACCAGACATCAGCCCAGCCTTATATTCCAGACCTGAGTTTTCTACACATGGCTCTTAAAGGTAAAGGTAAGTCCAGTCGTGACCGACTCTGGGGTTGCAGCTCTCATCTCGCTTTATTGGCCGAGGGAGCCGGCGTACAGCTTCTGGATCATGTGACCAGCATGACTGAGCCGCTTCTGGCAAACCAGAGCAGCGCACGGAAACGCCGTTTACCTTCCCGCCGGAGTGGTACCTATTTATCTACTTGCACTTTGATGCGCTTTCAAACTGCTAGGTTGGCAGGAGCAGGGACCGAGCAACGGGAGCTCACCCCGTCACGGGGATTCGAACCGCCGACCTTCTGATCAGCAAGTCCTAGGCTCTGTGGTTTAACCCACAGCACCACCCACGTCCCACACACATGGGGGCTCTTACTTGGCTTTTATACCTCATCTGGTTCCTGATCATCTCCCATTCTCAGGCAGTTCCACTTCCAACTCCACCCCCAGCTTTCTCTCTCTCCTCCTCTGGACTTCACAAGACAGCAAGACAGCTTTTCTGCACTGCAAGGACACTTCCAAATTCCTTCACTTCCCTTTTAAAGCAACTCTGTGGGCAGAAAACTAAACACATTCAAAAGTTAGGATTGCCTCAAAAATGGGAGAGAACTCTATCAAGGATTTATTTATTTATTTAAATATTTTTTTATTTTATTTGCTCAACACCTAACAAAAAAAGACAAATTACACCATAATAAGAATACCGTCAGTCACGCCCTACATAAAGAATTAATATAAATTTCATAATCCATAAACTGTAAAGTCTGCGCCTCCTAGTATTGGACTCATTTGAAATAAAAAAACTAGTTTCGGGAGTATGTTCATCTTAATGATTGAAATCCTTCCCAGGAATGTTAGTCTCAATCTGCTCCAGGTTTCAAGATTCCTTTTAATTTCTAGCCAAGTTTTTGTATAGTTGTCCTGGAATAAATTAATATTTTTAGGGGTGATCCAAATACCCAAATATTTTGCTTTCTGGCAGATCCGCAATCCCGATGTTTCTTCTAATTCGATTTTTTCTTGTTTCGATAAGTTTTTAACTAATAATTGTGTTTTGGTAGTATTCAACTTGAAACCTGCCACCTCTCCAAATATTTAATCACCTTTACCACTCTTCTCAAGCTTTCTTTAAGGTTTTCACTCATAATAATCAGGTCATCGGCAAAGGCTTTGAGCTTGTATGTTTTGTTGCCCAGGATGATGCCTTTGACAGATTGGTCTTCCCGAATTTGATTGTTCGTTACCTCCATTACCATAATGAAAATAAGGGGGGATAAGGGGCATCCTTGCCTGGTTCCATTACTAATGTTACACTCCTCCAAGATATTGCCATTAATAATTATTTTGGCCCGCTGTTCTGAGTAAATTGGTCGGGGCTTGAGGCAAAACAAGGGATGGGATGCATGAGAAGGGGATGGGGAGTTTATGTCAGGACACTGTCTGTAATCCTCACTATGCATAACTGTCAACCGTCCCTTATTTGGCGGGAAAGTCCCTTATCCCAGCGCTGTGTCCCGCTGCTGTCCCTTATTGATGATGTCGCTTAAATTTCCCGGGTTTCAAAGGAAGCAGCTCCTCTCCTTCCCTCCCTGCTGGCCAGGGAGGAGGGAGGCTCCAACTGTGTTGCTTGGCTGCGTTGCTCACCCAATAAGGAGTCTAAGAACGACTGGGGGGTGGCGCTTGCATGCCTTATGCCAATCAAATCGGCCACATTGCCTGGGGACTCGCCTTTGCTCAGCGCTTCCCAGTGGAGAGGTGATGTGGTGGTTTTCTTTGCTGCATCTCCTTTGCCGGGTTGCTGCTCTGTGGGAATCACCGCTTGAGGCTTTGTTTGGCTGCTGGCTGGGCTTTCTGCCTTTGGCTCGGAGGGGCTCAGAAGTTGAACATACCTGTGCTTGGAAAATCCCTTATTTTGGCTGCTGATCCCTTATTTTCAAGGCTGCTGGTCCCTTATTTTCAAATCTGTAAGTTGACAGCTATGTCACCATGTCTTCTCAGAAGTAAATCCCACACACTCCAGTGGGACTTAAGTCAGAGTCAATCTAGGATTGTAGGTTTTGAGGAGAGGAGAGGAAGTGGGGAAAGCAAAGAAAAAGGGGGAGAGAGTAAGACTGAAGTGGCCGGGGGGGGGGGCTCTTGTGGATTCACAACAAATGAAATTGCCACCTTGAGCAAAGGTGGAAGAAGCAGGGGACCAGACACCTAGTGAAGGGTGTGTACTAGGAATCTGAAGTCACAGTGCAAGCCTAGTCATGTTTACTAAGAAGCAGGGTTGTAGTTTTTAGCAGGAACCCTTATATTTTAAAAATTAATATGGGGGGGGGAAGGAGGCTGGAACAGATAAACATATGCCAAATGCCCAAGCCAAAAATCCATCTGCATCTCTACAGTCATACCTCAGGTTACAGACGCTTCAGGTTGCATTTTTTCAGGTTACGGACGCGCCGAAACCTGGAAGTACTGGAACGGCTTACTTCCGGGTTTCGGCTGTCACGCCTGCACAGAAGTGCTAAATCACGCTTTGCGCATGCGCAGAAGTGCCAAATCGCAACCCGTGCGTGCGCAGACGCAGTGCTGTGGGTTGCGGCACTGCGGGTTGCGGACGTGCTTCCTGCACGGATCATGTTTGCAACCCAAGTGTCCACTGTAATCAATAAAGTTGTGGCCATTTCTAACCCAGATCATTGTCTGCTTGGGTTTATTAATCATATCTTACATTTAGCCACTGCCTGGGGGTGGCATGGCAACTAGGCCCGCAATCTGTCTATCTGTATAGCCATTGATTGATTGATTGATTGATGAGTTTCCCCATCTTTTTTCCAGAAAAAAAAACCCAATGGCTATTAGTATTTGTTATTTGATTTGTGTTTTCTGGTTTCCTTCTTTAAGAAGCTTTGCTTTTTGTATTTCTTTATCCTGGGTGGGGGTGGGGATGGGGGGAAAACACACAACCCCTTTTATGTTAATTAATTATGTTAATTGTTCAAAGCCTTGAGTTTTTATCTTTTCAGTTCCGAAACCTATAATATAACACCCTGGAGATGTTACACAGTTTCTGTTAAAGAGATTTTCCCAAATGAAATTTTTGAGCAGATCACAGCCTTTTTTTCTTTTCTTTTTTAAACTTTGTGGAAGACTACCTAGTTATACCTCGAACATTCTTTGGAATGCACTGTAAATCTCCGTTGCCCCCGGGGATTGTCACATACATTTCAGCTTGCCTTTTGATGTTCCTGCAACGCAGTGTGCTAACCTTGAGCATTCCAAATTGCTACCACTTGCTCCCAGTTTAGTGTGGAGGGGTGTGTGTGTGTGTGTGCCCCTCAAACAGTACCGGATTTATGTATAAGCTAAACAAGCTATAGCTTAGGGCCCCACTCTCTTGGGGGGCCCCCAAAAAAATTAAAGGGAAAAAAACTGGAGGTACATTTCCAAAATATAAGATAAAAAACAAATAAAATAAAACCTACATACAGCAACAGTGTTCCACTATTAATATACTTCTTCTTAATTGTATTTCAGTTCAACAGTTACTTTGATAAAATACATATTTTGTTTTGTGCAAATGGCTTTAGATACCTATTAGGTCCATAAATTACCATGTAGCATATATTCAAAACAAAAAACAGCGACAATTTGTTGTTGACAAAGGACAGCTGGACATATACAGGGCCCCATTACCTTCAGTAGCTTAGGGCCACATCAAACCTAAATCCGGCCCTGCCCTCAACCTATGGAAAAGGGTGAGGAAGGGGTCCATGCATACAGTTTCCTTGAGCAATAATTCCAAAGTCTTTCTTTTTACATGAGTGTGCTTTATGGGGTTAGTTTCAAGAGCATCCTGGAGACTTATGGTGATTTTGTAATTCCTTTTTTATTTACAACTACAGTGGTACCTCAGGTTACAGACGCTTCAGGTTACAGACTCCGCTAACCCAGAACTGGTGCTTCAGGTTAAGAACTTTGCTTCAGGATGAGAACAGAAATCGTGCTCCGGCGGCGCAGCAGCAGCAGGAGGCCCCATTAGCTAAAGTGGTGCTTCAGGTTAATAACAGTTTCAGGTTAAGAACGGACCTCCGGAACAAATTAAGTACTTAACCCGAGGTACCACTGTATAACTGAGAAGTTGAGCAGCATGGGTACATGCATTGCAGGCACACTGATGGGCAGTGCTAGCCTAATATTGTGTCCGTAACACCAAAGTAATAGCAGCCCATCTCTGTTTTCCTCTAACTAGCCTAATTCACAATGTCTTTCTTTTTCACTCTCTTGACAGACACACACAGAGGCAGAACCCTCTTTTGGTTTTCCAGGGCCAAACTAAATACAATAAAAATAATGTTATTAGCCCTTGCATGTTTGCTTGTTTTCAGAATTTGCACTTGGCATGGGGGCAGGAAAAACTGAATTGGGATCAGGGTGCGAGAGATAGGGAAGCCTTGACCCTTTGACCCAGCTGTTATATATAAACCAATCCGACAAGGGATAATGCCAGGATGCCATCACATCTAGTCTGACCCTCAGCCCCATCCCACCAGGTTTGGTGTGCCTTCTATTCCTGGGTTAAGAAGCACCAGTTGATCATTAATGCCCATTCAGTAAGTAACTTCCTCTGTACAAAATCTTAGGCAGATGATCCTTTTTTGCTTTGTAGAATAGTAGAAACACGGTGGTAGCCCACATTTTCATCAAGTGTGCTACAAATTAAGTCCATAATATGAGACAGTATTACATCATTGCACATTACCATTCAGTGCCTTTTGTGGGGGGTGGGATACTTTGGGTGGGTCTGGAAAAAAGAGGGCTGGAATAGGGTTGTTATACGTCCGGAATACAGTCATACCTCATGTTACGTTTGCTTCAGGTTGCGCGTTTTCAGCTTGCGTCCCATGGTGACCCAGAAGTACCGGAAAGGGTTACTTCCGTGTTTCGCTGCTCACACATGCACAGACGCGCAAAATGGCCGAAGCGGCAAATCACGACCTGCGCAGACGCGGGTTACATTCTTTTCAGGTTGTGAACGAGCTTCCGGAACGGATCCCATTCACAACCAGAGGTACCACTCTACTTCAATTGTTGAGCTTTGCCCAACAACTTTGCCCAGAACAGCTCAACAGCTTTTGTTAAGTTGTGGGTGAACATATCAGACGACACAGCGATTCTTCAAACAGCTCTTGTTTATTCACAGGCCAGGACAGAATTGAACTGAAGGGTTCAGTCAGCCTGCTTATATACAGCTCCAGTACAACGTTACCGTAACAACTTTCTAGAACTATCCAATCACTGAACGTCACTTTCGATCCCTTATTTGCATACTTATCTATAGTATCCCCCTGTTGGCCCAGGGTGAGAACTTCAGCACATAACAGCTTTTCTGTCTGGATTTTGACTGTTTGAAATATGGCAACCCTATGCTGGAACTCGCCATGAATGCCTCCCTTGTTCTGTTATAATGACAATGGTGCCCACCTGAGAGATGCCGGAACAAGTTCCAGTGAGTTCTGGCTGAAAAAAGGCCCCTGGTCTAGTTCATACGCTCCAACATTCTTCAGATGAAAATAGGGACATTTTTCACTCCCCCCACCACCTCCCAAGCTCAGAGCATTTCTACCACCCTGCTCTCTGCCTTTACCTCAGAGCTGGTGCTTCACATGAGGTTGGGCCTTGGCACTGGTAGCAGGCTCTGCTCCTCCTCGCTTGCTCTCCAGCAGCCGTGACGAGTTGCCCAAGTAAGGAATCAAACGAACTCCTGTGTTGCAAAGAGAACGTCAGCAATGTCTAGGCAACACGATGACCATGTACATATGCAATAGACAATTGTTATAGAATTCCTTCAAACCATAACAAATACGAAATGAAATCTTTAGTCTCAAAGTCTCTGAAAATCTTTAAATGAGGCGAGGTACCAGACTTTGTACGATGTAAGACAAGCTGTGAGGCTTTGTGTATTCAGCAAATATGATGTCCAACACAGAACAGTGATTCCGGATATTGACTACTGTTTTGTAGGATTCTTTGTCAGCGTGGTGGGAGGATATAGAATTGCTTCATAAACCCATTTATTTCGAATGAATGTAAGTAAATGAAAATAGCAAATGCTGTGGAACAGTGCTCATGTAGTCAATATCCGTACATAGTCTGGTACCTCGCTGCATTTAAAGATTTTCAGAGACTTTGAGACTAAAGATTTCATTTCGTATTTGTTATGGTTTGAAGGAATTACATAAAGATTGTCTATTGCGTATGTACATGGTCATCGTGTTGCCTAGACATTGCTGCCAAGGAAGGAAGTCGGCAGCAGCAGCAGCCATGGAGAGGCAACAGAATGCTCCCTCGCAACTGCCACTGCTGCCACCACTGTCCCTCAGGGCAATCACAGGCTCATGGTCATCCCCAAGATCTACAGCAGTGGTGCTGGCAGAGAAAACGGGCATTCTGGGATCAAATCAGAAGCTGGGATGGCTTTTGTAATCCCAGGACTGTCCCTGGAAAATAGGGACACCTGGAGAGTATTCTAATTTATTGAGTTAGGGAGCAGGCAGCAGTTTAGGGCTAGAAGAACCATAGGCCTCACTCTACCATGTTATAAGCAACTTTGGGTCTTCAATGTGTCTAATCACGACAATATTTTATACATCAAAATAATATTTTATACATCAAGATGATTACGGAACAGAAAATGGGGTGGTTGTAATCCCCAAAGCCCTAGTGAAATGTACAAAGTTTCATCAGGTTTCTGAAGCCCAGAAAGAAGCTAGCAAGGCATGTTTCAACAGAGCAAGTTTTCTACCGGTGGTGCCACCCCAGTGAAAGCCCTGCTCCTTGTAGGTGTCAGTTTTGCTTTAGTCACAAACCACACTTGGTACAGAGCTTTATTAGATGACTTAAATTCAGCAGGTTCATATCAGAGGAAGTATTCCCTAAGGTGTCCTAGTCCCCAAATTATGTAGGAATTTTTTAACACAAGCAACATCTTGAATTTAGCCTTCAGAGCGATGGGCGGGGAATGAAGTAGTTCTCTCAGCTAGGCCACTCTTGACAGAGGCAAGGCTTTCTCATGTAAATGCATGAGCATGCTTCATAGCGCTATGATGAATCAACATTAAGCATTATTTTGCAACAGGGAGTGACTGACAGCCAATGTGGTTCCTGGTGCATTAGGGTCACTATCTAGCCATTCTTGTAATTACTGGCTATTGTAGCCAGGCAACCATCTCAACAAACATTGCTCAATATGCTTCTTTGCCCCGTTATTCTAGCTGGCTCTGAAGCCTCAGGCATGCCCCAATCGCAAATTTTGTCAATTATTTCCTTGCAGACAAAGAGAAAGAGTCCATGGCCTGACGTTAGCCTTTGATATTTGTGTGCCTGTTTACACGTCGTCGACTGGCCTTGGCGTGAGTAAAGGGTAAAGGCTATGGCTCTTGTAACCTGGAGCTGCCCTTTCAGGGGGAAAAGAGGAAGGGCAGCTGTGACCATCTGGTGCCACCCTGAAAGGAGCAAAGCCATACAGTCAGACGGAGGAACTGACCATTGGACTGGGCAGCCCTCAAAGAGGAGACACCTTCAAACCGAGGGCTAACCTCTGTAAAGGAGGATGCATTGGCACCCTAAAAGCATGTGATATTCTTCTGACCTGTGGGCTCTCCCCTGTGTATAGTTAGGCTTCCTAGATGTGAGTATAAATATATCGAGGAAAATAGAGAGTTTTTAAAATGACTCAAAGATGCTTGCGGTTAAAACATGAAAATGAACGTGCTGTGAAATGTTGCCAGAAAAATCTGAATGTAATCAATTCTCACTGAGATGGTAAACCTCTTGGCACCTCTCTCGTAATTTAGCAATCACCAAGAGTGAGCGGTTGGGAAAGAGATCAGGGAAGTGGGAAGGGCCCACCCATTTACATACACATTTCTTGTTAGCTAGCTATTTCTCAGAAACAGTAATAGATACTGGGTAAAGGTGAACTCAGTAAAGTTTCCCTAATGAGATATTGTAGCTGGATTTTGCTCCAAAATGGCCAAAATTCAGGGTTTGACCGAAAGTTTCAGGGTTGTTGTTTTCTGCTTCTTTGGGGTTCTCAAGGAAAAGTAGATAAATCTCAGGGTAAGAGGTAAAGGTAAAGGGACCCCTGACCATTAGGTTCAGTCGTGGCCGACTCTGGGGTTGCGGCGCTCATCTCGCTTTATTGGCCGAGGGAGCCGGCATGCAGCTTCCGAGTCATGTGGCCAGCATGACTAAGCCGCTTCTGGCGAACCAGAGCAGCGCACGGAAACGCCATTTACCTTCCCGCCAGAGTGATACCTATTTATCTACTTGCACTTTGACGTGCTTTCGAACTGTTAGGTTGGCAGGAGCAGGGACCGAGCAACGGGAGCTCACCCCATCGCGGGGATTCAAATCGCCGACCTTCTGATCGGCAAGTCCTAGGCTCTGTGGTTTAACCCACAGCGCCACCCGCGTCCCACAGGGTAAGAAGGTGGGTGCAAAAAGGCAAATTGTTTTCTGCCTTCTCTTCCAATGCTTAAAAAAATGAACCACTTCCTTTTTACAACAGGTTTTATTTTTATTTTTTGGTGTTGGTATTTATTTTGCTCTTTTTCCGTAGAAGAGCAACAGCGAGGAGAACACTACTAAAACTGGCATAGGCAATGTATCTGGGCACATATGAGGTATAGAGAGGGAATGACTCTGCACTGGAGATAAGACAGAAGATGCTTGAAATCTGTATTTTTTTAAAAGATAAAGAAATCATGAAGTGCCTCCAGGTTCCACCCACCGTGCTGCAAAGTAAGGTTCCACATGCATGGGAGGCAGGCAGAATATTAGTGCAGATTTTGTTTGGTTTATTTTCTTAAATGAAAGAAAACATTTATTTAAGGCAAGTTCTGTTCGTGGTTAGGACTACTATGCACCATTTGCTGCTCCACCTTGGGCAGCAAAATCTCTCTTGGGCTGGCCTTGATACTTGGCAAACCCTATTCATGCTCAGTACCTATTACTCCAGGCATTTCTGGCTGGGGGAAATGTTCCTCAAGAGATCTTTGCTTTGTTATGGTGTGTCTGCTTTGTGTTGAACTTTTCTCAGCCTTCTCCTGCAGAGTGGGGCTTGTCTGGTTTAACTGAGTTGTGTAGACCTCAGAGTGTGCAGCAGGTTTTTCATTCCTTCTTCTGATTCAGTTAGGTAAAATCTTTCAAAAAGCCCAGGGCACTCAGCTGCTTAGGATCTGATTTAGGATGTTTGTTTGATTTGTATTTAGTATATTTGTTGGTGGAACAGTTCCACAGAGTGCTCCATATTTGGGGATATCTGGTGGTTATGCTTATGCGCGCGATGTCATTTTGTGTTTTTGCGCATGTGCGAGCACCTAAACCTGGAAGTAACCCGTTCCGGTACTTCCGGGTTCGGCACGGTCCGCTACCCGAAAATGTGCAACCCGCAGCGTTCGTAACCTGAGGTATGACTGTACTCTATATCCTCCACTGAGGCATAAAGCACAGGATCCAACAAAACGAATCTCTAAATGCATGAGAGCAGAGTTCTCATAATATTACATTGGTGAATACTTTCCTTACTTTTGTACTATGCTTGGCTACGTACAAACTTGTAACTGAAATAATTTTTTGTGGTTTTATTTGTTGTTTGTAATGTTTAATGAACTAACAAAAATTGTGTAAAAGAAGGAGAAAGAAATGTGTTCAGATGCTACTGACACACATAAATAACTATGCATTTATATTTACATATTTCTTAGGGTCAGTCACCTGAAAAAGTTAATTACAACTTTAGAACCACTCCATTTAACCGATAACAGTATCCATTAATTATGCTGCTAATTAATTTTATGGAGCAACATATATTTTAGAAGGACATTTTCTGTGGAAACATATAGCAGCAGAAAATGTTCTGGGAAATTTCTGCCCCGCCTTACTTGATGGGATGGATTTAATTACATCTGTCCACCGGTCTTATAATTCTCATGTTCAGTCACCAACCATTTCTCAAATGTCGTTCGGAATATGGTTTAAATTCATCCGAAATGTTAAATCTGCAACGCGTTTCCAGCATTTTGTGTTGCGTTCGGTGCCAAATTCACAGCTCAGAAAATCCTTCCAAAGATTTCCATGTTTACTGTTTCAAAATTAAAATGCTCCCGAAACAGAAACGATTACCGCTGAAAAACAAACTACCGTATTTTTCGCTCTATAACACGCACCCGACCATAACACGCACGTAGTTTTTAGAGGAGGAAAATCCATAGGCATGCCACCCATAGGCATTCCCTCCATAACACGCACAGACATTTCCCCTTACTTTCTAGGAGGAAAAAAGTGAGTGTTATGGTGCAAAAAATACGGTAATTATACGTTGAAGAATACAAACGGAGAACTAGGCATAGGAATAATTGTTATGTTAAGTATCACAAAAAAGACAGTCAGGTAGACCAACAAGAAACCACTAGCGGGGGAGGGCCCTTGTTTTTTGGGTCCTGACTGTGGGTTTCCCACAGGAATCTGGTTGGCTTCTGTGAGAACAGGATGCTGGACTAGATCTGGTCTGATCCAGCAAGCTCTTCTTATGTTCTTATCTTTTACAGCTGGTTGAATAAGATGTATTTGCAATATGAGAGACAAACAGATATCACTTAGTTAGATTTATCAGGTATGGCAATCCTCCTAGATGAGAGAAGGATTTTATGGACGAGTTTTTCCTCACTGCTCTCCAAGCCACAGCCTCAAGTAACAAGCAGCTATTGTTGCATAGCTTTCTGTTGTTGTTGGTGCAGCTGCGGCTGCTAACTAATTAAATTTATATACAGTCATACCTTGGAAGTCGAACGGAATCTGTTCTGGAAGTCCGTTTGACTTCCAAAACGTTCGGAAACCAAAGTGCAGCTTCCTGCAGCCAATCAAAAGCTGCGTAAGCCCCATTGGACGTTCGGCTTCCAAAAACAGTTCACAAACCGGAACAGTCACTTCCGGGTTTGTGGCATTCGGGAGCCAAAACGATAGAAAACTAAGCTGTTTGAAAACCAAAGTACAACTCTACTGCCTTCATCCAAAGATCTCAGGTTGGTTCACAAGATCAAATTTTTCCAGTGTGCTTTCAGTTTTCCAGTATTAAACCAGCACGGAGTGTACTGCACTAACCAAAGAAATAGTTCCATCGTTATGGGACTGAAAAAGACAAGATCTGATGACACTAAGGCCATAATACAGAACTCCCTTACATGGGCGTAGCCAGGATTTCGGGGGGTGGGGGTGGGGAGGGCAGAACCGAGCTATCTGTAATGTGATTGGTCAGTTAGTTAAGTATTTTTATTTATTTACTTGATTTAGGGGGGCAGCTGCCCCCCCCACCTATGCTCATCTTCCCTTATGTGAAATAGTGTAGCAGGAGTTGCAGCCCCTCCAAAGGCTTATAGAGAGTAAATATATATATATATACACATTAATTCCAAATTATAAAGTATTACATGCAAATCTCCTTCTGGGTTGCATTGCAGGGGACCTTCCAACTCCCCAGTTCTATGGTTCTATGTATGCATATATGTTAACCTCTGTAAGCTGCTAAAGGGGTTGCAATACCTCCTGGCACACTATTTCACATATAGTGGATCTATTTTATCACCTCTGTGATCTAGGACCTCAAAAGTGGCTTCTTTGATCTTAGCTAAGATTGCTCTAATGGAGCGGTGCCAAACTTTAGTACAGAATTCAAATTTGTGAAATTTTCAAATTCGTAAACAGAATCAAGTTTCGTGTCCCACTGAGATTTGAGGCTGGTGGTGTTCTTGATAAGTAGTCAGACTGGCCACCTGATGCTGTGGAAAGGAATTTAATGCAGATGTTTCCCTTGGGTGGCAATGAACTCTGTGACCCTTTGAACACCGTTTTCACAGTCATTGCTCAATAGCGGCGCTCGCCCAAAGCAGCACATTATGGTGTAAGGATTTTAGCAAGGAGTTTATGTTTTTTGTGGACACAGGGTACATCTCCTGCCCTCATTATCAGATAGTCTTAAGTGTCGGCCTTGGATTGCTTATCTAAAAGTGTTTTGTACACAAGGCTTAAAGGTCTTCTGTGCCTCTGCTCATGGTTGGTGTGGAACAGCAGGTGGAACCGAGGCATCTGTATTGCAAATGTCTATTTTGTACAATGCAGGTTTTATTCCTGTTGGGTGCAGTCTGCATGCATGGAAGACCCTTGAGCAGTAATAAGACACCTTTCCTGGGCACCCCTCCTTCAGTTAGTCCTCCCTCAGTGAGTCTACCTCTTCACCACCATTGTCACCAACTACTGCAGCTCCTTTTCCTCATGATTGCTACTACCCACTTGCTTAAAGGTAAAGCGACCCCTGACCATTAGGTCCAGTTCTGACCAACTCTGGGGTTGCGGTGCTTATCTCGCTTTATTGGCCGAGGGAGCCGGCATACAGCTTCCAGGTCATGTGGCCAGCAGGACTAAGCTGCTTCTGGCGAACCAGAGCAGAGCACAGAAACGCCGTTTACCTTCCCGCCGAAGTGGTACCTATTTATCTACTTGCATTTTGACGTGCTTTCAAACTGCTAGGTTGGCAGGAGTAGGGACCGAACAACGGGAGCTCACCCCGTCGCGGGGATTCAAACCGGCGACCTTCTGATTGGCAAGTCCTAGGCTCTGTGGTTTAAGCCACAGCGCCACCCACTTGCTTGCTGGTGAGCAAACTGGCTTTGGCAATGGCGTCTACTGCTCCTTGTTGTTGTTGTTGGAGATGTTGGGATGCAACTCAGCTGGTACCGAAGACTTGTGGGTCTGCACTGGATAAAGTAGCATAAGAGAGGAACTTCCCTAGACTGTCCTTTAACCTGTGCTGACCTTGCTTCAGGTGCTAGGCTGATACTTTCAGAGTTGCATATTTCCTTCTTCCTCCTAGCCTTGGGAGAAGATACATCTGTGTGTGTGTCTTCTGCTGATACCAAAGGGCAGGCATGGCTCATTGTTAGAATTAGGAACTTTCCTATCAAATATGTCTTTCCTTTAATAAAGTTAGCTTTTTTATTTTCCTGAACGCAGAGTCTCAGTTATGGCCAAGGGCTAGGTGTGATTATCCAGCAACCATTCAGTACTCAGTTCAAATCCCTTTTTTAGGTCTATTTTTATTGATACTTATCAAAATATATACAAAAGTTTACACCCAATACAGAGTATTTTTTTATACTACACTTTTAAAATCTAATCTAAAAAAAGAGCAAAAGAGAAGAGAAGGGGAAAAGAAAAGAAAAAAGAGAAAAAAATGGGAAAAGATAAAAACACTCCCAGTTCTCTGTCAGCTAAATATAGTACCACTCATTAACATCCAACCATTCTATTTTCTATAAGCCAATATTTTTCCCCTCTTCAAATCCCTTTCACGCAAAAAGTCCATAAGAAGATTCCAATCCTTTAAAAAATGGCAATAATTGTTTTTCTCTAATTAGACACATTAACTTTGCCATCTCAGCTGAGTCTAACAATTTTATCAGCCATTCCTCCATAGTATGTAGTAGGACTATATCTTTCCACCTTTGTGCACATAACAATTTCACCGCAATTCAGACTCCAAGCTTACATGTTAAGCTGCGCATAAGTTCTAAGACTTCTCACCACCAACATTGCCTGACCCTGAGCAAGCGGTGCGTGAACAAGAAGGCTGCAGTGATGAAGGGGAGGAATGGGTCCTGGAGGGGTCTTATAAATGGCCCCCCTCCTTTGGTGCTGGCCCTGTTTTGAGTTGTAGCACAGGGGGGGGTGAAACTCTGAAGCTGCTGCCTACCAGGGGGGAAGCGAAGCAGTAGTGGGGCCATGGTTGCATGGCTGTACTGATTGAAGTGCCAGATTAGCAGCTGCGCAGATGTCAGTGCAACTTCTCAGCCTCAACTTTGCTGCCACCCTGCCCCAGCTCAGGTCCAGATAAGTCAGAGTGACATGGGTGTCAGGATGGTGGTTCTGCAATCTTAGGCTTTTAGGCAAGGCCTGCAAGCACACTCTTGTAACTAGCACTACATGTTCAGTCCTTGTTAGCCTGGCTGCCCGAAGCCTTTGCTTCCTCAGAAACTTCTGGTCCTCCCTTCGAATTGCAATGGGAACCTTTTGGGAGAATGTAATAAGAGCCTGATGGCTCTGGCCAGTTGAGTCAAGCATCCTGTTCCCACAGTGGCCAACCAGATGGGAAGCCCAGAAGAAGACAGCACTCTGCTCCTGCAGTTTCCAGCAACTGGTATTCCTTTGACAGCAGAAGGTTCTTGTTCCTGCCTTCTCAGCTTTTGCCAGGGCTTACTGGTTCCCTATCAGCTGGGTTCCTGGGCCCTGGCTCCTGCAGTCACCCAACTGCTCTATCTCAGCTGGACCCATATAAACCTCCACTGGTACCTGGGACATGAAGACACAAGGGTTGCCAGATTCCACCCTAGAGATAGTGCCCATTCCTTTAAGAATTCATGGGGAACAGGTCTGGATTCAGCCATTGTACCTGACTGATCTTCCACTAGTCACTTCTTCTTGATCTGCTGCTTTCAGGGAAGCAGGAATCCTGACTGCTACATTAGGGAAGGTGAAAGAGGGTGAAGGGACTGAAGACTCAATGAATGCATTCTCTTTCACTGCTTTGGACATTTCACACAATCAGGCAGGATCTCTGTATCCCAGTCTGTCAACCCTGCCAGGGAGAGTGGTATTACCCAGCCTTGTATAGGCAGAGGAGGCCCTCCTGGTACTTTCACCACCTTCAGAAGTTGGCTTGGAGGGATGGCAGCCAGGACAGCGCATTATTTATGGCAGCCACTAAGCTGTGGAAATCCCTCCCCACAGAGGAAAAATCAGGCACGTTCATTGTGTAGGTTTAGTCATATGCTGATGACACACCTCTACCTTGACTCTTGATACTTGATATATATGTTTTTAGGACGCACCCTGTTCTTTCGATTGTATATTATTTAAACTATTTTAATACTATATGTTTACATTGATGTAACCCACCCTGGAATGGGGAGGGTGGGTAGGAAATCTCATAAATAATAGTAATCCCTACTGGTTCAACTGGGGGTGTCAGAGGTTGTACCAGGACCATATATAGGCAAAGTACATACAACTGAGACGCAGCTCTTGCCAATGTAACCAAGTATGAGGACACCTGGTACTTTCGCAGGGTTGCACTTTAATATATCATTGTTTTCCCTGAAGTCAGCGATCCACAGAGACAGATTTGGCTTCTCTCCTTCCAACGTTAGTTCTTAGCAGTTATCACTAATGTTGTTTCTTAATAAATGTTCATCTGGTTTACAAGTTGTTCTGCGTAAACTGGTGGAAAGCATGATTAAAGGTTATTTATCAAGGACGAATCTTGCAATAGAAAAATCAACAAAGCTTCTGGAAAGCCTGACTGACCTTTTACAATTCTCTGAAAGTGTCATTAACCACATGGACAACAGTGATCCTGTAGAAATTGTCTCCTTGGACTTTCAAAAAGCTTCGGCTAAAATTCCTCAGCAAAGACTCCTGAGTAAACTTAGCAGCCATGGGATAAGAGGACAGGTCCTCTTGTGGATCGGTAACAGATTAAAGAACAGGAAGCAGAAAGTTGGAATAAATGCCCATTCTCACAATGGAGAGATATAAAAAGTGAGGCCCCATGGGACCCGTGTTTTCTAATTTGCTCATAAATTATCTGGATTTAATAATGTGCAGTGAAGTGCCTAACTTTACTGATGACACCAAATTATTTAGAGTGGTAAAAACAAAACCAAAAAGGATTGTGGAAGAGTAGCTCAAAATATCTTTTTTGTGGATGAGTGGGCATTAAAATTGCAGTTGTGGTTCAGTGTAAAGAAATGTATACAGATGCATGTTGGAGCAAAAAATCTTAACTCCACATGTTCACCAATGGTATCTGAGTTGGTGGTAAGGATATCCCAGGACATACGAAGCTAGTGTAATGTGAAGAGAGGCCACCACAATAAGAGACGCATGTGCAGCTGCCTCCCATGCTGCATCAGTTTCCAGGCTGCCACATTTCAGATTGCAGGTGAGGAACTGAATGTTTCAAAAGTTCCCCATTTCGGTTTTATTTTATTTTTAATCCCTCATAACAAAAGCTGTTGCTCACGCAAGAAGGTGGGCGAGAATGCTCTCCCTGACACACTAGTTTTATATGTCTGGAGAGTTGTTTTGTTTTGTTTTAATGTGTGGGAGCGCTCAAATAGTCAACCTCTCACTTGCAATCTGAAGTACAGTCAACAGCAAAGGATTTGTCATGTCAAGCTGCAGATTGCATGGCTTGGCTCAATACAAAAGAGGTTTATAGGTGACAGACTCGGCAAGAATACCCGCATTTGGGCGACATGTACCATCATGAGGGCAATCCCACAGAGGCTTGTTTCAGGTGATCCATCGCAGCTCCCTTTGTACAGAGAGGAACATGTCATCCCCAAACACGAATGCAGCAGCCTGTGACTCACGCAATTACAGCTTCAACTAACTTTGCTTGCTTTGCATGTAAGGGCAGTCATTACCTCCTTTTGTCTCATTCACCTTACTCACCTCTTTACTTTGGAGAGCAACAAGAGCAACTGCAGTGTGGGTGCCACAAAGTCATTTTGGCAAGCTTTGGATAACTCCTTAGGAATCCGCCTGCAAAAAGAGCAAGCAGACTAGAATGGTTGTCTGTGCAATGTGTGCATGGGACGGGGGGAAGTGCTCTAAGTGGGTTTGTTTGCCCCCTTGCTTCATTTTTGCATAGAACAGTGGGCCTTAGTAGCTCCAGGAGGCATCCTTGAGGAAGGCACAGCTTTGTGCAGCTGCCTGGGAGAAAGGGACTGGCCCAAATTGCCTAGAACTTGCCTTCTTTGCCACTATGCTGTGCAACCAAAATGTGCTCTTGTCACCCTCCCCAAAAGTGGGGAAGACTATTCCTAATCTTCTCTCGCTCCACAACTCTGTTCCAGCTCCTCTTCGCAAAAAGGCGAGGGACACACCTATCTTTCATTGCATTCCTCCCTCCACCTTCCTGGCCACAGATAAAGCTTTCTGCACAAATAGTCAAATTCTTGCCAATTATTCAAAGTTCATTGAGATCTACATATGACCTCAGGAAACACTTATTTCCAAATACACACACGCACACACACATAGAAATCCCATTGATACCAATGGGAATCAAACCCCCCCCCCCCTGTGTCTAATTGGTGCATGGGAATGGGGCAATATTTTTTTTAGTTTAAACTGCCTCTCCTCATGTGCTGCAGTCACAATAAACCACCCACTCCTGCAAATACCTAATATTTAATTTTAAAAAAAACAACAGCCATGGTTACTAATCACACTATTAAAGTAACATCTGTTTATCATCAAGTGGATAAGTGCTTTGATTTGTGAGATCTCTGACTCCAGGCAGAGGGTACGCCTGTAAGGTTTGGGATAAGGGTACATTTAGGGTGCTTTGTGGAGGCCCAAGATTGACATGGGGGAAATTCACAGCTGCCAAAACAGGTAAACAGGTTTGGACTAGAACATGACAATGTTTAATTTAGTCTCATCTGAAGATGATTCACCTACAGTAGAAGAGATGCATTTTCTCAATCTAGCTTCTGCCAAACATAACACAGTCATCATCTCTTTTGCAAATTTTATATTTAGCAATTGGTAATTGACTTAAATAGTTTTCTCCTACAGGAAATTTCTGTGGAATTTCTAAAGGCACCATTCCATTTGTTTGTTTGTTTTAATATAGTCACTCATCCTTTGAAATTATAGGCGTGCTTCAATATTTCTTCATGTTTGTTTGCTCTATTATTCTGTAGTAGAGCCTCATGTGATTCTGTAGTAGAGCCTCATGTGATGTACAGATACTGTATTAATAATTTGAGTGTTTGATGTGTGTATGTGTGTGGAGTCCAAACTCCCAACACTCTTAGATGCCTGCCCGTAATGTACAGTTGTGGCTGTCCCATCCAGATACTTTGAGCATAAGAAAATCCTTATTTTTTTGGAAGCAATTTCCTATATAAAAAGGGGTGGTTCAAGTACGATGACAAAGACTTACTGGTCCTTCAGATAACCTTATTTAATGAGTTTGCAAACACCTAGCTAATCAGCAGCACATAGGTGCTTGCTGAAGTTCCAGCAAGTGGTTAGTTCTAGATCAACACCCAAGACTAATCCATGGCAAGTATTTAGGATATTCTCCCTCATTTTATTCTTGTTGGCGGTCTTGGGCCCAATCAGCATGTATTCAGGATGTTCTGAACTAGCCACATTGCTGTTCTATTGGGAGAGAGACAGAGGGAAGCTACAGAAGGAGCAATCAGGTTGTGTTGTTTTAGTTTAAAGAAGGAGAAGGATGAGATGGTTTGGTTTCTGTGCTGATAAAAAAAAGGCTTCCTTTATTGCAGCACAGCACTCCCCCAGACCCATTAGTCTTTTTCTCCATAACCTCTGTTTCCCCAATCTCTCCCTCTCTGCTTAAACTCTGTGTCTGTGTAATTGCTCTGCCAATTGTGACTTCCAGCTACCACTACCTCTACCTGCAGTTGGCTGCCCTGCCTTCCACCCCACCAGCCCCAGTGGTCAGAATCCTGCTCCTACTGCAGGGGTGGCTAACCCCCAGTCTGGGGGCCTGATTCAGCCCCTCAAAGCAATTTTTCTGCCCTCCTCCCCTGTCTTACCAATTTACCCTATGCTAAGAGAAACAACGAGGGACGCGGGTGGCGCTGTAGGTTAAACCACAGAGCCTACGACTTGCCGATCAGAAGGTCGGCAGTTCGAATCCCCGCAACGGGGTGAGCTCCCGTTGCTCAGTGCCTTCTCCTGCCAACCTAACAGTTCGAAAGCACGTCAAAGTGCAAGTAAATAAATAGGTACCACTCTGGCGGGAAGGTAAATGGCGTTTCCGTGCGCTGCTCTGGTTCGCCAGAAGCGGCTTAGTCATGCTGGCCACATGACCCGGAAGCTGTACACCGGCTCCCTCGGCCAATAAAGCGAGATGAGCGCCACAACCCCAGAGTCGGCCATGACTGGACCTAATGGTCAGGGGTCCTTTTACCTTTACCTTTAAGAGAAACAACAAAAAATTAAAGAGGCACAGCTCAGGAATGGGCAGAGATGTTTAACAACCCAGCACCCTGATAGAGATGCAAATCGCCCACCCCCTATTCATATATCCTTTGATGAGTGGGAAAGGGGATGATAACACAGATCACCTGAGGAGGAGGCGTGTACCGGAACATGCTTGTGTGCAAGAAGGTGGGGTGTTCACACACACTTTTTGCCACACTCATTGCTGTTTTTTGAGGAAAAGAGGTGCTAGGACTCACCATGAATGCCTCCCTTGTTCTCTTATATTGGCAATGGTGCCCACCTGAGAGGTGCTGGAACTGAATTTAGGAGAATTCTAGCTGGAAAAAAGCCCTGGCTACATCAATTTATGGTAGGCAGTCCCCAGAGTGTAGGCCAAGGATCAATGCAGCCTTTAGTTGCATCTCTCTTAAGTCTTCAGGGCAAGAGCTCATTCTCTGGACCGCTAGTCAAGATCCTTCTTGACTGGAACTGCCAAGGTTTGAACATGGGATCTTTGTACATTTTAATCCCGCCCTGTCCCCCAAGGAGAACAGAGTGACTTTCATGGCTCTCGTCCAGCCCTGTTTTATTTTCTCAACAATCCTGTGAAATGGATTAAGCCAAGAGACAGTGGCTGGGCAAAGCTTCCTAGCTGAGTGTAGATTTGAAATTGGGTTTGAATCTGTAATCGCTTCACCACACCAGTTCTTATGTGTACAAGGTGTGCTCTCTGACACACAGCTGTGGACTCCCCATGCAGCTTCTTTCCTTCTGGTGGAAGATCCCATCAAAATATTGAGAAGCAAGAAAACATGTCTCCACCAAGTCAGGAGTAACTACTTCAGCATTCGCAGACAGTGTTGTGTGTGCCAGATGATGGTGTTTTAGGGACAGGATAACAGCTATGTAGATAAGTCAAGAGATTGACTAGCCGGGGTTATTACTTTGTCATCACTGTAACTTACCAGTTTAATGGCCCTGCATGTTTTCGGGACATGCATTATTCAATTTAGATACTCCAGACTTTAATAGCTCAGCAGGCTTGGCTTGCATCTGCTGTACACTTGAGAAGCAGGAAAGGCTGGAAGTTCAAAGTAAGCAAGCCAAGCCTCACCCACTGTATTCCGGGCAGGTCACCAAATCAACAAGGAGTGCGATGCAATTTGGCAGGCTCTAAGGACCTGAGATGATTGCTTAGCAATCTCAGATTCCTAATTAAAATGGGGGGGGGATGAGGGGGCTTGTTCTACATTCCTCCTCTAGTGTGGTTTCATTCCACATCATTAGCTTCCATATAGGTTGTGGATTCTGCTAATGTCTTAACTCATGTGTCAGCTATGTTCAGAAGCACTCTACTTTGGAATACCAGTTAACAGGGAATGTTGGAATGGAGATATTTATATCCACTGTACCTGTCCCCAGGTGCAGGGAAAGAAAAAGAAATCTAGATAGAACCCTACAGCGCACTATAAAGGTAAAGGGACCCCTGACCATTAGGTCCAGTCGTGACCGGCTCTGGGGTTGCGGCACTCATCTCGCTTTATTGGCCGAGGGAGCCGGCGTACAGCTTCCGGGTCATGGCGAACCAGAGCAGCGCACGGAAACGCCGTTTACCTTCCCGCCAGAGTGGTACCTATTTATCTACTTGCACTTTGACGTGCTTTCGAATTGCTAGGTTGACAGGAGCAGGGACCGAGCAATGGGAGCTCACCCCATTGCGGGGATTCGAACCGCCAACCTTCTGTTCGGCAAGCCCTCGGCTCTGTGGTTTAACCCACAGCGCCACCCGCGTCCCTTTGAGCATAACATACAACAATACAAACAACCAAATAAATAACTTCCTTTATCCTGTATCTGGCCTCCTTATTTACTTATTAGAAACTGTTTCCTTTATGAATAATTATTACGATTTTTCTAATTATAACTTAAATATCCACAAAGTCTCCTGCAGACATTAATTGAAACAAGTCCAGGTATGTATTTTAGGGCACTGTTTTGTGAAGTATTCTCTGCATTTTCCCCATGCTTTTTGAAACTCTTGTCTAGTGTGACCTCTAATTGCCTCTGTTAATCTAGCCAGTTCAATATACTCTAAGAGTTTATCTTGCCATTCCTTTTTTGTTGGCACAGTTTCTTTTTTCCAGTTTTTAGCAATTAGGATCCTTGCCGCTTCTGTGGCATAGAGGAATATTTTCTGATCTTCTCTTGCTATACCTGTGTCCGTTATCCCTAGTAGAAAGGCTTCTGTATTTTTCATAAAGTTATACTTAAACCTTTTTTTTAAGCTCATCATGCACTGTGCTCCAGAAGCTTTCGATTTTTTCACAGGTCCACCAAACATGTATAAATGTCCCCTCTGTTTTACCACACCTCCAGCACAGATTTGTTTTTGTCTTATACTTTTTAGCTACTTTGGTAGGTGTTAAGTACCATCTATAAAACATCTCGATTAGGTTTTCCCTCAATACTTCACAGGCTGTAAATTTCCAGTTCTTTCTCCATAGTTCTTCCCATGCTGTTAAGTTAATGGTTTTCCCAATATCTAAAGCCCACTTGATCATTATCTCCTTGACCTGTTCGTCTTTGACCTCCCACTCCAATAATGTATCATACATTTTTGATATTACCTTGGTTTTCTTTTGTAATAACACTTTTTCTAATAATGAAGGTTTGTTTGAGAAACATCTGTCCTGAACATTTCATGCAATTGATGGTATTGGATCTGACCCGTAAGGTGTTGTTTAATTTCCTCATAATCTTTAATTACCAATTTATTGTCTTTCCCCCTGATCAGATCTATATATGTGGCCCATTCTAATTCCATATTTTTCTTTTTTATTGTAATTGCTTCTAGAGGTGATGCCCACCATGGTGTTTTCGGTTCTAGAAGATCCTTATAGTTTGTCCTTGTTTTATATAATGATTTCCTTATGACATGATTCGTAAATCCCCCTAATGAGATACCTTTTATTTTAATATCACTTCTTATGGCATTCATCAATAATTCCAATAATTTCCTTTTCATGCTCTGCTTTTGTGCTTTCCAAGGACGTCTGCTAGGCCACTGTTGGAGACAGTGATAGAGCATAAGCAGTGTTTACATTAACACCCAGTAGTAATTGTTTTTAGTTGTTGGAATTCTAGATACTGTAAATAAATAGTAACAGGATGTGGTCTTCATATGCATGATCCATAAGACACATATTAACTCTTTTGTGCACCTTTGCAGTTATTACTAATGTTGTCAACCAATCAAATAATATTTGGTTGATTTAAAATTAATAAATGATTCATCAGTTACGTTTAATTTTTTTTAAGCATGCATATTGCCACTATTTCAGTGTAGGAGCCTTTTGAGACATTGAACGAAATGTAAAATAACTAGCAATTTAATTAATAAAATCTCACTATTAGAAGGGTCATCTTTACATTTTTAATTCTCATTCCCTTTTACAGTAACACAAGAGGGGCCTCAAAAGAAGTGGAGGGCGTGACGCGACAAGAGATATGTTCCTAAAACCTGCAGATCCATCAATTAAAATTTCCCTCGTCAATTGAAATTGGCTCCCACTGATCAAGCAGCTAAGCCTTGGGTTGATTAATCTCTTGATTAAATGAATTGCAGCTTACAGCCCTAGTTATGACTGCACTTGAAAGGATAACTATCACTTACAGGAAAGCATCATTATGCTTATGCAGAGAGAGTATTCAAATTCAAAAACATCACCTAGGAAATTCTTAGCACTATAAGGCGGGCAGTTCTGTACTTGCATTACTGTAGATGAGTAGCTGTCTAAGGCCACTCAGTTTTTTTTCAAGATTTAGAACATAAGACCAAGTGGTCCATCTGGTTGGGCGTCCTGTTCTCACATTTGACCAACCAGATGCATGTGGGAAGCCTCAAAGCAGGACCTAAGAGAATGACCGGGGTGAGATTTCTGCTAGGGAAATTCATGAGTCTTAACCACACTCTGATCCTACTGCATTGCAGAAGCCCCAGCTAAGCTTTTGGAATCTGGTCCATCTGTTGATGTTAAGGAACCCTCTGAGGCTCTCTGATATGACATGTTTGCAAAACACTTTGAAGGAAAAAAAATCACTCATACCCGCTATTCTACGGAAATAGATCAGTCTATGGAAATGTCCATAATTCTGTCTGGTCCTGAGCTGTTAGGTGAATTGTTGAGGCCTGATGAGTTCTATGTTATAAGTCAAGCACTGCTGGGAATTGTTTCTTTTTGTTTTTCAATGTATTTCCTATCAGTAAAAAATTTTTCTCTGGCACGAGCAAATTTTTAATCTGAAAGTGTGGCCCAGATAAAAAGTTTGAGAACCACTGTCCTGCACTAAGGACTTCAATCTAGGTTCTCCTATGGGTGCCCCTGCCATCTGAGTAGAGATGGATGGCTCTTAGATGGGCTACTGAGTTTTGGTGGCCCAGTTATGGAAAGATATGCCCAGAAAAACTTGCTTGGCATCTTCCTTCTTGTCTCTTTTGTGTCTAGCAAATGCCTTTTTATTTTACCATCAGATTTTAATATTGAGTATTGTTTTGTGCCGCCTTTATAAGTTTTATAAGCCTACTATATCCCTTTGTGTCTACAGTTCAGTTCTTTCATTCATTCTTGTAAACTGTCCTGGGAATTTTATTGGAGGATGCTATTAAAAATACTTTAAATAAAAATAAACGATAAATATATTAAATCCTTTTCCTGGAAATGATCGTTAAATCCAATTCCTGGAAAAGGCACTTTGTAAATCCAAGGTGTGCTGCAAACTTCTTTCCCAGCCTTCCGACCTGAAAGGCTATAGGTAGAAATACCTGTGATTTCATCTGGCGCCATCTATATGTGCAGGATGTGCTCTGCTGCCAGATGATGAGCCCTGCCTTGCTGCGCATCCTGATATGAATCAATCTGATGCTTCAGCCTTAGCCATTAAGGGCAGGTGATTCTTTCTACAGGAAGCAGCTAAGCAAATGAGCTCAGATTGAGTGACTTGTGTGGGATAACAAACCTGGTTAATCTGTTTCTTATCCTGCCAACAAATTCTTCTCCAGCTTCCCTTGACGTGTCATCCATAACTTTATCAACCCTATCAGGTATCATTTGCCTTGCTTTTGTGTTACCTAAGAGAAGCAGCGTGCTCTCACTCCAGACTGGGATTGAGGAAGAAAGACAAGTGGGGTGTAATATCCAAAAGTGACTCCACAGAGTCACCACGGCTCATCCGTCTGTTAGCAGGCCCCCCAAACACCGCAGATGTTGTCTCTGCATGCAGGGAGAAGTTCATCAAAAGACAGCAATTGCACAATTTAGAGTTCATTTGCCTAATGCTCCCTTTTAAAATAACCCTTTAGGGGCTGTGCCAAAATTACAAAATTCCTGATAGCGGGTGGTGGTCTTAAATCACAAGCTCTTTTGAAATAGAACCAGAGAAGTAATTTTCAAGGGAGTGCCTTTGCTTGATTGCTTCAATCTGAAGTAGGGTTCTCTCAAAGGTCTCGGAAGAATACAAAATTGTAACTTGGCCCGTTGTCTCATATTGAAGCAGCTTCTATCACTGCGGCAAAGTAATATGCAGACAGCTACATTTACCTTACACTCTTCAGACTATTTAAATAGCAATTCCTTTCATTTGCACGAGAGGGGCTAGTGAGATCTAATAGAGAAGTCTCGTAATCCCCGAATTACAACCCCCCAGATTTTTCAGGGTTGCCAGAACCAACAAATATGAATCTGTAGTGGCAATAAGCCCTGGAATCCAGCTTCTTCCTTCTGGCAAGGACAACAACTGTGGCTTGGCAATGCTAGCATTCGTAATAAACTTGTTTGTCTCCAGTGGGAGCCAATATGAAGGAGAAGGCACACAGGAAATAAATCTGTTGTGCTGTTATTGTTGTATCTTTTTCTGCCTGCAATTGCATTTTAAATGGATTTTTCCCCCACATGGATGCCCGCTTTAAACACAATACTTAGACTAAAATTTTCTCCCAGAAGAAGGAGGATTGATCTTGTCTTTTCTAATAAATCTATAGCTCTAATTAAAAACAGCAATGCTACACAGTATGTGCCTTTGGTATACAGATAGTCGAAAACCTGTGTACCTCAACTTGCAACACACATACATGACACACATACACAAACACTCATTTCTTCAATGAAATTTGCTTTCTGTGCTTAGATTAATGCAGTAATTCACAAAGAGGATATGCTTACCCACCCACATGCACCTATATAAACCTTATGCTCTTTCCCACACCCTGCAAAGAACTTCCTCTTTCTGAACTTCTTAATTCAGGAAAGCACTGGTGATTCATAGATAAGAGACCTTGTCGATTCCTGCAGGGCAGGCTGGGTGACTAGCAATCCAGCACCTCAGAACTGGAAGGCTTGGAGAGTTGAGCTGGATGCACACCCTTCTGTTGGCAGGGAGCCAGTTGTAGGTGCTGCGAGCCATAGGCTTGTGGCCTGCGGGGGGAAAGGATCCTGCCCCTCCAAAAGGGGTTGTAGGAAGCGGCTTGAAGCAGCCATAACCTGCCTGGAAATGTGAAAAGCATGACTTCTTTGACAACCTGATAAAACTCTCGGCTAACATGACTCTTCCCCCATCCTCTCTCTCTTTCCCCCCAGTGGAGTGAGGTGCAGGAGATCGTAAATGGCACTCCGATGTACATGTATCAAGACTGCAGCGTCCTCTCGGAAGGCGATACTGACCATTGGCTGCGGACCAACTGGATATTCCGAGCCGAAGCCTTTTCCCGCATCTACGTGGAGCTGAAATTCACCATCCGGGACTGCAAGAGCTTCAAAGGAGAGGCGGTCAATTGCAAGGAGACGTTCAACCTCTACTACATGGAGTCGGAGCAAGATGTTGGCATCCAGTTCCGCCGCGCTCTCTTCACCAAGGTCAGCAGGGGTTGCAGAGCTACAGAAAGTTTTCAAAACTTGGCTTACTCAAGAGCAGAAGGAACATCCAGTCTAAACAACAGCAGAGGGGAAGGAGAGATGAGAATGAGCAGAATGGTTTGGGAGAACAGGAGTCCTTTGGGTGGCTGAGTTGCAAGAGTAAAGGCTGTGGGTAGGGGATGTGGCAGGAAGCAAGCAAAAGAACCCCAAAAAACCCAGGGTGGAGCAAGGCCATGAAGCTTGCACAGGGTGTGGAAGTAGACATTACTATATGGGCCCACCCAGATAAATTTTCTCAGGAATGAGCACTCTTTGGAGTCAGTACTGAGCCCACTGCCCTTGTAGCAGCGCCCCTTGGATTTCTGTTCCGCAAAGCTCCAGTTTTCAGCTGTGATGCAAACAGGAGAGCCTTATAATGAAAGGGGTGGGGAATGCTGTGTACAACATTACTTGGTACAACATTTTCCACATTTCCTCTTGTTCTGTTGCTTTCCCTGCGGGGTGTGGGGGAACTACTCTTATGCACTCAATTGGAGCAATCAGCAATTCATGTTTTATCACTAAAGAGTGAGTTTTCAGTCGAAAAGGAGCAGAGAAAGGGGGAAACCACTTGGACCCATGCCTAGAAAGCGTAGATTAAGAAGAAAACCACTCAGACCCATCCTTTGTAGGCTTGGGACAAGCAGAAGTATGGACAAACCCTGAGGATCTTTTTACACATTACACATGAGTCGACCTTTGTTTGACACAGAGTGTACACAGCAAGGAGCTATGGCCAGTCACAGGTTTTTTTTGACATAGCTGTCAACCTTCCCTTTTCTTGCGGGAAATTCCCTTATTTCAGCACCGTTTCCCGCTGCTTCCCGCTGCTATCCTGGATTGTTAGATATTCCGTAAACTGTCTCCGGGACAGGTGAGGCTGCTGATCCCTTATTTTCAAATCTGAAAGTTGACAGCTATGTTTTTTGATAATCTGTTTCTGTACGCTTTAATTTGTCACAGTCACATTCTATGTGTATGTTTAAAAGATCTTAGATTTGCATTTTAAAATATGCCATGCGAAGGAGCCCTTAGCCAAGGTTTTCAGGAGCATTTTCAGTGTGGAAACCCCTGAATTCCAGTGATGCTTGGAGCGAAGCCAAATCCTTGGGAATCAGAGCATCTAAAAGTGCAAATACCGCAGTGATCAGATGCTCATAGCAGCTTGCTTGCAAACAGATGGACAAGTGGGGAGCTATTTGCACCAATGTGCTCTTCAGTCAGATTAAGGAAAAAATGCATCTCGGAGGCAGACACTTTTCAGACAGGGGAAAAAATACAAAATATACCAGTTGTTCTTCATTTGGCTGGTTCTGACTGCATATTATTTGACCACAATTAAAGATTGTCAGGTATTCCACAAAGACAGGGATGCCTTTTATAGAAGGCAGCATGGAATACCTCTCCGAAAAGAGGCCACTCTTGCCCTTCAAAAGAGACTCCTGCAAACAGGAGCCGCTGTTGTCAACGGTTGCAAATGTACAATCTTCTCCTCACTCAAAAGATCCTCTTCTCTTGAGGATCAAGTCTGGAAGGAACGACGAGTCCTGTCAATCTGAAGCAGAAGAGTCTATGCTGAGTGCAAAGGCGGAGAAAGGTGGAGGCAGCGCACCCCAGATGTCATCCTTGAGGGGGGGTGACATCGCTGCGGGTGGTGCCCCTCTGGGACGCTCGCCACTGCCAGCGAACCCCCTGGGATGCTCCCCGCTGCCAGCGCACTCCTCTGGGACGCACACCGCTGCTGGCGCACACCCCTGGGACACTCCCCGCCGCCAGCGAAACCTCAGCAGGTTCCACCTCTGGCTGAGTGCTGATTTGCTGGATTCCCAAGCCACCATGATAAAGTTTTTTCCTTCCCTGCCTGGAGCATTTTTCAGATTAAACGTAATAATTCGTTTTGTTTGTTTGTTTTTTAAGCGAGACAACAAACCAACCAACCTGTCCCTGTGGATGGGTTAAATGAGCAAATAGCACTTATCTAACACTGCAGGCAGCACTATAATCAAAGAAAGAACAACAGCTGGAAGGTGGATGGCCCATAAGAATTGTGGAAAGAGAAGCCAGTCGGGCAAGGAAATTAGTGGTCAATGTGAAGCAAATAAGTGCGTCATTTGAAGAGCAAAGGTGGGGAAGATGCAAGATCTTACCCTGCAGAAGCTAAACAAGGAGAAGAGATAAATTATGCTGGGGGCTCAGGCAAAGCTTTAAAATGGAGGTGGCTAACCTGTGGCCTTCCAGACTTCATTAGACTCCCAGTTACCATCAGCTCAGTCGGTAGAGCAGGAGACTCTTAGCCTCAGGGTCGTGGGTTTGAGCCCCACCTTGGGCAAAAAGATTCCTGCATTGCAGAGGGTGGACTAGATGAGCCTCGTGGTCCCTTCCAACTCTACAGTTGTGTGAAAAAGCCCTACCTTATACTTCTTCTTCTTTGTTGAATTTATATACCGCCTTATACCCAGAGGTCTCAGGGCAGTTCACAGAAAAGATCAACATAAAAACCACAATATATATAATCAAAATAAATACAGCAACCCAATAACCCACCCCCAAAAGAGCCACATTTTTAGAAGGGCATAGGACATGTTCAGTGGCCATAACATGGTCAATGGCCAGGGATGATGGGAGTTGTAGTCCAACAACATCTGAAAGGCCAGAAGTTAGGCACACCTGCTTTAAAAAGGAGTAGGGAAGTCTTTTTTGCACAAGCCCTACTGAAATGAAGGAGTGGTGTACAAAAGCAATACTGTCCTCTTGTGTACAGTGGTACCTCAGGTTACATATGCTTCAGGTTACAGATTCCGCTAACCCAGAAATAGTACCTCAGGTTAAGAACTTTGCTTCAGGATGAGAACAGAAATCGCACAGTGGCAGCAGGAAGCCCCCTTAGCTAAAGTGGTACCTCAGGTTAAGAACAGTTTCAGGTTAAGAACGGACCTCCAGAATGAATTAAGTTCTTAACCCGAGGTACCAATGTATCTCCCTTCGTCTTGGTGAAGGTTGTGCAGCCAAGTCTCTCTTCATTATAGTTCTGTGAAAATAATATTTTAAATTAGAAGTGGGGGGGGGGGCATTTGGCTCTCCAGATGTTGTTGCAGCCAAATTCCAGCCACCCCAGCTATTGGCTAAGCTGATTGAGGCTGTTTGGAGCTGGGGTCTGACAACTTTTGCCTTAAGTAGTTGATGCTCAGTTGCCCCTTTTTGACCAGTGTTAGCTTGATAATTTGATTTGAAACACCTTCACCTGGGAAGTATTCTGCCTCAATTTCCATGCAAGCTCATCCCAAGTTAGGGCACCTCCTCCACTCCTGCTTCATGTTTTAGCATTTTGGGGTCGTTTCCCCACAACTAAGGAGATGGATCTAGGCCAGTGTTTCCCAAACTTGGGTCTTCAGCTGTTTTCGGACTACAGTTCCCATCATCCCTGACCACTGGTCATACTAGCTAGGGATGATGGGAGTTGTAGTCCAAAAACAGCTGGCGACCCATGTTTGGGAGGCACAGATCTAGGCATTGGGCTTCTCTCATTGCAGCATTACACTTTCCTTTATTTGGGTTGTGGTACGCTGTGGGTTAAGCCACAGAGCCTAGGACTTGCCGATCAGAAGGTTGGCAGTTCGAATCCCTGCGACGGGGTGAGCTCCCGTTACTCGGTCCCTGCTCCTGCCAACCTAGCAGTTTGAAAGCACGTCAAAGTGCAAGTAGATAAATAGGTACCACTCCGGCGGGAAGGTAAACGGTGTTTCCGTGCGCTGCTCTGGTTCGCCAGAAGCAGCTTAGTCATGCTAGCCACATGACCCGGAAGCTGTACGCCGGCTCCCTCGGCCAATAAAGCGAGATGAGCGCTGCAACCCCAGAGTCGGCCACAACTGGACCTAATGGTCAGGGGTCCCTTTACCTTTACCTGTGCAAGGGCCACATTCCACACAGCTGCACAGTGGGCTCTGTATGGCTTGTGAGCATTGGGTATATTGTCAGGGCAACTCAACCCCCTCCCTCTCAAAAAAAAACTGTCAGAACAGCCTCCTAGTGCAATCCTATGCATGTCTGCTCAGAAGGAAGTCTCTTTGTTTACAGTAGAGATTACTTATGTAAGATTGCAGCTTTAGCTGTTTATCAGCCTGTTCTAGAAGATTGTGCAGAACTGAACACACCATTAGACATGATAGCTAAATGGAACCTCAATGTTGAGAGGCAGTGTATCTTTGTATATTAGTTGCTGGAGGACAAACTCCAGGGACGTTGCCTTCTTGCCCTACTTATGGATTGCCTGGAGGCAATCTGGCTGACCACAGGACGCTGGATTTGATGGACTCTGGATTTTAGCCAATAAAATCTAGAGTGCAACAAGTATGGGCAAGTCTCACTCGTCTGGAGTGATCCTGCTGGTGTCTTTCTTCTAAATATTTCCATTATATAATTAAAGGTACCTGTCAGAACCTGCTGGACACAGGTCTGACAAACCAATTATGTAAACTTCAGATCTTCTTTCTTGATTTTTTTCAAGGATGATATAGGCTCAGATATCCTATGTGTGCTTGTTATCTACTTGCTGATAATGTTATGAATTATTATTTGCATTCCATTTGACCTGCGATACAGTTTTCAAACCAGTTTTTCTTTGACTCATACTCTGAAACGTTTATGATCATTATGTAAATATAATGCAGTACATCCAAACCAGAAAGATAGCAGTTGAATGAATTGTTCTTTATTCCCAGCAGGTTTTGCTACGTAGTCTTGCTGTAGGAAAGTAGTCAATGGGAATTGTAGTCCAACAGCAGCTGGAGATCCAGGAAACCCTGGGTCTTTAAAACTGGAGACAGGGTTGTTTTTAGTTTGTTACCATATTATGTATTTTTGTCTTTTCATACTGCGAACTACCCTGTGATCCTCGGATGAAGGGCAATACATTAATTTAATAAATAATAAACAAATAGTGGGAGTTTTTGCATATAGGTGAACATTGAGATGTGTGAAACCTTCACCTGCCGTGTGGTGTAGTGGTTAAGAGCGGTGGACTCGTAATCTGGGGAACTGGGTTCGTGACTCTGCTCCTCCACATGCAGCTGCTGGGTGACCTTGGGCCAGTCACACTTCTTTGAAGTCTCTCAGCCTCATTCACCTCACAGAGTGTTTGTTGTGGGGGAGGAAGGGAAAGGAGAATGTTAGCTGCTTTGAGACTCCTTCGGGTAGTGATAAAGCGGGATATCAAATCCAAACTCTTCTTCTTCTTCTTAAGTTGTATATTACAGCGGAAAGTTGGCGCTTAAAATTGATTCTGCTGAATATGTACAAACTTCATGCCCATTTTCTCCTCCTGCAGATCAACACGGTGGCAGGAGACCGGAGTTTCACAGCGCAGGACATCATGACGCGTGACATGCAGCTGAACATGGAGGTGTGCCACATAGAGAACCTGCAGCAACGCGGCTTCTACCTGGCCTTTCAGAACTCGGGGGCTTGCGTTGCCTTGGTTTCCGTGAGAGTTTACTATAAGACCTGCTCGGACATTGTGCGCGGACTGGCCCACTTCCCAGAGAAGCTAGCTGTTTCGGGGGGACTGGAAGAAGTGTCTGGTGTCTGCTTAAAGAACGCAGTCGAGGACGGTGGGCTTCCGCCAAAGATGCACTGCAGTCCCGATGGGGAGTGGCTGGTCCTGGTGGGCCGCTGCGTATGCATCGCTGGCTTCGAGGAGGATGGAGGAAGGTGTGTTGGTAAGTACATAATGGCGCAAGCTAGGAGGCGGGTACCTGAGGAGATCTTGGGATAGAAGCACACCAGAGTTCACAGGGTGGAAGGTGTGGAAGGTTTACTCATTGCACGCAGTTCACTGGGGTGCATCAGCTTATCTGACTCCCATTGCTGTTTATACGTCAAGCGCAACTCCCAGGTTCTCTTTCTGTTTCACTCTCCCTCTGACTATAAAGTAAGTAGACTAGTTTGACATACCTGTCCTTCCACCTGCTTTTTATTTCCTTCCAAGTTTTGGAGCCAGTTTCTGGGACGTAGAAGTGCGTGACTGAGACTGATTCACTCGATGAGTGTCTCCCAGTTCTTTAAACTGGGCCCCTCTGGGGCGTAGGAGTTGGGTCAGGATGGTATTGCCATATAGGCCACCTGTATCTGCAGGGCCGTCCTGAAGCGTTTTGGAAGCTCAGGCAGGAAATCCAAACTCTCCTTCCCAGGACTAGTAGGATGTATTTTTCTCATGTTCTGCTTGTTTTAACCAGAGGCCATGAGAAAAACAGCAAAAGGGAACACAGTCAAAAACCATTAAAAGCAGCCAATGAAATATTTGTTTGCCCAAAACAGTCTACTATAAACACACACACACACACACACACACACACACACACACACACACACCAAGCATGCTGTAAAAAATGTAGCTGGTCATACACTCCATCCTCAAATTGCTTTTGAAGTACCAACTAGTGCATCTAAGTTAAGGGGATATGTCTCGGGAAATGGGTATATGCATAGGATTCCTCGTTCAAACCATAGCATCTTCACTTAAAAAGGGGGATCAGGCATCATGCAAGACCTGGGGCTCTGGAGAGAGAGCCACCACCAGCCAGTACAATTGGTAGACAATACTGGGCTAAGCAAAGGGGACGCGGGTGGCGCTGTGGGTTAAACCACAGAGCCTAGGACTTGCCGATCAGAAGGTCGGCGGTTTGAATCCCCGCGACGGGGTGAGCTCCCGTTGCTCGGTCCCAGCTCCTGCCAACCTAGCAGTTTGAAAGCACGTCAAAGTGCAAGTAGATAAATAGGTATCGCTCCGGTGGGAAGGTAAACAGCATTTCCGTGCGCTGCTCTGGTTCGCCAGAAGCGGCTTAGTCATGCTGGCCACATGACCCGGAAGCTGTACGCCGGCTCCCTCGGCCAATAAAGCAAGATGAGTGCCGCAACCCCAGAGTCTGCCACGACTGGACCTAATGGTCAGGGGTCCCTTTACCTTTACTAAGCAGATGAAAAGCCCAACCTGGTTATAAGGCAGCTTCCTCTCTTACAACAGAAAATGACTTCCACCTAAACCCAATTATTTAGTCTGCAATCTGCTCTCTCCCAACATTTCAGCTAAGAGCTAATATTCACTGTGATGAGGTGTAGGGAAAATAATATATTGACAAAATTTCCTCAGGATGTTCCTCTTTGGATTTCTCATTAGGCTGCTCTGTCCTGTAAAAGGAATTTGCACCACTTGGAAGTTCCAGGGCAACTGCTTGAGGCCTGGTAGTCCTTGCACTTCTCTGTCTTGCTAGCTGAAGAACTGAGAAAAACTTCCAGACATCCACCCTTCCCTGCCCCTCTGCTTCCACAGCTCAGCCAGTTTTTCCACTTAGCTGCTAGCATTACTGCTTTCATTCCACCCTCCTGGGCTGGGAGCCGTCCCTTGGAATGGGACGGGGAACCCATCCTGCCCAGGCAGGTCCTCACTGCACCCGCCCAGATAGTAGCTGACACACAAGCTACTCCCTTACCCAGTTCAGGCAAAGACAAAGGCAGAGGTGGCTTCAGACAGCGAGTTCAAGGAATTGTCCCTGTTTCTCAAACCTGTGGGGATGAGGTAGTGGACTTGGAGGGCAAAATAAAAATGGAGGCTTTCCTGAAGAGAGAAGGCACATGGAACAATGGCAATTGACACATGAGAATTGCCGGTTTTAGGCTGTGCACACACAGCGTTTTATTCTAAATCAATGGAGATGGAGTACCGTATTTTTTGCTCTATAAGATGCACCAGACCATAAGTTTTGGAGGACGAAAACAAGAAAAAAAGTATTCTGAATCCCAAAAGCCAGAACAGCAAGAGGGATTGCTGCGCGGCGAAAGCAGCGATCCCTCTTGCTGTTCTGGCTTCTGGGATAGCTGCGCAGCCTGCATTCGCTCCATAAGACGCACACACATTTCCCCTTACTTTTTATGAGGGAAAAAGTGTGTCTCATAGAGCGAAAAATACGGTACTTGTCCCCCCCCCCCCATCTATTCCACACACAATCTAGATCTATTGCATATTTATTTGCCCCTGAAAAGCGCAAAATGGTGGGTGGTTTATCTTCCACCAATAGTGGGGAGCAATATGTGGCTTTTGCACAGGGCAATCCAACATAGGATCTCTGTGTTATACAGGTGGGCTGTCAATCACAATGGTTGACATTTAGTTAGCATCTTTTTAAAAAGAAGGTTTCCCCACACATGCACACATTTGTGTGTATGCACATGTGTGTGAGCAGTCACACACAGTTTTTAAGATGGTGGCTTCATGATGCTGTCCGCTTTCGCCTTTTCAAACCATCCGCCACGCCGTGATGGGAAATGTTTTCTTTTGTTCAGAAAGGTTTCTTGCCAGCTCCCAAGGACTCACAATAAAAGGCATGCCGATTTGGCTGCTCTCCTGGTATCTCTCTCTGTCTGTCCCAGGTGTCTCAGGCTGGCAGCAGACCTGAGTGTTCACTTCTAAGATCAGGTCTGGATCCAAACCTTTTGCTGGACCCACCCAGTGTTGGCAGAGTACCAGAGGTACTCCTTTTGGCCTTTGTTCCAGGATCAGGGTGACGCCACTTCCAAACAGGAGCACACAAAGAGCTGAAGTGTGGGACAGGACGCGAGGGGGTTGTACAGCTCTGACCTTTGTTCTGCCTTGGGGTGGGCGGAGAAGATGGAAATACTAAGGGAAGTATTCTTGGACTTTAATTTGGGTTGCCATGGAGGGTGAGCCCACAGCTGTCTCCTTATGAAAGAAAGTGGCAGATCTAGCTAATAAGGCTAGCTAGCTATAATCATAGCTGCTGCTGTCTGTTCTGTGCTTAAACTTTAAAGGAGTAAAATTTAAAAACGTTTGCATAAATGTACTCTTATGTGCGGCTTTCCTTGTGCTTGACCCGGAAACTGCAGTTTGTGGTGAGTCCGGTGTGTACCTATTGGTATTTAAAGCCCTTAAGAGCTTGAGAACAGTGTATCTGCAGGATTGCCTTATGCCAAACTTGGCCCTCCAGCTGTTTTGGGACTACAACTCCCATCATCCCTAGCTAACAGGACCAGTGGTCAGGGATGATGGGAATTGTAGTCCCAAGACAGCTGAAAGGCCAAGTTTGTCCATGCCTGCCTTATGCCATATGTGTCCACTTGACCGCCTTGATCTGCAGAACTGGCATTTTCACTGGTGCCACATAATACTCATTCCATAGTTGTATGAAATGTGTCTTTTAGTGTGGCAGGACTCCCTGCCTATAGTCATTAGGCAGGTGCCTTCACTGTACTCTTATCAGTGCCTACTTAAAACATTTTTGTTTAAGTGAGCCTGTCTTGAGATTCCAGACACATAATTGTTGCAGGGTGTGTGTACACACACACACATTAAATTATTAATTATTTTTTAATGTTTTGAACTGTTTTTACTGATAATTTTAATATTTCTTTGTAAACTGCCTAGTGGTTTTATGACATTCAGGCAGGATATACATTTTGTTAAATAAATAAATAAATTGCTGGACACAGGGTTCTGTGTAACCTGTCCAAATTACGCAATATATATGCAAACTTAATTTGCATAGTTTATTTTGCATTAGCTTGACCATTGGGAAGAGGCAGATATCGAGCTTTTCAGAGCTAGAATACCTTTTTAACCAGGTCTTTGGTTGATTTGATTGACATCCGATGCCCTTTTAAAATGTGGGTTTTTTGGGGGGTGTTATTGGGTTGTTGTTTTGATTTTGATTATATATTTTGTGGTTTTATATTTGGATTTTGTTCTATGAACCGCCCTGAGACCTCTGGGTATAGGGTGGTATATAAATTAAAACAGCAACAGCAGCAACTCTCCTGCTTTTGAACACAGAAAGCCATACTGAGCCAGGCTTTCATCATAGGCTTGACCTAAAGGTCTATCCTTAATCATCTCAGAGATATTCTGAGCCTCTTCTCTGAATTTTCAGCTTTGATTTAAAAATCTAAAAATAAATCTGTACCCTTTTTTTACTTTCAGCGTAAAAAAATATATAAGCAGTATTTCTGTGAAGTAATAAATCTGCCCCTGATTTCTGGTGCTCTGGTCAATTAATGCACTGGGATAACTGACAAACTCTTGGCAAAATTGTGGTTAGCAATTTATTAAAACTATACCTGAAGATTACTGCTATCTAAGGTTTATTGCTGTTTCACATTGGACTCCCTCAAAGTTACGGTGATGGGTGTTCTATTGAAGCTTCCTTAGACTCTGGAGGTTTCACTAGGCATTCCTTTCAAGTTTGTCTTTGCAAGCGTAAATGCTAGAAATGTGCCCTTTGTTCGTTTAAAATGAAAGCTGGGGTTCTCGGGGGGGGCTGAATTTGGAGCCCCCTGGCGCATTGTGTGGCATTTTCATACTTGATACAGAATAGACGCAACCACAGCCATGGCCTTTTCTGTGGGTACAGAAAAGAACAGGGGCGAAAAGCAAGGGATTGAGTCAGTGCCTCTGTGGTGTTGCTCTTGAAAAGGGAATGTTGACTCCTTCCTTGGGGTGACTCGGTTGCAGAGGTAAATTTCTTTTTTCTTTCTTTTTTCAAATGGCAGATTGTGCAGACCCCTAAAAGAGTATAAGGAACTGTGAGGCAAGAGGTGAATTTATATACAGCATTTACAGACATACATCTTGTTACGTTTGGTTCAGGTTACGTCTTTTCAGGTTGCGTCCCGCGGCGACCCGGAAGTAACGGAATGGGTTACTTCTGGGTTTCGCCACTCACGCATGCGCAGATGCTCAGAATGATGTCACGCGCATGCGCAGAAGTGGCGAATCGCGACCCGCAGGTGCAGGCTGCGTTCTGCGCATGATGCGAATGGGGCTCCAGAACGGATCCTGTTCGCAACCAGAGGTACCACTGTAATTTCATTTTTGTCTTTATTTATCTGTAGGGAAGGTTAGAGCAGCTTGCGATGGGGAGTCCCCCAATTCAGAGCGTTGACAATTCTGAGACCTGCTTAGCTTTGATAACAGACCCCCTACCTAGGGGAGGGGTCAATTCTCCCCACCCTGCGTATAGAATCATAGAATGGTAGAGTAAAAAATGACTCTAAGGATCATCTAGTCCAACCCCTGAAACGCAGGAATATGCAGTTGTCTCTTACGGGGATCGAACCTGCAACCTTAGCATTATCAGCACCATACTCTAACCAATTGAGCCATGTCTGAGTGGAGGTGGGAACCGCCGGCTTGTGGGGACACAGAGGCAGCATGGGGGTTAGGCAGAAAAAGTTCTTCCTTTCCCTAACGGGGAACCTTAGCTCTGCTGCTCTAAGTGAGCTAAGGTGGGAAGCTCCCTTCTCTTCCTTCGATTTAATGAGCCCATACAGGCCTCGTTAAAGATAATTGCTGGGTGGTGGTGGTTGAGCTGGTGCCACTGTCTGCCACCCCCACACCGGGGAGGGGTGTCTCTGCCTGATGTTTAGCCTTCCCAGGTTGCACCCGATTTCCTGTCTGCCTAAGGAGCTTAGTCCCTTGGCAAGCCACAGGATCGGGCCCAGTTGTCCCTGCAGCTACTGCAGAACAAAAAGAACCTGTGACCCTCCCTATTCAGTGTAGGTTTTTGCAGTGCTATTTTTCTCGAAAAACAGGTGCCGGAACTTACCATGAAGGCCTCCCTTGTCCTCTTATAATGGCATACCCTCCAACATTTCTCCAATAAAAATAGGAACACCCTATTCCTCCTCCTCCTCCTCCTCCTCCTCCTCCTCCTCCTCCTTCTTACAGTCATACCTCTTGTTACGTTCGGTTCAGGTTACGTCTTTTCAGATTGCATCCCACGGTGACCCGGAAGTACCGGAAAGGGTTACTTCCGGGTTTCGCCCCTCACGCATGCGCAGACGCTCAAAATGACGTCATGCGCAGAAGCGGCGAATCGTGATCCATGCACTTGCAGACACAGGTTGCGTTCTGCTCATGTTGCGAATGGGACTCTAGAAGGGATCCCGTTTGCAACCTGAGGTACCACTGTATTATTATTATTATTACCCTGCCCATCTGACTGGGTTGCCCCAGCCACTGTGGGTAGCTTCCAACATATATAAAAGCATAATAAAAAATTAAACGTTAAAAAGCTTCCCTATGCAGGGAAGCTGCCTTCAGATGGCTTGGGGGTCAGATAACTCCACAGCCTCCAACATTTCTCTGACGAAAATAGAGATGTCCTAAGGAAAAGCAGGACATTCCAGGATCAAATCAGAAACTAGGACGGCTTCTGCAAATCTGGGACTGTCTGTACACCTGACAACAAGCCCCAGACAACACTGTTGTTGTCAGGTGTACGTTCTGTGGGAAACTTGAGTTGGTCACTGCATAATGTGCAAAACACACCCGAGCGCCTTATTTGTAAGAGGCAATGCTCACCTCAGGGCAAACTGACTGAGCATAGGCACAACACCCAGCAATTTATGTGTTCCTCCGAGGAAATAAACCTGTCTGCTCTGAATTAATCCATCCCAGTTTAATCAGAAGTAATTAGCTCCTGTATTCCAAGGTAGAGCAATCCCAGAAACTGGGGGAGAGGTGGGTGGCATTGGAGGAGGAGTTGAACTACAGATGGCCTCCAGCACATAGCATGCTTCCGCTTTTCCTGTAGGTTCAAAGTGTATAGTCATCTGCATTCATTGCATATGATAAAGGAATCCCTCAGATCTTGTTTTCGCTGGGGCGATAAACCTTTGTCTGAACTATACCGCTCCAGACAGCGAACGAGGGCTTACACAGCCAAATGCTCGACAGTCCAGGAGAAAATAAATTTCTGTGTGGAAAGCTAGCAGGTCAGGGAGGAGGATAAGATTTCCAGAGGGGCTAACCGTGTTAGTCCGTTGCAGCAAAAATGACAAAAGGCGCTGTGGCACTTTAAAGATGATGGCATAAGGTTTTGTGGACTGTAGTTCATTTCATCTGATGTAATCCTCAGTCAGCAGGTATATATGGGTGCAAAGGGAAAATATGGAGAAGTTGGAGTTTGCTGGCAGTGTTTTTTTAATGTGTAGGAATCCTACTTTCTTTGTGAGGGAGTATTCAACCCTGTGGAATCTCCCAACCGCATTCCAAAGTGGTATAGTCCTCCCGAGACAGGTTTACACTTGGCGCCAGATGATCTAATTTCAATTGGTTGCCACCATGTGGTGAATCTGGATGCCATTAGGGTGGGGAATAATTAACCCAATATCAGAATACCTTGGCAAATTCGTGAGTGCGGCTTGGGGAAAAATGGGTATATTTATGTCACTCTGGAGAAGACAAAGGGCTCAGAAGGGAGCATCTGCTTTCATAGGACAGTGGTTGCTGCCACCTGCTGTTTACCTTGTAGTTTTTGTGTTTTTTTAAAACCAATTCTTGCCCGATTTCCATTCCATTCCCTCCCTGTGGTGGCATAATCCTGTTGGCGCCTGTTGCCTGCATTCCTAGTTCACCTTTGCTCCTTCCCCAGGTCGGCAGCACTCCCTTTGTGACACCCACACAATTTCCCGCCCTGTTTTCATGTCTGTGGAAGTAAGAACCAGTTCTCTGCCATGCACAGCGGCGGCTCTCGGTTAATACGTGAGAGAAACACATTGGGGCGTTTAGGGTAAGGAAAGGTGCCCCAGAAAAACGAGGCTGCAGAGAGGTGACCTCCTAATTATGGGCACAGACTGGGCAAAGCACTGGGGAAAGTGAGGTGGAGACAAAAGTATGATTCTTAGAGTCGGAAGGGACCCCCCCCCCAGGTCATCTAGTCCAACCCCCTGCAATGCAGGAATCTCAGCTAGATCATACTTGACAGATTGCCCTCCAACCTCTGCTTAAAAAAACCTCCAAGAAATGAGAGTCCACCATCTCCCGGGGGGGGGGTGTTCCGCTGGAACCCGCGTCGATGTTCATGCGAGTACACATGCTGATTTTAATTGCTTTACAGAGATTGGGAACCTGATTCTTCCGGCACAGAGCTGCTTAATGGGGGGGGGGGAATCAGTGTTGATATATGAAATTCAGTTCTGAATGTTCTGTCACACTTTAGTGTGACCAAGAGCCGGATGGGACTGTGAAGATGCAGGGGCAGGTTTGAGATGCAGGGACTGTAGTCACTAGGGAAAAGAGCAACTTTTAACCTCAAATCTCAGAGGTGTGTCCCCAAGGGGAATGTCTTTTCTGTATAGATGAATAGCTGCTTTTCAGCATTTCACTGAATGTTTTTATACTCTGAAGGGATCCTTACAGAAGTGATCGCCAATGTGCTGTCTTCCAGATGTAGCTAGACTCCAGCTCCCATTAGCCCCAGCCACCATGATCAATAGTCAAGAGATGATGGGAGTTGTAGTCCAAAAACGTTTGGAGGGTGACATCTTGGCTACTGCTGCCCTACATTATACTTAAAAGTACCTTGCACCAATACAGCATTATTGTATTTATTTCATTACATTTGTAGCCAGTGTTAGAAACTGAGATATGAAAGCTAGGAGCTAAATGGCACCTTAAACCTAGGATATGGGCGCAAAGTCTAGGCACACTTTTTTATAACAAGAACACAAAGCTGGAAATGAATGAACTGCAGCTAAAATTTTGTGTTCATTTTTCACATGGTCTAGTCCTTCCCCTGTCCATCCCCCTAATATTCTTTAGAGGGTCTCTTTTCCAGTCTTGAGAGAGTAGCTGGAAGTGGGGAGGCAGAAAAAGGTCCTCCTTTCTTTCCACTCTGCAGTTTTAATCTGAAATCTTAGGGACAGTACTGCGCCCAGAACTCAGAAACTGCTCACGCTAATGAAAGTTCCTGTCGCAAAATGCACCTAGAAAAATGGGAGTTTTGAACACTGTTTGTAGCCCACCTGTTTTCAACAGGTAGGTTGAAGTCCTGTTATGGATCATTCTCCTCTTCTGCAACTACAGTTACTTTAAAAAAAAGAGAGGGGGAAGAGGATGAGAATCCTAAGCATACTATTCAAAGACAAGATTAATGCCATATCCATCCTAAATCTATCACCTCAAGAAAAGTGTCAGTGCAACTCCTCATTTCCTCTGCGTTTGATATAACCCAGCTTCCAACAGAACTCCTCCAAATCAATGGACATCGTTTTCAGCCACTACTGTGGCTTCTAAGTTTTCAGTAGTTTCGTTACCCATAAACTTCCAAGCATGTACTTGCAGTCATAAGAATTCCAATCCCCATTACAAATGGAAGATACAGAGACCCCCAGTTCTGTCTGAGACCATGGCAGGGGCAAATTGTTAAAGTTGCAGGCATACACTCGATGGTTCTGTTTTGGTGGCTCACCAGACACACAGTGTTTATTTTTATTTTCAAAATGCACACCAGGTATAACTGTTAGAATTCCTGCTCTGTGATTGCAGTCATGGGATTGTTGTCTATCATGTGACAGTATATGTTTTGACTCCACAGAATGAGAAGTGACGGAAACATGATGTTGGTGTTACTGTGTTCCGTGAAGTGGGATTATTGTCCTTTGTTCATTCTCTTTACTGTCTGATGCTAGGGAGAGAAGGAGCCATGTTGCAATGCTCCGTGTGTGTTTATATGTAAATAAAGTAGATTAGCCTAAATGCTGAGTTGCTGAGATCTGTTATGCAAGCCATGTGCAAACTCTAAGTGTGCCGGTGTCAGCTGGCATCGGTCCCTGTGATGTTCGGGCTGAAGAAAGCTTTTGAAGCTCCTGAATGATCGACCAGGAGGGAGCGAACATGCCAGTCGGATATGTGTCTCTGCCAGGGTCCTACTCGAGTGTAGGCTGAGCTCCTGACAATAACTACAGGACAAACCCCTTCTAGTTTGGCCCTCAAGTGCCTCTAGTACCATATTATATGCTTTTCCGGCACTCCAGCAGAATTGTAGCATAAACGGAGCCCAAATTTTTGCCACCAACACTGCTTTGCCCCATGTTTCTCACCTACTGCTGGAATGGCATCCCAAGATCCCAGAGACTTAAAAGCCACAGCTTCCTGCTTCGCTCAAGCCAACATGGCTCCTGGTGCACAACACCCAGCCAATCAGAGCTCCACTTTCTGCTGAGAATTCCCAGCGGCAGCCCATTGCTACCTCAACGCACAAAGCCAAGTGTAAACCTAGCCAGAATTGGGTGGGTAAAAGTGTAGCAGGAGACAGACCATCCATTTTGGGTGGTGTTGGTGAGAATATAGGCATGAAGAAGAGAGTATGGGGAAAGCAGAGAAGTGGTGGTGAATAGATATTGAAAATTATCCAAAGGGGACTTAGGTATGAAATGATCTTGCTCCTTGACAAGGAATGAAGATCTCCAACTCCTCTGTGAAGTTAGAAACAAGATATGTCCCATGTATGGTGACATCTTGAGGGATGAGGTTCTGCACCTCTTGCTGGGTGGTTGTACAGTGGTGCCTCACAAGACGAATGCCTCGCAAGACGAAAAACACACAAGACGAAAGAGTTTTCCGGTTTTTGAGTCATTCCGCAAGACGAATTTCCCTATGGGCTTGCTTCGCAAGACGAAACGTCTTGCGAGTTCTTGCGAGTTTGTTTCCTTTTTCTTAAAGCCGCTAAGCCGTTAATAGCCGCTAAGCCGTTAATAGCCGCTAAGCCGCTAGTAGCCGTGCTTCGCAAGACGAAAAAACCGCAAGACGAAGAGACTCGCGGAACGGATTAATTTCGTCTTGCGAGGCACCACTGTATTCCTAAATAATTGCATTCCTAAACTGGATTTTAAAAGAAATGGGCATAGCCAAATGTATGGTTATTTGCATCCGCTTAAGTTAGCTACTTGGGACTTAATCTGCTTCTCCTTTCCACAGCCTGTCAGCCAGGGTTCTATCGTCACTCGCTGAAGACTGACCAGTGCCTCAAATGCCCTCCAAACAGCTTCTCCAGTTCTCCTGCTGCCACAAGCTGCCCCTGCCTCGAAAACTTCTTTCGGACTCCCACTGAGGACGAAACTGCTGCTTGTACTCGTAAGTCCTGGGTGGGAGTACTGTGGTCCCCCAGATGAGCAGGTGGAACCCCGTTCGCACCTACTTGAAAAATGCACCTACTCAACAAATAGGAAAGCTCCAGAGTGGTTCTGATTCTTGCCAAAAGGAGAACAAGTGGCATTCGGTTCTAAATTTAAGTGGCGCTGAATGCAAGCTGCAGCTGTAAAGGAACAATTAAGAGTGCATGCAAAGGCTCCTGGTTGTTCTTTTGCAGCTGTGGCTTTACCTGTCCTGCACCTGATGTCATGCAAACGACACAGTAGGTGCAGCCTGCCCAAAATGGCCTTGTGGACCAAACTGATCTGGAGGTTCCGAACTACTGCTCCTTTATGTCTTCCAGATGTCTCTGGCCACAGAGTACATGGTTCCCTCTGTAAATCCCTACAGTGACCCTGTGTGGTAGGTTAAGAGGCTGTGACTGTCCCAAGGTCACCCAGTGAGCTGCATGACTGAGCAGGGTTTTGAACCCTGATCTCCCAGGTCCTAGTCCGACACACTAACCACTACACCACACTGTCTTCCTAGAGTACTTCTGCCATGGGACAGCCGTAAACATTAAGTAAGTAAATAAATATGGGGAAAGCAAAATGTCACTTAAGAGAAGGATCTGAAACATTTTCCTTGAAGCTTGAAATGGTTTTATTCTGGATTGTTTCATTTGATGTTTTAATGTGCTGTAAAACCGCTTTGAGATTTTTTAAAATTTAAAACATAAAGCAGTATAGAAATGAAAACAATAATAATATGTTGGAATGGAGATATTTATATCCACTGTACCTGTCCCCAGGTGCAGGGAAAGAAAAAGAAATCTAGATAGAACCCTACAGCGCACTATAAAGGTAAAGGGACCCCTGACCATTAGGTCCAGTCGTGACCGACTCTGGGGTTGCGGCACTCATCTCGCTTTATTGGCCGAGGGAGCTGGCGTACAGCTTCCAGGTCATGTGGCCAGCATGACTAAGCCGCTTCTGGCGAACCAGAGCAGCGCACGGAAACGCCATTTACCTTCCCACTGGAGCGGTACCTATTTATCTACTTGCACTTTGACGTGCTTTTGAACTGCTAGGTTGGCAGGAGCAGGGATTTGAACCGCCAACCTTCTGATCAGCAAGTCCTAGGCTCTGTGGTTTAACCCACAGTGCCACCCGCGTCACAGCGCACTATATTTATAAGCTTTAAGGTAGGTACAGATAGGGTTAGAATCTCTTTGCAGGATTGTACTTTTATCACGCTGCCTCCTTTTACCTTTCCAGGCCCTCCTTCGGCTCCTCACAATGTCACCGTACTTATTGAGGGGACTGAGGTCACCCTTTCGTGGCAGGCACCCACGGATCAGGGTGGGCGCCAAGACCTCTCCTACAGCGTCTCCTGCCAGCGTTGCAGTTCCCCAAAGTGCAGACCTTGCGAGAGCAGCGTGACTTTTTCTCCCGGAGCCCTAGACCTCACCCAGCAGAGTGTGGTTGTGAGCGGCCTGGAGGCTTTCACTAATTACAGCTTCGTTGTTCGGGCTCATAATGGTGTGTCAGAGCTCAGCCCTGCCTTGCACAGCAGCAGCACCAGCTCTCCTGTCCGGGTTTTGGTGGGCCACGCAGGTGAGTCGCTGCGACGTATATGGGGAAGAGGAAGTGAGCACAACCAAAGCAAATAAAAGTTGTAGCAGCAGCCGAGCTGCATTTTCCCCTTACGCTGCAGTGATTAGTTAATTGCAAATGAGTGTGTGCAGGGGGCAAATTTACAGTTCTTAGATCAGTGATGGCCAAACTTGGCCCTCCACCTGTTTTCGGAACTACAACTCCCATCATCCCTAGCTAACAGGACCAGTGGTCAGGGGTGATGGGAACTGAAGTCCCCAAACAGCTGGAAGGCCGTTTGGCCATAACTGTCTTAGATGCTTGGGTCCTGACAAAATCTGAGGTACTGTAGGGGCTAAAAGTATGAGCTGTGAGCAAGGGAGTCCTTGACTTTCTTCATGTTCCAGCCATGAACTCTTTAGCAGACCCTCCAAGTGTCCTTCTTTTCCAGAGACAGTCCCAGATTTGCAGAAGCCGTCCTGGTTTCTGATTTGATCCCAGAATGTCCCGCTTTTCCTCGGGACACCTCTATTTTGTGCAGCCCCTGAGCTAAGTAACTATACAACTTTAGAAGGTGCTTATAGAAGACATCTGAAAGCAGTCTTGTATAGGGAGGTTTTTAAATGTTTAATCTTTTATTATGTTTTTGTGTATGTTGGAAACTGCCCAGAGTGCCTGGGTCAACCCAGTCCGATGGGTTGTTATTATTGTTATTATTATGGAACAGGACATCCCTATTTTCACCGGAGAAATGTTGGAGGGTCTGCGTTAGGCAGCACTAAGGCTTCCCACTCTCTTTGTCCGCCTCAGCTCCCTACCCACACGACAGTATGGGGATCATAGTCCTGCTATAAAGGGCTGGTGTATGGCAGAACGGGGGGTGGGGCTCCAATTGCTGCTGGTCTCCGGCTCCAGTCAGTCCCAGAAAGCTTAGCCAACAGCCAGGAATGATGGGAGTTGTAGTCCATCAACATCTTATCACAGGCTCCCCACCTCTGGTGAAAGGAATGTTGAGGGAATGACTGTAAAGCATTTGCAGTCCTCAAGAGAGAGATACGTAATTGCTGAGCAGGGTGCTGTATTTTGTCAACACAATTTCTCTGTTGTACCGGATATGACATTTGTCCAGTATTTAAAGCTCAGTGGTTTATTGTCTAGGGTGGGGGTGGAATGCTGGTCTCTAGAGAAGTTTGGCAGATGTAGCAAGCCTGTTGCGCTGGTCTGAAAACTAATTTAATAAACAGATTATTGTAACGTAGATGCTCTTCACTCTTGGCAGAACTCTTTATCGTTCTGTTTGCTTTATGAAGGCAACAGAATTAGAAGCTTATTTGTGTTCACCCAAGCTAACAAAAGCATTTCCCATATCCCTGTCAGGCCTTTCCATCCCCATTGGTGGCCACTATCACAAACCGTGTACAGTGGTACCTCGGGTTACAAACACTTCGGGTTACTAACCCGGAAGTAGTACCTCGGGTTAAGAACTTTACCTCAGGATGAGAACAGAAATTGCATGCTGGCGGCACGGCAGCAGCGGGAGGCCCCATTAGCTAAAGTGGTGCTTCAGGTTAAGAACAGTTTCAGGTTAAGAACGGACCTCCGGAACGAATTAAGTTCTTAACCCGAGGTACCACTGTATTTAATCTGCAAAACCTTTGTTGTGGATGCATCAGTGAAATAGGAAAGTTGATTCTTCAGTCTAAGAGTTGCCAGGCAAAATGGCAAAATTTGTTTTGAGTTCCCTGGTGCCATCATAAACACATGAACTGCTCCTTCTACCATGTGTGTGTGTGTGCGCACGTGTGTGTGTTTTTAAAGAGTCAGATTTTTATGCTGCAGAAAGCAACTTATAAAGAGAGGTGGTCTTTTTGAATGCAGAGTTAATCCAGGACATATCTAAGGCAGGTTGTGGCACAGATAGCATTAGGGTTTCTTCTCTGTAGTCTGTGGGCTTCCCTGAAACAAAAGTGATGTTGGAAATTCACACCCTTGTGCCTCAAGATGCCTTTAAGAGTTGTGTCATTCTTAGAAATGCATTTCTGTGTACAAGAAGCAGTATCCAAAAAGTGGAAGGAAGTGAAGTCAAATAGGAGCGAAAGTATGTGTGAAGGATGCTAGCAAGTTCTGACCCATGGGTCTCCTGGTCTGCTGCTCTAATGACAGCCCAAATGTGGCCCTAGAGACAGCTGCCTTACTTTGGCTCAAAGAAGGGCAAGCTCTGTGCAGAATTTGTTAGGTTTAGCCAATATGCTGCTAACTGGGCAGAGTCAGGAAAAGCAATGAGATCCAGAGCTTTCACTAAGGGAATGGGGGTGTGGGATGAATTGCAAAGAGCAGGTTACACTTTGATCATCTCTCCTCTCTTTATGTGCAGTCCCTGGCAAGGTGACTGATCTCATCCTGGCAAGGCGAAATGACAGCAGCCTCTCTGTGACTTGGTCACCGACAAGACATCGCAGCCGTAGCTCCGTGAACTACGAGGTTATGTACTTTGAGAAGGTGAGAGATGCTCTTCCTTTGTTCAACACCATCAAACTTCATAAATGTTCTCGTTCCATTTCACAAGTTGTTCAAGTCCTATAGCATATGGGTTTGGGATCTCGGGCCCATGGATTCAGTTTTGCCTGCCAGGCTGTTTCCCTCAAACCACACCTGATGTCATATGTGACGTTAGGTGTGGGGCAGGTAGAGATGGGTTTGGATGAGCTGCTCACCCAGCTGGTCCCTTCAGAAAGCACCACTGAACTCCCTTCCCTACACATCAGCTGAAGTCTGAGGAGTTCAGTCCTGCTTGGCTGTTATCTCTCCCCACACACCCATGGACCAACTTTGGCAGGTGGGTGGGATAACCTACCTGTCAGACACCTGATGCCATTACAGTGGTGCCTCGCAAGACGAAATTAATTCGTTCCGCGAGTTTTTTCGTCTAGCGAATTTTTCGTCTTGTGAAGCACGAAATCCCATAGGAATGCATTGAAATTCAATTAATGCGTTCCTATGGTCAAAAAAAGTCCAAACAAAGCCAAATTTGGTACAACAAGAGTTTATTAAGTGCTCTTTAAAGTCACACATACTGTAAAGAGCATTTCAAAAATTGAAGGAACAATAAATTAAGTTTCTAAACATGACAGAAAAACATTTAAAAATCAACAAAGTGTACAGTACATTTTCTAAGACTCTGGGGACAACTCGAAGAAGGTTCCTCTTCCACTCTTTGCTTCTTGCTGAAGAACCCCTCCTCAACTGTTCCCCCAGCCACCCACCACACAGAAATTCAAATCCAGAAATTTTTTTTAAAAACAGCAGAGTGGCCCAATGGTCACAGAAAATCATAAAAATGCAGAAAAAAACCACACAAGCTTCCAGATTCTTGCAAACCCCTCCCCAACACCAAGTCCTTGAATTCCAAACACCCCAACCCAAAATCCAAAAACCCCCAAAAAAGTTTTAAAAGTTTAACTACCACACCGCGTTCTATGAGTTGCTCCTCGAAGTCAAGTCACAACTGTATTAACGGTGTTAAGAAAAAGGAAACAAACTTGCAAGATGTTTTTGTTTTTCGTCTTGCGAAGCAAGCCCATAGGGAAATTCGTCTTGCGAAGCAGCTCAAAAAACAGAAAACCCTTTCGTCTAGCGAGTTTTCCGTCTTGCGAGGCATTCGTCTTGCGGGGCACCACTGTATTACGAATTCAGGGGATGGACAGGTGGGTGCTAAAGATCTTGCCTCCTGGGCTAGGAAGGTTCCCAACCCTTACTTATAGCACAGCCTAATTGTTTTGCAGGGAGAAGAGAAGCACTACACTGTCCAACACCTCCAGGAACCCCAAGTAACTTTGGCAAATCTGCAGCCTGACACAGCTTACCTGATGCGCGTGCGCTCCATCACAGACTCTGTAGCTGGGCCATATTCCCAGGAACAGGAATTCCGCACTCTTCCACAAGGTAGACCCCTTGATGCCCCACTTTGTTTGTAAAGGAGGGATTCTTGCTAATGGATTTGGGACTAAACTAGATGCAAGGAACAATTCAGATTGGGATTGTGTTGCAAGTGTAGGAAGCTAATTTCCCACCTACTCCAAGCTGTTTTTCTAAAGGAAATCACCCCATCCCTGAAATTGCTGTTTGTGACATTACCTACCATCACACCACTGGTGTATGTGGATTTTCATAAGGAAGATAAGGAAAATGGAACAAACTTACGCATACATACACACACTTACTTGCAACTTTTCCAGGCATTATATGCTAGTGTTCCTGTACAATCTTTTTTACTCAATGGGCTCTAAAACACTTGAGGTCATACTTTTTTGCTGTTAGGAAAGTGATGGGGAAATGCATTATAAAGTGTAGGATAACAGTTTATTTATAGTCTCTGTACAAACAAATCAGGATGGGTGCTCAATATATAAGTTTCTAGGAGGCAGCCAGATTCCTTTTTAAATTGTTTTACTAATATACTGTTTGGTTTTTCGGCATGGTAATTAGAAATGCTTTCAGATCTGCATTGCAAAACTAAAACTAAAGGCAAACGACTTCCATTTGGAGACTGAGAGCTGTTTCATGCAGCAGTCGTATTTGCTGCCTGAAGCTCCCCTCTTCGTTACACCAGCTTCCTGCAAGGAATGCATAAACTGTGTGGGGCAAGTCTATGTGCCTAAACTCCTGGAGACATGAACCTGCAAACCCTTCTTACTGTGGCTTTCTAGTGCCTCTTATTGCTAAATTTATTACTTTCTCTTCACCCACAGGTCCCAGAGCAGGTTACAGCAACTTAAAATTCATAAGAAAAAAACAGTTAAGACAAGTCACAAGAATAGGTTGGGTGCTGATAAGCTATAAGAGGCACATTGACAGCATCCACCCAAAGCTGTAAAGAACACAGACACACCTCTTGTGGGGAGAGAATTCCACAATGTAATAATAATAATAATAATAATTTATTATTTATACCCCGCCCATCTGGCTGAGTTTCCCTGGCGGCTTCCAATCAAGTGTTAAAAACAGTACAGCATTAAATATTAAACACTTCCCTGAACAGGGCTGCCTTCAGATGTCTTTTAAAGATAGGATAGCTGCTTATTTCCTTCACATCTGAAGGCAGGGTGTTCCACAGGGTGGGCGCCACTACCGAGAAGGCCCTCTGCCTGGTTCCCTGTAACCTCACTTCTCACAATGAGGGAACCGCCAGAAGGCCCTCGGTTCTGGATCTCAGTGTCCGGGCTGAACGATGGGGGTGGAGACGCTCCTTCAGGTATACAGGACCGAGGCTGTTTAGGGCTTTCAAGGTCAGCACCAACACTTTGAATTGTGCTCGGAAACATACTGGGAGCCAATGCAGATCTCTCAGGACTGGTGTTATGTGGTCCCGGCGGCCACTCCCAGTCACCAGTCTTGCTGCCGCATTCTGGATTAACTGCAGTTTCCGGGTCACCTTCAAAAGTAGCCCCACGTAGAGCGCATTGCGGGAGATAACTAGAGCATGCACTACTCTGGCAAGACAGTCTGCAAGCAAGTAGGGTCTCAGCCTGCGTACCAGGTGGAGCTGGTAGACAGCCGCCCTGGACACAAAATTAACCTTCGCCTCCATGGACAGCTGTGAGTCCAAAATGACTCCCAGGCTGCGCACCTGGTCCTTCAGGGGCACAGTTACCCCATAGGACCAGGGAATGTAGAGGCTGTCACAGACAATGCCTTATCCTGGGCCACCACACCCCCAAACTTGTGAGGGAAGTAGAACTACCAAGAGGGCGTTCTCTGCTGGTCCTAACACCTGAGAGGGTCTGTTGGCACACCTGGTGCATTTGCTGTGGCATAAACATGTGCAACAATCTGCTAAGAACAATGGCTGTATGAAACTTCTCTGAAACCCATCCACTCCCCACTGTGGCCCTTGGATGAGATAAATAAGGTCAGCAAAGGCATTTTAGGAAACTAGAACTAAGGATAACGCCAACCATTGTTTCCAAAAAAAGAAAGAAAGAAAGACCAAAATGCACTTTAAAAAATTATCCACGCAGCACTCAGTATTGAAAGTGTAATTGGGATCCGGCCAAACCACTCACTTACTAGTGGTTCCATACCCAACGCAAATACTGAAGAAGGCATTTGGGATAAATTTGGCATTGACATCATGAGCACACACTTCATAACAGTTCAGCTCCTCAAGTCCTTCCAATGACCTCTCAGATCAGGTATTTATAGATAAAGAGTTTTGATAAATAGGGCAGCAAGAGAACACCCAGGGTGCTCACTGTTTGCGTTGGGGTTTAATACTCGTTCACTTTCTGTGTATATTAAAGCACAAAAAGTATCAGGATTGTGTTTGCCTGGGGCTGACGTGCCTGCCTGGGGAATGGGGTTGTTGTTGTTTAGTCGTTTAGTTGTGACCCGTTTTTGTGACCCCATGGACCACAGCAGGCCAGGCACGCCTGTCTTCCACTGCCTCCCGCAGTTTGGTCAAACTTATGCTGGTAGCTTCGAGAACATTGTCCAACCATCTCATCCTCTGTCGTCTCCTTCTCATTGTGCCCTCAGTCTTTCCCAACATCAGGGTCTTTTCCAGGGAGTCTTTTCTTCTCATGAGGTGGCCACAGTATTGGAGCCTCAGCTTCACGATCTGTCCTTCCAGTGAGCACTCAGGGGTGATTTCCTTCAGAATGGAGAGGTCTGATCTTCTTGCAGTCTCCTCCAGCACCATAATTCAAAAGCATCAATTCCTCCATCACCATAATTCAAAAGCATCAATTCTTCGGCGATCAGCCTTCTTCATGGTCCAGCTCTCACTTCCATACATCACTACTGGGGCTTTCACTTCCATACATCACTACTGGGGGGAATGAAGTTATCTCACTTATATACATTGTAGGAAACATGTAAGTAGCATTTATATGCACAAAGCAGACCAAAGAATTCACGGTCTGTACTCTGCAAAATCGGAGGCAAAGCTGGTGCGTTATTGGACATTGGGCTCTAAGCGTATATGTCACTTCTTCATTACTTTTCCTTACATCTGGTTGAAACAAATCCCGTGCTTTCACATACCTATGCATACAGTTACTCTGAATCCCTATGGAAATCCAGATATATTTCTGGAGAGGTGAGCCCTGGCTAGGGTGGCCTGGCGCTGGAACGGTGTCTATAACCTGCGTTTTGCTCTTGCAGACACTGGGATGCCCTCTGGAGGAGTGATTGTCAGCATAATCTTTGGAGTTCTGCTGTTTATCGGTCTGGTTGTCGGTCTCCTTGTTTGCCGAAGGTAGAGATGGTGGTTCGCGAGGGTGGAGGGAATCCTGGGCATTGTTATTTGGTTTGTTCTGTGCTCTGGATGGTTATACCGTCTCTGTTCTGATGTTTATCCTTATCTGTTTTAGGCACTCTTATCGACGCGGAGCCCGGCGATGCCACAAGCAATCCAGCTACGACCGAGGTGAGCACCTGGAGTCAGGGAAGGCAGAGGAGGTGAAAGGCTTAGGAGTTCAGAGCCCCAAACTACATGTAAATGCAGACCAGCCAGACGAGCATTTGAGAATATCAAAAGCCACTTTGATGGGGATGGTCAGTAGTGCAGGGTTTTTTAGGGGGCATGTGTGTGCAGGGAGAGGGATGATTAACTTTTCCTCAGCAGGTGTACTTCTGCTCCAAATCCCTCCCCTCCTCCATGCTACGTCCCTCAATCTGAAGTCCAGATACATATTGCCAAGCACAAGCTTACACTCAGGCCCACCAACTGTAAGGGGCCGCCTTGTCTTCAGCCTCTTCAATATTTGTTGGAAAGGGCTGGGACAGCTCAGTGCTGAGGGGGCCTGGCATGCGCCATCACACACATTGCGTGTTGCAGCTTCAGCAGCTGGCTCCTTCAGAGTGCTCGGTCTCCTCCAGGCAGCATGACATCACACTGTGACATCACACACACACACGATACACGACAGGCCCCCTCTTTTTTTAAAAATGATTTTTACTGGTTTTGCAAAATAAATCTCACAATTAACACAATTAAATTTTAGAATCAAACAAGAGTCTTCCGAATCTTAGGACTTACCTCCTCCCCTCCAGGATCCTGCCAGAGCCCTCACGCCTCCTACCCAAGCCCAGCCACAGACTGGGGATGCGTCAAATGTTGCTGAGGACCGCACTATAAGACCTCGCTTGTTGGACTACCCTGATCTAAAATCTTTAAAATAAAATAAAAGCTGAATATCCAGGCAAGAAGCCTGGGATATTATTGCTCATTCACCACCGCCACCACCACCACAGCCCACTTCTCCCTGTGTCTATAACCTTGAACGAATTTCCACCTTACTTTTCATCCATGGCTCTGTTTCCCCCACATTCGTCCATCTGAAGTCCTGTTCTATCTTTTTCCTAGCACGGTCATAGGGAAACCACAACACTCAGGCCTAGTTAGGGCCTCAGATCTTAGGAGATTGGGTGATCCATGCTCATCCTTCCAGCACCTGATGTCACATGTGGCATTGGGCATGGGAGAGTTCAAGGCGCAGGTGCTTCGATGGAAGAATTAGGAGCACACTCCCAAGTGTGCTTTTGTTTCTTCCTTTGCAGGCAAAATTCAGTGCTTTTAAAACTTGGTAACTTTTCCTGTTCTCCTTCAGCTTCAGTACGTTTGCTCTAGTCGCTTTAGGCTGTAACCTTACACAGTGAGATTTACTTTCCCAAGCCAATACGTTTAGGGCTGTGATGTTGGCTGGGGGAATTCTTGTGTCTTACTGTACCGAAAGAGCCTCAAAACCTTTGTGCAGAAATCATTTACAGTGATGGTGTTATGTACTGAAGTTCTCACCCTGGGCCAGCAGGGGGGTACTGTAGATAGTTATGCAAATAAGGGATCGAAAGTGACGTTCAGTGATTGGATAGTTTTAGAAAATTGTTACAGTTACGTTGTACTGGAGCTCTATATAAGCAGGCTGACTGAACCCTTCAGTTCAGTTCTGTTCTGGTCTGTGAATAAACAAGAGCTGTTTGAAGAATCGCTGTGTCATCTGATATGTTCACCCACAACTTAACAGATGGCTCTTTATTACAGATGAGATTTGGTTGAAGCCATACGTTGACCTCCAGCCCTATGACGATCCCAGCAGGGGAGTCCTAGAATTCACAAAAGAGCTAGACCCATCTGTTGTCACCATGGAGACTGTTATTGGTGAAGGTGCGTATCATGAGGTTTCTGCTCTCTCTGGTCAGGAGATCCCCTTTTTCTATATCCCTAATACCCACTTTTTCTTTCCTCTGAATGCTTCACAGGCGAGTTTGGGGAGGTCTACTGTGGGAACCTGCGTTTCCCAGGGAAGGAACGTGTCGTGGTGGCCATCAAGACCTTGAAGTCAACTTACTCAGACTCAACATGGTGGAACTTCTTGCGCGAGGCGACGATCATGGGCCAGTTCAATCACCCCAACATTGTCCGCTTGGAAGGAGTCGTTACAAAACGTAAGGGCTCAGCCATAATAATAATAATAATTTATTATTTATTTTTTATACCCCGCCCATCTGGCTGGGCTTCCCCAGCCACTCTGGGCAGCTTCCAAAAAAATATTAAAATACTGCAATACATCAAACACTAAAAGCTTCCCTAAACAGGGCTGCCTTCAGATGTCTTCTAAAGTCTGGTAGTTGTTGTTCTCTTTGACATCTGGTGGGAGGGCGCCACTACCAAGAAGGCCCTCTGCCTGGTTCCCTGTAACTTGGCTTCTCACAGTGAGGGAACTGCCAGAAGGCCCTCGGTGCTGGACCTCAGTGTCCAGGTAGAACGATGGGGGTGGAGACGCTCCTTCAGATATACTGGACCGAGGCCGTTTAGGGCTTTAAAGGTCAGCACCAACACTTTGAATTGTGCTCGGAAACGTACTGGGAGCCAATGTAGGTCTTTCAAGACCGGTGTTATATGGTCTCGGCGGCCGCTCGCAGTCACCAGTCTGGCTGCCGCGTTCTGGATTAGTTGTAGTGTCCGGGTCACCTTCAAAGGTAACATGATGGGGCAGGAGCGCCTGGTGGTGGAATGGGACTGTTTTCACTACGTGGAATCACCAGTGATTGTGAGGCTTCTGTGGAAGGTACTGGAGCAGCATGTGGGAGCTACCAGATTCAGTCCTTGGCATCTTCAATGAGAATACTAATAATAATAATATTTTTTTTGGTACCCTGCCCATCTGACTGGGTTGCCCCAGCCACTCTGAGTGGCTTCCAACATGCATAAAAACATAATAAAACACCAACATTAAAAAGCTTTCCTACGCAGGGCTGCCTTCAGATGTCTTCTAAAGTTTATATACTTATTCCATAATAATAATAATAATAATAATAATAATAATAATAATAGAAATCATCCCTGCCCTGTGAGCTTGGAGGACTACATAGCAGACAATAACTGGGCAAGAGGGACCAGAAGCTTCATGTGTTCAAAAGGTTAAAATGACTTTTCCATTTGGATTTTGGGGGGAAGCCCAGAGAGCCACTACCAGCCGATGGGAAGTAAGGTGAGGGCACCACAAGTAATTTTCTTTTCTTTTCTTTTTTCTTCCCAGGACACCCAATGATGATTATCACAGAATACATGGAAAATGGGGCTCTGGACACCTTCTTACGGGTAAGTCCTTTTTCGTCAGTCACTTAGGCATCGCCGGTTGGTAAAGCTGTATCAGAGCTGTATTAATTCAGATTGCAGGTGGAGACTCCATGCAAAAGGAAATTCAGCCTAACAAAATGAGCACGTTGGAGAGAGAAGGGTCAGCTAGAACCCGTCCCAATGCCAAATCATTTTCTATATGCACACTTTTTAATTTTTGCATGGAGGAGTATTTAGCCATGTCATTCCCCAGTGCCACTACAAGTGATGGAGCCTGAGTTCTTTTCTGCAGTTTTCTTTTAGCATTATTGGGGGTTGTTGTTGTTGTTTTAGATTAATTTGATAAGATTTAATTTATATTAGCCACCTTGGAATCTCTTACCTTGAACAGCTGGATATTCTTGGGAACTGAGTATCTTGGGTCATGCCTGGATAAGTTGTGACCGACTGGGCTGAATGTAGACCCATCAGCCATATCCACCAGCCCATCAGGAACTCCAGACACAGCCCCCCCAGATTTTGTGGTCTATCTGGGACTAAGAAGCAAAGGGCTGGCAAGCCACAGTCCATGACTGTTGCACACTGTATTTGTTTTTTGGTAGGACACAGGCTGGGGTGGCCACAGAGCCTAGGACTTGCTGATCAGAAGGTCGGCGGTTCGAATCCCCGCGACGGGGTGAGCTCCCGTTGCTCGGTCCCTGCTCCTGCCAAACTAGCAGTTCAAAAGCACGTCAAGTGCAAGTAGATAAATAGGTACTGCTCCGGCGGGAAGGTAAACGGCGTTTCCGTGCGCTGCTCTGGTTCGCCAGAAGCGGCTTAGTCATGCTGGCCACATGACCCAGAAGCTGTACGCTGGCTCCCTTGGCCAGTAAAGCGAGATGAGCGCCGCAACCCCAGAGTCGGCCACGACTGAACCTAATGGTCAGGGGTCCCTTTACCTTTATAACGTTTCATTGCCATGACAATTCCGAAACTGCATTCTTCACTGTGAAACAAGCGGCTAAGCACAGTGAGAAGACTTTTCTTTGTGCCTGTGTTTGTGCTTCAGGAGAACATGGACAAGTTCAGTTCGGTGCAGCTTGTGACAATGTTGCAGGGCATTGCCTCGGGAATGACCTACCTGTCAGACCGCAACTATGTGCACCGGGACCTGGCGGCCCGCAACATTCTGGTGTCTCATAACCTTCAGTGCAAGGTTTCAGATTTTGGTCTTTCTCGGATATTAGAAAACGACGTGGAGGGAACTTACGAAACGAAGGTAAAATTGTGAAAACAAGAGAAATGAAGTAGGGTGATGTATCAATATATTATCCAAAACTGGTTTGAAGTCCATATCGTGATATTGGTTTCATAGTTTTTCACCTGGCAATATATTGATGTGTGTGTGTGTGCGCTACGCAATAATCACAGCATGGGAAAAACTGTGAAGCCAGCCAATGCCTCTCCACATAGTTCCATCCTTATTTCAGACATTGTGATATATCAGTATTTGCAATGTTTAGCTGGTGATATATCAAGACGCACAAATAACTGGGACAATTTAGGTCTGTTGTTGTATTAAGGCAACTTTTCCCCCCGTGTGACCTTGGCTCTGTGCCAGCAGAAGACAGGCTGCTGTTTCTCTTGTAGAGCTGGGCCAAAACTAACACACTTACTCAGAACTCCAATGAGCCAAACGGCAGGTAACTTTCTGATTGTTTAGACTGGGTATGGTGAAATGCCTATATAAAGTACCATATTTTTTGCTCTATAAGACTCACTTTTTCCCTCCTAAAAAGTAAGGGGAAATGTGTGTGTGTGTCTTATGGAGTCAATGCAGCCTGCGCAGCTATCACAGAAGCCAGAACAGCAAGAGGGATTGCTGCTTTCACTGCACAGCGATCCCTCTTGCTGTTCTGGCTTCTGAGATTCAGAATATTTTTTTTCTTGTTTTCCTCCTCCAAAAACTAGGTGCGTCTTGTGGTCTGGTGCGTCTTACAGAGCAAAAAATACGGTACTTAAGGGAGTAACACAGACCAAGTCAGAGCATTCTCAGAAATAAAGTTTTATTTTTTTAAAGTACAAAAAAATGATAATTGAACAGTGGAAAACTTTCCAGGAACTGAGAGGGAAAGAGGAAGAAGGGGCTGTACAACATGCCTTTGGTGTCAAGAGGCAGAAGGAAGAAGACGATTAAAGTCTGAAATGTAGTCAGAGAGAGGAGAACTTCACCAATCCTTTTCAGTTTTGTCGGAGAATGGGCACCAGGGTCCAAGGGTATGAAGATGAGCATCCAACAGGACCCTGGCTGGGATGTCTGCCAGAAATCTAACATACTTTGAAGAACTGGGACGTGGAGACTCAAATAGGGCCAGGACCATTATAGACTTGAGAAGGGAGGGGCTTGATGGATATAAAAGGATGATGTTGGAAGAGTGATTTCCAGGTTTGAACTAAAAGAAGTTTAATGTCTTCCAGTACTACTAATATCCTACTCTTTAATTAAGTAGGCAATTGATAATATTGGACCTCAAGGGAGCTTGGGCATTTGCCTTCTCAGGAGGTCTAAGTCTAGCTGGGTTGGGGGCTACTCTCTTCTCTATGTCATTAGAGAATTTTGTCAAGAAACCTGGATTTTGCCCTCTGCATCTTGATAAATTACTTCCTGCTACATTCAAACAAAATGGAAACTTTATGATCCAAGGTTCCAAGGAACACCAGCTTGAGCTCCTGGCAACAACACCACGTTTTGCTTGCTTACTTATGTGTGTGTGTTTCACAACTTTTTTCTACCCCGGGGAAGGAGGAAGGGAGTGGCTTTGTGGGCTCCTAGATTGCAGTTGAATAGCCAAACCGTAGTTTCCATTTCACAGTTGCAACCTCTTTCTCGACAGGGTGGCAAGATCCCTATCCGATGGACAGCGCCTGAAGCTATTGCCCATCGAATCTTCACCTCAGCCAGTGATATCTGGAGTTTTGGCATTGTCATGTGGGAGGTGCTGTCCTATGGCGACAAGCCATATGGGGATATGACCAATCAGGAGGTAAGAGGGTCAAGGGAAACGCTTATTGAGCAAGGAAACCACCTCCTGGGTTAGCAGAGCTGGAGCTGAACTAGAATAGATTGTAATAAAGAACACGTTTCCAGATTTCCCCATGGCCCAAAATTCCGTTTCCTACTTTCCTGAAGGGAGCAGCCATAGTTGGGCAGCCCAACTGAGATCCATTTGTCATGAGTTTCAGTACATTAACCAATTTGATTAAATCTGCATAGGAGAAAAAACAATGGGTTGCGTCCAGTGCTCTGCCAGCATAAATCTGTGGGTGCAGTAGGGCTTCCATTTCCTCTTCTCCACACACTCCCAAATCCACTTTGGAGGATCCCCCAACCCCCCTGAAGATGATTTTGGGGGCATGCAGGGGCTGGAGGGGATGTGGGTGGCTCTGTGGGTTAAACCACAGAGCCTAGGACTTGCTGATCAGAAGGTCGGCGGTTCGAATCGCCACGACGGGGTGAGCTCCCGTTGTTCCGTCCCTGCTCTTGCCAACCTAGCAGTTCGAAAGCACGTCAAAGTGCAAGTAGATAAATAGGTACTGCTCCGGCGGGAAGGTAAACAGCGCTTCCGTGCGCTGCTCTGGTTCGCCAGAAGCGGCTTAGTCATGCTGGCCACATGACCCGGAAGCTGTATGCCAGCTACCTCGGCCAATAAAGCGGGATGAGCGCTGCAACCCCAGAGTCGGCCACAACTGGACCTAACGTTCAGTGGTCCCTTTACCTTTACTAGGGGCTGGAGAGGACAGGGGGCTTGTCTACTTTCCCTCTGCTCTTTCCAAGCACAGGTCCGTGCTTAAAAGCTCAGTGTCTGAGTGTGGTTTTGTTTTGCCCCAAGCTTTCCCCTCAAAAACCTGCTCTTTAGCGCTCAATTGGAGCAAACGTCAGTTCAGGCTTTCTGTGGATTGCTGTTTGCTCTGACTGAGCTTTAAAGAGCTCCAGAGGAAAATTGTGTACTTGGACATAGTCCCTGGAAAAAGCAGAGAAAAAGTGTGAAGCTCTGAGAGGAAGAGGAAACGTGTTACCAGCAAAGCTCAAGTTTTGGATATGGCCCAGCAGTTTAGAAGGGAACCTCACACACTGCTTTCAAATGACATACAGTAGCAGCATCTCTCCTTTAAGTATTTCTCCTTCTCAAACACGCGGAAATGGATGCATTTTCTAAGATGCCGCTCATCCATAACTTTTGCTGTTCAACTGGTATCAGAATTACTTTTAACAGAAGAATGTGGTGACCTCCTTAGCTTATACGTTTTTAATGAATTAATCAAATGGATTAAATGTGGCAGTTCCAATTCCAAAGGATTTCCCAATAGACATTACGCTCCTGAGAAAGTAGCCCTCAACTCCAGTTTCTTAGGTAGCTGTGTGCTAAGGAATGTTTGCCCTGTTCACAGTGATCTTGTGTTTTACCTGGAACAGGTGATGAAGAGCATAGAGGATGGGTATCGGCTCCCCCCACCTGTGGACTGCCCATCCGTCCTTTACGAGATCATGAAGGTGTGTTGGTCATATGACCGGACCCGGAGGCCCCGCTTCCGTGAGATCTTCGCTCAGCTAGAGCACTTCATCTCCAGTCCACATTTGCTTCGAACTGTGGCCGACTTTGACCCCAGGTAAGTGATATGCAGGGCAATACTTAGGGGACAGAGCTGTGTAAATTTGTGTGCATACACACAGGCACACACAAAGGGGAAGAATCCAAAAAAAAGCTGAATTCTACATGCGGTCTTACAGCGTTACCTTGGTTCTTGAATGGCTTAGTTGTCGAACAAATCGGCTCCTGAACACTGCAAACCCGGAAGTGTTTTGGTTTGCAGACATTTTTTGGAAGCCGAACGTCTGACGTGGCTTCCTTCCGCTTGAGTGCAGGAAGCTCCTGCAGCCAATCGGAAGCTGCGCCTTGGTTTTTGAACAGTTTCGGGAGTGGAATGGACTCCTGGAACAGATTAAGTTCGCGAACCAAGGTACCACTGTATTTATATATATATTATTTGTTAGTCACTTTTCTTACCAAGTTAATTCAAAGTGGCTTTCATTAAAACAAATTAAAAACCAACATTAAAAACCTAAAAACAGAAAGGCGGGACCAGAGGTCCCACCCCACTAAAAGCGGCAATGCCACCCTTCAAATTAAGGGCCCAAAACTCAGGAGAAAAGGACTTGCCTGGCACCTAAAACTGGATAAAGATGTTGTCAGGCCCAATTCTGCATAGCTGGATAATCTCTTTTCTTTTGGCCCGGCTTATTCCCTGCATGCTGAATTCTGTACACACCCTCGCATTCTGTGCTTTTGGAGCACGTCTGCAGAGTTGTACCCTGGCCTTCAAGGTGTTCGTGGCATCAGTGCCAGCCTGGGTTGCATCAAGTGCCACAGTGGCTTCTCCATGCTAGTCTATGGGATGCCATAAACGCCCCCTGGGTAAAGGGCAGACATTTCTCTCCAGCTCCATCAGAAGGGGGTGGGGGGCGTGCTGGTCTTCCCATGAACTGCATTGATTTTAAGTGTCGCATCAGGTCTGAAAATGCCTATCAATCCCCAGGGTGACGCTCCGCCTCCCCAGCTGCAGTGGCTCCGATGGGATTCCTTATCGGTCTATCCCAGAGTGGTTGGAATCCATCCGCATGAAGCGCTACATCATCAACTTCCGCACTGCCGGCCTGAACACCATGGAATCCGTCCTGGAGCTTTCTGCCGAGTAAGCACTGGGCACCCTGAATTTGGGATTCTGCTCTTCCAGGGCAGAAGAGAGGAGAGGGAAGGGAGGACATGCAGCTAGGTGCCACCGTGTCGATTGCACCTCCCCACAGCATACAAAGACATTCAGGGATGCGGGTGGTGCTGTGGTCTAAACCACTGAGCCTCTTTGGGCTTCCTTATCAGAAGGTCGGTGGTTCGAATCCCTGCAATGGGGTGAGCTCCCGTTGCTCTATCCCAGCTCCTGCCAACCTAGCAGTTGGTAAGCACACCAGTGCAAGTAGATAAATAGGTACTGCTGTGGCGGGAAAGTAAATGGCATTTCTGTGCATTCTGGCTTCCGTCACGGTGTTCCGTTGCGCCAGAAGCGGTTTAGTCCTGCTGGCCACATGACCTGGAAAGCTGTCTGTGGACAAACGCCGGCTCCCTCGGCCTGAAAGCGAGATGAGCACTGCAACCCCATAGTTGCCTTTGACTGGACTTAAGCATCCAGGGGTCCTTTTACCTTTACAAAGAAATTCATATGCACAGGATTAGCAAAATAATCTCTCTGCCTGTCCGCTGATGCCTTAACTACCAAGCTTGTACCCCTCTACAAGCACTTCTCATTATAGCTGTTCTTAGGGTTGCCAGCTTTTCTCACCCTGCTCTCTTGTATCTGGGTTCCGTGCAGACATTGAGCAGACACCGCAGCTTTTCCTGGTACAGAGGCCGAGTGACCAGGAAAAGGTTTCATGTGCTAACTTTCTCTGTGTTAAGCTATAATTCAAGGACGAGAGGAGGGCCAATAAAAGGCCAAAATCCTGGCCAGAAGATGGAGAGAGAGAGAGAGACATTCTCCTGCAGCTTGTAAAGACAAGAGTGAGATAGATCCTTGTATCCAGATTATGATTGCCCAACGGAGTCTGTTGCTGTGGTTGAAAAGCAGGCAGAGAACCAACAGCTTAAGTCAGAGCATAATCCGAAAGAGTCACAGTGATGCTTTGTTGGAGAGCAGAGAATATGTGAGTTAAGAGGCCTGGTTAACCTTTGGCCTTCCAGATGTTGTCAGACTCCCAGCTGCTGTCAGCCCCAGATAGCATCAACAAGGGTGATGGATAATGGGAGCTGAGAGTCCAACAACATTGGGGGGGGGGGGTGCAAAGGTTCCCCAGCCTTGAGCTAGAGCCATCTCCATCACAATCTCATTTTGTATGTGGGCTGGTAGTGAGGCTGAAAACAAGCAGGGTGGTTCTTCCCCTCACCCCCCTTCAGAAATTAAGGTGGTTTGAATAGGGCAATTTACCTATTCATTTACTCCCTCCTGCCTCACAGTTGACTCTGGTGAAACAGGTTTTACAGTGGTACCTCAGGTTAAGAACTTATGTAATTCGTTCTGGAGGTCTGTTCTTAACCTGAAACTGTGCTTAACCTGAAGCACCACTTTAGCTAATGGGGCCTCCTGCTGCCTCTGCGCCGCCGCTGCACGATTTCTGTTCTCATCCTGAAGCAAAGTTCTTAACCCGAGGTAATATTTCTGGGTCAGCAGAGTCTGTAACCTGAAGCATATGTAACCTGAAGTATATGTAACCCGAGGTACCACTGTATAGGTTTCTGTAAGGCTTCAAAAATCTGCAAAAGCTGGCCAGAGAAGTCAGCAAGATAAAAAAAGATCCTAGTAAAGGTTTACTCAAGAACTGATTTCAGTGGGACCTCCTTCCTAGTGAGCAGGCATAGGATTCACTGGCAAGCTGGATATGTAAGAAATATTTGCAGAAGTAATAAGCATAGCCTTCCATTAAGAGCATAAGATAAAATCACTAACGCATACCAAAATACCGGACACATATGAAAATAATCATATGGAACCAAGGAATTAGCATCAGCATACCAAAATTCACATGAGACAGTTAAGATAACTGCTGGCATCCATCACACTGCTAAGGAATTGTTGCATTGTGTAAGATTGTATTTGTGCATCTTAGTATATTTAATTTTATGGATGATATACTATGCTTTAGCAGAGTGACACTTTTGCAGGTTCTGCCCATAGTTTTGCAGTTTCCTGAAGCTCTTTTATCACCTTCCCAGTGAATTAACATGTCTTTTTTGGGATCTGTCACAACACCTCCAAGCGCTCTAAAATATGTTGTCTGACTCCCACCTTGCAGAGAGTTTTGCCAGATCCACCTTGTGAGACAGCAACTGGAAATGGTGATATTTCTGAGCTGGGTCCATGCCTTGAGCTCAGCTGAATTTCTAGGAATGGACTTTGGTAGGACACATAACAAGTGGTGGGGAAATATTATTAACTTGTAAGATATGGATTTGTGGGGGGTTTTGTATGTTGCTCTTTGTGTTTTGTGTAGTCATTTTTCGTGATGTTGTGTGGAAAATACTAATAAAATTTATTAATAAAAAAACCAACAAGTGGTGGGGAAAGGGGACAGAGGTTTCTTAGGGTGGTACAGCTTTATGAAACCCTCTGCCTGTCTAGCAGTCTCAATCTCTCTTCACCAGCTAAGGTAAAGGGTAAAGGGATCCCTGACCATTAGGTCCAGTCGTGGCCGACTCTGGGGTTGCGGCGCTCGTCTCGCTTTATTGGCCAAGGGAGCCGGCGTACAGCTTCCGGGTCATGTGGCCAGCATGACTAAGCCGCTTCTGGCGAACCAGCGCAGCGCATGGAAATGCCGTTTACCTTCCCGCTGGAGCAGTACCTATTTATCTACTTGCACTTGACATGCTTTCGAACTGCTAGGTTGGCAGGAGCAGGGACCGAGCAACGGGAGCTCACCCCGTCGCAGGGATTCGAACCGCTGACCTTCTGATCGGCAAGTCCTAGGCTCTGTGGTTTAACCCACAGCGGCACCTACGTCCCGCACCTGCTAAACAAGGCAGCTAATATTTCTCCCCTCCTGTTTTTTCCAAGGGACTTGAAGCAAATGGGTGTGACCCTTCCTGGCCACCAGAAGCGTATTCTGTGCAGCATCCAAGGCTTCAAAGAGTGATGGGGGTCTGGCATCACCAAGCTGTCACTGAACCCAACGCCACAGAGCCCAGCAGAACAAGGAGAAGAGAAGGGGAACAGACTGAGCCGATCTTGCAGTGGCGCAGCAAGCACTGGCCTGGGGCTCTGAGAGTTGATGGCAGAGTCTGCAGCATGTGCACCACCAACATTCCTTGTGCCCCATAGCGCACAGGTTGGGACTTGAGCTTCCCAATGCAGAAAGCAACACTCCACGAGGCTCCCTGCAGATACTAACGCCAGAGAAGTGGCCAGCGCTTAAAATGCAAACTCCTTGCTTCTCTCTCATTTTCTGTCTTGCCACCTCTTGTTTCGTTCTTGTGTTTCTACTCCCGCAGCAGCCACTCTGCCCGTCGCATTTCATAGTGACTAAGGAAGCAAGGTGTACTTAAAATTATAAGCAGAGCTGAAACCATTCTGCCGGCAAAGCCATTATCTAGCAATAAGGGGTCCCTTCAAATGCAAAAGTTGTGCTTGAAGACTCAGGGATTGGGGGACGGGACTTGCCATTGTTTGCACAGTTCCTGGGACCAAGACTGCCTACCTTGTACCTTAGCTCAGTGGCCTGGACTTGCCTTTATCACACAGCGTTAGATCAAATTTATACTGCTCCCCTTGTTGCTTATGTGTCTTATTTTCTCTCCTGGAGCCCAGTCCTAAGAGCAAAAATGGCTTGTTTACAGTTAGGCACCACATGCTCCAGAGAGCTTTGCTTCCTCAAGTTGAGGATGTTGCCTATATATATTTAAAATAGCAGGATGGGGAGGTGAGAAAGAAAACCCGGACCTGGGGTTGTGTGTTGTATATATGGTTTTGTAAATAAAAGTATCCAATCTGTGCCATGACTTTTATTATACACGGATCAGCCCCTTATTAAGTCAGCTGTCTATTGGGTTCCACAAAACTTAAAAGCAGGACTTGCTGCCTTCTCAAAGGAGGGAGAACTACCTCTAAGATAAAGTTACCCTTATATGATTACAGCTTTTTAAAAACGAAACAAAATGATAGCTACCCTTGCTCCTTTTCAAAGAAATATTCAAGGTTAAGGAAAAGCATCTCAGTACCTTGGATAACCAGATGAAAAAGAGTGCAGGGGTCCTTTACCTTTTAGTGGTTGTGTTGAAGAGGAAAATTTAACAGCATTGTTTGTCATGCAAATCAAAGTGCAGAGCCCTGTAACTTTTCCTCCATCCAGCCAAGACATGACACAACAGCCCCTAGGCAAGGAAGAACTGGTAAAAAGGAGTCAAAATACGTTTAAAATAAAGGCACTGTTACCATTTATATGCGAAGCACCAGTTATGTGCAGGGTGTGAGAGAGATGTTAAGAGCATAAAGAACCTGACATAGACCCCTACTCTGTACTTACTCAGAAGTAAGTCACACAGTGTCCTGAAGGTTGAAGCCCTAAATTAGCGAGGACAGTATTTAATGTAGTTCAGAAGCCAATGACCAGTTCCAGCTGCAAAGAAGAAATTTAAAGCACAGTCGAAGCAGTAGCCTTGTAAGATAAGAAGGGAATTTAACAAAGCAGTAACCAGACTGTGTAACTGCCATACCTATAGGATCAAACTCTATAAAGTCATATTAGGATAGCTTTTCTCTATGCATCCAAGGAAAAACAAGAGAAAGGGGTAGAGGAGGGGTAATACTATCTACTAGCGAATGATTTCCGGTTGAATGTAGATAATCGTTTACCAAACAGGAACTTACTGAACTGAACATATACCACATTTTTCACTCTATAAGACGCACCAGACCACAAGACGCACCTAGTTTTTGGAGGAGGAAAACAAGAAAAAAATATATTCAGAAGCCAGAACAGCAAGAGGGATCACTGCGCAGTGAAAGCAGCAATCCTTCTTGCTGTTCTGGCTTCTGTGATAGCTGCACAGCCTGCATTCGCTCCATAAGACACACACACATTTCCCCTTACTTTTTAGGAGGGAAAAAGTGAGTCTTATAGAGCAAAAAATACGGTAACCTGCAGCATCTTCCTACAATGTGGCTGAAAACTGCGTCACATTCCTCCTCTCCCAGCCTTCTGATCAGGTCCAAAATGACACGTTCATCAGAATTGCATGCCCACTCAATTAGTTTTAGCAAGGGTAGTACATAAAGGACTATAGTTCTATCACTTTAGAAATGCAAGCCATCCCAATATGGTACTGTAGCTTTTCAGTAGGTACTCTTACTAACTGGGCACTGATCTGGCAACGAGTTGCAATGCCCATGCCCCACGGGCACTCCAATGTCCATTGCTTGAATCCTGAAATGCATTCACTGCTTTTAAGATGTACTAATCAAGCTGCAAGACTTAAGTAGCAGCCTAAGGGTACCATTTTGTACCACAGAACTGGTTTCTCATCACCTTGTCCATAAACATTATGCCCTACACTGTTGGACCTACAGAAAAATGAGTTTTCCACCTACTGAACTCCTCCACAAGTCTGTGAACTTTGAACACTAGGCCAGGCAAGTTTGGGACATTTTTGATATATTGATGTCAATTAAGAAATACTGCAAAAACCAGATCAGCCCAATTTAACATACCCAGGGCAGTTGAACTAGAAAGGTCTTATTGAAACAGTGCATCTACCCACCACTTACAGCTTAGGGACTCTTATCAAAAGCTTCTGCTGGACTAATGGGGTCAACTTGAAACAAGTGCCATCCATCAGTACAAAAACTATTGTTATGCATGTTTACCATCTGCATAACTCTTTCAAAACTACATCTACTAACAGGACCCCAAGCAAAAGTATGAAAAAGCCTACAGGGATCAGGCCTAGAGATATTTCCTTCTCAAAAGATCGTGTCAGAGAGCAAAGTTCAGCTGGTTAAGGGTTAGCAGCATTAGGCCTCCCACTCAGCAGATGGCTTCTGCTACCAGTTCCCTTCCCAGCCTCCAAAACAAGAAACTTGTCCTTCAATAGCAACATTCATTTGCTCCAAGCTACCATATTTTATTGGCTGTATGGTGTTTTTTTCTTGTAACCTTCAGAGTTATCTATGCTGAAGGACTCCAGATTAAGCAGAGGTTTAATAAGCTGCCCAAAGAATGGGAGGACCATGGAAGAAACCTCCATCTCAAAGCAAAGTTGGAAGAGCCTGGTGGTGTGAGTCAAGGAGTCTTAAAGAGCTGGGTGGGGTGGGGAGAGTAATCTCACCCCCGCAGAGAGCTGTCTCCCGCAGCAGCCTTCAGTCGGGACACAGGCTCAGTGCATTAAAGTCAAGTTATCTGAAGGGTCTCTCCAGCTCCCAAGACGCAGGTAGCAACGAAACAAAGAGATCAAGGGGCTGCTGAACGAAACTGAACTTCACCTGAACAAACAAGCTAAACACTGTGCAAACATTTGCCAGGCTCCTCCACTTTGGACTTTTGCTATTTGTGTTAGATGTCAAGTACATGCAGAAGGTGGTGTGTGGCTTTGGGCTAGAGCACAGTCTTTTAACTCTTAAACTTCTCGTACCCAGATCCAGTACCAAAGACAGAATAAATCGCCTTACAAGGAAGGCTGTGTGTGCTTGGACCTATATCTTGAATTCAACAGATGCCTGCAAACATGCAAAATATGCCTACAGAGTGCAGAGTTTGGCTTTTTTTTTTAGTTTCTGAGCCTGCACATTAATCTGGCATCAACTTCAGATTTAGAAACCTGCTTTTCTTTTAAAATCAACTGGGTCCTCACAGAAAGCGAAATTCTGCAAGCTGTGTGTTTTCTGCACATGTGGCGAAAAAAAATTCCCGGGGGGGGGGGGGATAAACATTGCCCTGACTAAAATCAGTGCTACCCTAGAGTCCACAGTTTAACAACATATACTATTACAGGATTCTTAAAGCCTCTATGGAGAAGGCATGCAAATGTAGTCCTAGGTCAGCAGCAGAAACAGGCTTTTTTTAAAACAAAAACAAGAGCCACTGGTGAGCTACTCTGCATTGCTGGAATTCCGCTTTGTAGGGTCACGCATGTTATAGCCCTCATCAAAACAAGGATACTTAAACCCACCCCACCCCCCAATTTTTAAAGAATATGTAAATGGGCGATCTCAAACTATAGCATACTCAGTCACTCAAGTCCATTGATTTAAAAGTATCAACTCAGAGTCATATTCTGAGTAGATCTACAAAAATCAGCATAATTCACTTTTCTATTGATGAAAGTCCATCTAGCTCAACCCCCCTGCAACGCAGGAATCTTGCCCAACGTAGAGCTCAGATCCATGACCCAAGACCAGGAGTCTCGAACTCTACCAACTGAGCTATCCTGGGACTTAAGTTATCACCCAAGGCATTGCTTTTTTAAAAAGGTAATGACATTTTCTGCCATCCTTATCTTTAAGCCCAGGACTATTCAGTCTGTATTCATTCAACCGGTGTCCAGACATTATTACCAGTAGTAGTTTGGTGTTTAACTTCCCTCTCTCAGAAGAGGGAGTGGCCCTGGGTTGCAGTCCTGGCCACATGTGCCACTCAGCAAAGCTAACCTGCTTTTCTAGCCCAGCAATGCTTTAGAGGGCTGGACATGGGACGTCAATCACAGCGGCTGAATATCCTGATAGGTGGCAAAAGAGCGGAAGCAGGGAGCAGGACTCCCAAATCCAAAACCATTTAAGCTTCTGACAAGTTGGGGGCGGGGAACAGTTTTACAGTGGTACCTCGCGTTAAGAACTTAATTCGCTCTGGATGTCCGTTCTTAACTTGGAACTGTTCTTAACCTGAAGACCACTTTAGATAATGGGGCCTCCCGCTGCCACCACGCGATTTCTGTTCTCATCCTGAAGCAAAGTTCTTAACCCGAGGTATTGTTTCTGGGTTAGCGGAGTCTGTAACCTGAAGCGTCTGTAAACCTGAAGCGCCTGTAAGCTGAGGTACCACTGGATTACTCAATGAGAGTAGGGGATGAGATACAGCTGAGATCCACAAAATGATGTCTTCTTTTGAGGACGAAGGGGAAAGTGCAAGCGGGTCAGAGCAAAAAAAGAAAAGAATGTACAGTGGTACCTCGGGTTACATACGCTTCAGGTTACAGACTCCGCTAACCCAGAAATATTACCTCGGGTTAAGAACTTTGCTTCAGGATGAGAACAGAAATTGTGCTCCGGTGGCATGGCAGCAGCGGGAGGCCCCATTAGCTAAAGTGGTGCTTCAGGCTAAGAAGAGTTTCAGGTTAAGAACGGACCTCCAGAACGAATTAAGTACTTAACCCGAGGTACCACTGTATAGACAGTAAACACCACTGAGAACACTGCCAACAAACTGAGGAAGAGCAGTAGCAGGAGAAAAGAGGCAGCAATTTTCTCTCTGCCAAACGATGCATCTAATTGGATACCATACCGAGGCAAAAAAACAAACAAACAGAAAAAGGTTGCAGAGCTCCAGAAGGACCCTCTCCAAACAGAATGCATGGAGAGTAAAATGGCAAATGGAAGCCACTGTAAACAAGGGTTGAGTGGTGCGTGTTGGGGCAAAAAAATCTTAACTTCACATATACTATTGAGTTGAACTGGAAGTGACAGACCAGGAATGAGATATTGGGTCATGGTAGATAGTTTGATGAAGATGTCAACCCAGTGTGGAGTTGCTGTGAAAAGGCAAGATCCATGCTAGGAATCATTAGGAAAGAAAATAAGAGAACCGTAGAATTGGAAGGGACCTTGAGAGTCATCTAGTCCAACCGCCTGAAATGAGATGGAGGGAGAATGGATTCACTGCTGGGTAGTTTAGCAATGATCTCTCTCTGACCCACCCCAGCCACACACACCACAGAGAGGTTGAAGTTATAATGGGGGGGAACCCAACACAAATTTTATTAATGCAAACAGTGGCTGGGACA